AGGTTCTTGGTTTGCCTGGAATGTTCCATAGTATTGCATTACATTGAAGTAAATCCATGGAGACAAGCATGTGACGCCACCAGGCCTTTACAGGTCAGATCTGTGGATAGGCTACTCCACTCACAGAATGCAATTCATGTTTATTCAAGTATTTGGTTGAAATAAATCTCCTGTTATTAAATAAATGCCAAACTATGGAACATTCTAGGAGACAATGAGGTGGCGGATCCTTGCAGGGTTGAAAAACCGCTCCTCCTGTGAAATGCACCTATCCACTGTTGCCTTCGTTCACCGTTTCTTTTCCCATTGTAAGGCTTTTGGGAAATACAAATGGAAGACCGTACCTTTCGGTAGTAACATATAAAAGGCACCATGCCACCGCTGTGCTTGAAATGACACAGATCCTACAGGTCGGGGAGGGGCCAGTGTTTAGGCAGGGAAGGCGGTCAACTAGCATTAGTCATACAGTAAAGGTGTATCATCCAAACATGCAGAGGTAAAGTTTATTAGCTACCTTCTTTTCCCCAATAGGCTTCAAAATGACTATTTATTTGAGATAAAATAAACATAAGCGCATCTGTAGGTCGTTGAAAAGGGAATTTTAGCACGTTTCAGATAGACATGCCTAGATTACAATCACACTAAAGAAAATGACGTAATTGGCATAAAGTAAAAGCGAATGAGAGGATCATCTCAGCTTTGACTGGTGAGGTATAACTGCAGGTCCAATAAAACACAAGGTGCAACTTCATGCTCCTCTCAAAAGACATGGAGAGACGATGCACAGATACATTTCAGATTTAGGCTGGTTTAAGCAGAATTACACTACCCACAACTACACGAATCACACTATATTATTTTTTTAACAGCTGTACAAGAATTTAGGAGGAATTTTCCTATCGTATGACATCAGATTTTAGATTGCTCATTAGTGTCTCCAAGATCTCAATAATAGACACACACTGATTGTTTCCAAGTGGATTCATTCCTTCACAGTGGCTAATATGGCGATATCCAAACTTCAAAACAATCTCTGCACCATGGCAACCTTGAGCTGTGTGCTACTCCAATTCATTTTTGTGCTTTGTGAAAACCCAAAGCAGATATCTTTAAAACCAAAATTAGCCAAAATATGAAGCAATCCAAGCCAGTAGCATAACTCTACATGACACGACTGTAATCAGGTATATTCCTTGTTAGATTTAAGGCAAAAGGCTCAACAGTGGATCAGAGTGTTAAATTGAATTTGTCAGTGTTATTTCAAGTAAGAACCAAGACATCCTTTTGAGGCAAACCATTTTGTACAACTATATGCAATTACTGGACATCAATAAGTTATTTTTTATATTAAAGCCTGCTAAATAGCCATACAAATCATGAATTGTTTAATCAATATGGGCAATGATGCTTTAGAAGATCCAATACTAAAAAGTATATGACTATGGTAAACAAAAGCTTTCATTTAAAGTACTAAAATTCATGCGGTACCATTCATTAGTATATTTGCGAAGGACAACATTTGAACACATGTAACTGGCTAAACGTGATAAATCAAGTGACTATGAATTATGTCTAAAGGCAAATAAAGGTTTCTATGGCACTACTTAGGTGTAGGCTATTTACGAGTGCATGTGTTTAGATTACCCATAAGTCCTTTCTGTCCCTCTGTATTTGCTTTAATGTAAGGCAATCTCAATGGAATGGATAAATGTTAATTAATTGCACAAATGAAAATATATGAAGAGAGAAAGGTGTAAATACACAAGCGCAAGCCCAGACACCCAACATAATGCCACAAACAAATTCAAATCCTCTATGAAGGAAGACTGCTGAAACTACACATACGGTATCATTTCTAAAGAATACAGTTTTACATGCTACCGATAGAATCATATCTATGCAAGACAAATGAAGAGCCATCGTTTAGAGGCAGGAAGAACAAAGTCCCGCTCTAAACTGACCCCACATTCATTTCAGTCACAAGATTCATGGCTCAGATTTGATGGTCAGACTGTAAACGACTTGAACAAATGCATAAACTTATTCTGCTCGACTCGTTTTGGCAAAAAGGCCTTTTCTGTGACCAAAGATTAGAACATCTAACCCGCATTGAAATCTTCCATTGGCATTTAGGTTATAATTTACTGAATTGGCCTAAATAGATGGCAGTGCAAGATTTGTGCTGCACATTATCACGCACACTATTGCTACAATTGGACCTTTCATTGCTTTTCATTTCCTACTCCACATTTTGTTTTTACACTTAACCAGTTCTGCTCCAGCAGCAAAACCTATAAGTTCATGCACAGTCACTCAGATAGTATCACACAAATAAAAAGCAGGTATAAGAATACTGCAATGCTTTAGCTGCAAGGGAAATGGCTCTGTGAACTGGTGTAAAGACATCACTGTGGATAGATCCCTGCCCTGACAAGACCGCACCTGCAGAGGGCAGTGAGAGGCTCCCGTTTACAGCCTCAGTATTAAAACGATTTCATTGTGAAGCCAGAGGGCAGTGGACACTGTCCTGAAGTGCTCAGACAACTCTTGGTTAAAATAATTATTTGCTTTATATTCAGACACCATGTTGTATTAGCAGCAACACACATGCATGTAAACATAAGTACATACATTACTCTGCTCTAGTTGCACAATTAGAACCTGAATGCACTAAAGTGCGTGCTTTACTAATTAAGTGCTGTGGGATCAAAATGAAAGTGATCATCACAAAATATCGACAAAGTATCGGCTGCATTTTGATTGGATTCACAAATTCTGTCCACTGCTTTAGCACAGATCCTGAGATTACAAACAACTGTTCTTAAATCCTAATATTATTAATGATAAGAATATTTACGTTTTCATGAAAAATAATTAATAGAATAAAGACTGTGGTTTAATAGTAACTTCCATTTCAGCCACAGATGTCAAACTAACGCAACGTAGAGGACGACACTATTGTCAGGGTTTGAGCAGGAAAATTAACATTTTGGGGAAACTACAAATCCTACTCTAGGTCCTCTCTCCTCAGCTAATGTGTGCAACTGTGCCACTTCACACCCTCAGATATGAAGCGATCACGCCAATGAAAACATTTTGACTTTTTTTCCACCAAGAGGTGGGGAAAAAGAAAAATAGCATAGATATAACATCTAATTCACAAACAGCTCTAGTGGTCCGTTACAATCATTTTGAGTAAAAACCAATAATGAATATCTAACAAATGAACACATATTTGGAATTCTGCTTTCCTGATAAACACGTACAATTAAGCAAAATTTCCCTCTGCGTTTCATTTAGCCCCATTTGTTTTTTTTATTGAGGGTTTGGACACCCTGGTCAAAGCAAATGCCAGGAGACTCTCAACCAGGTATATCTCTATCAAACTATGGTGCAATTGCGGTTCAATGTGCTGCCAATTAAATATGTGTGAATATAAGCCATGTTAGACCTTGTCCTATGAAACAATACATGAAATGTGTTACAGAAGGCATGGGTCAAAAGGCATTTCATGAGATGCCTTAAAGGCAATCCAGTGCATTTGAGTTGACACTGACAGTAAAATGCCCAGCACACACAGAGCCATTCGTTTAGTCTTTAGGTTAGTCTTCATGAAACAATAAAAATGACAATAATAAAACAAAATCAAACACATTCCAGGGAAACAAAAGCCCTTGTGACAGTGATTGTCTATTCAATAACATTAACAAAAAGGCAAAAACAAAATATTGCTTGAAAACTGCCCAATATAAATATCAAATAATACTTAACTTTTCAAACTGATCAGACACGACCACAGAGAACTCGAGAGATTTGATTTTAAAGACCAGTTCACCAGCTTCAGAAAAACTCTGTCAGAGTTGTACAAACAGGTGTAATGCTGATAGTTTGGTTCTTAAACCTCAAATCTGATCGCTCTTTAAATATTTAGTTTAAAATTTCGATTTTTCAAAACACTGTTGAGAGATGGGAAAATTGAAATGGCTTGTTCATTTATGTGCTCAGATACACGATGCTTTGATGAGGTGTTGTTGGCAGATATTACTAGTAAAGCCTTCATCTAATTAAACAAGGCCTCAGTCAGTCACTATCCTACTCTTGTCCCCCATCGCAAAGGGGGAACTCAGACCTATGGACCCTGGTGAAGATGAAGCAGCTGCTAAACGAGTTGACGAGGTATATCAAGATCTATTGTCTCTCTATACAGTACAGTTAATCTCAAATAAATAATTTATAGCCATAGTAGTGTTGATCAACTTTGGTCATAACTTATATGCTTAGAAATATTCTAGCTTAACAAACACTTATTCAGCATCTCTTAAAACGGTGGATCAGCGTTACGATCACATAGATGTAACAACGCTGTACCCGACATGATGTCTTATATTCAGCAGCAAAACCAAATCATAATAATATATAAATGCCAAAGAATTGTAGGTCGTGCATTTAAAGCACACAATGGGACGAACGGCTTTGTGACCCTTTTCCAAATTCAGATTGTACTGTAGTACAGAAACATTGCACTCAGAAGCTAAATTTTCCCTTGTGTGGTTCCTTCATAAAAATCTAATGGATGAGTAAAAGTAAAAAGCAAAACAGTAAAATTATTATTAAGTCTTTGATCATTCTTTAGGGATGATTGTTGACTCTACAAGGTCACTGCAGCGGAGCATGATATGAAAGTCACTGCTTAAAGCTACATGCAATCAGAGTTTTAGTTATTTCAGCGCTATTTTAAAGGGTTATGTCGCTTCAAAAGGCCCGATTAGTATGTTTGTTTAATTGCCAGACTTCGGCCGAGTGACCTTGTAGACAATTTGCCTCCACATAATAAGCACTACTAAGAGATGGAGGAATGGACTCTAATTGCATATTAGGTTTGACTGCACCTCAAGAGAAGACCAAACATTCACACGCACATGACACACTGCACATACATACACAGAACAGGGACAGTGGGTGCTTTCTCCGGCCGCGTTAAAGAAGGTGTTGGAGACGCCTCACTCCGACAGGCAGCCGTCCAGCCCCACCGCCGCCCCGTGGCGCTCTTTGACGAAGCCGTTGTGGAGGCCGTTGCTGGGGAGCGGGGTGCAGGCCGCCGTGATGCCGCAGTGCTTGAGAATGTTGAGACCAGGGGAGGGTGACACAGAAGGGGAGGAGCAGGGGCAGGAGGAGGGAGGGTCCCGCGGAGGGAAAGGCTTCATGGTAGAGAGGATCAGAGCCAGGCAGTCAGCCACGTCTTTGTTAGGGGCACAGGCGAGGGCTGGCGTGTGACCTAGAAATATAACACAACAGTTCAAAAAGGCACTTTTTCGGTTTGATGAGATCATTCCTAGTATCTTAATCATTCACTCGGATGAATTTGTCATTACTATTCAGTACTTTCAGAGCCAACAGTTTTCATCATCAGCAAACAAGAGCAACAAGGATTTCTTGTAGCACACCTCCAGTTTATTAAACAATGATAGTGATTTTGTAAAATTAACTATTTATGTCTACATTATCCACTTTCTCATCGAAAAGGGGCGACAGTAGCACAGTTGGTAGAGCATTGGTCATTGGGCCTGAAGGCCGTGGGTTCGAACCCACCACAAGACCTTCTCCTCCTACTCCTACTTCCACTGATGTCTGCTGTTGTTGCGTCCTTGGGTAAGACCCTTTACCCCACTTTGCCTGAAGCCCCTGCTGAAAGATGAAGGCTATGCTCACAGTGACAGAGCAGCTGTGGACTCACCACCTGCAGGAGGATCAATGAGGGGCTGGTGCTCTGTGCCACCTTTCCGACCCAGATATGGATAGAAAATGGATAGATGGATGGATCATCAAAAGTTTTTGAAACAGCCATAGACCAAATGTTTGAAGTGGACTGATCTAGTGTTGATGTCATCCATAGTGTTTGCCTTAATGTGGAACAAACCTATTAGAGGTTACTCCGTCAGGCTATTTGAGTGATGTGGGGCCAAATGCATTTGCATGCATTTTGTTGGTAGCGATGTTTGCCAAATGGAGCGGTGCTAGTTTTTCCCCCTCACGATACTTCCTAGCTAAAGCAGAATTTAGCATCAGAAGGATCCTGATAGGGCTCAGATCCAGATTTACAAAGAAATTACCACATATAAACACAAGAATCGAAGAGATCCCAAAACAGTGAGCGTGGCACAAACGGTCACTGAATTACTGAGGAGTTTACTTTTCAATGTAAATCAATCAGTGCCAGAGTCAGTAGGAGCAAAACTTTGTTCATGAGCACTTCTCTATTGGGCTTCCTTGAGCTATCTATATACACAGTCTATGATCTGGGCCCAAGTCCCCTAACAGCAAAACCAAAGTACAGAAGCAGAATGAAGGTGTTTTACCTTCCTCATCCAGGGCCAGCACAGTGGCTCCTCTGCTCAGCAGCGCCTGGACTACAGTGGACAGGCCGTTACGGGCTGCGAGATGGAGAGGCCTAAGGAAGAGGCACACGTCAAACAACTGAAAAAAAAAATCACATTTACTGTATTTGCAATCGACTCTTCAGGGGCCTCACATTTGCAGAGCACTATTGGTGGCGTTTATTAGAGTGGGATTGTGATTGATCTCGCCCAGAATCACCAAGGCACACATCTCATGAGCCTTAGAGGGGAAAAAAAACACAATATGTGTAAAACATTTGTAAAGTCACTCAGTAAGATTAGCTCAATACAGCAGGACAGATAGATTCACTGTAAATACCTTGCTGCAGGCCAAGTGCAGGGCAGTGTTCTTACTCTCGTCAAGCAAAGTCAGATCAGCCTTGGCCCGATGAAGGAGGATGGCTGCATTAAAAGAACATTAAGTCAAAGCAGAACTCATACACAGTAGAGACATGAGCCCTGCCCCACACTCACCCACTGAGCCACTGTGACCCCTGTCAGCAGCAACCATCAGGGCGGAGCGGCCGCTGTCATCCACCGTGTTCACCTCCACTCCATGACGAAGTATGAGCTGAAGTCCTGCCACGTCCTCCGCAAACGCAGCAGCGTGCAGAGGCATCCTAAAACAAGCCACAATCATATTGTTTGAATGCACACTGAAGAAGAAGGGCTTAGAGCTAGTTAACCCTTAAAAGACGATGCCATCGCCGACGATGGTGGCGCACATGTTTTACAAATGATCAATTTACTCGCGAACGGTGAACGCTAGCGACTTACTTTTTTTTTTATCTCCGTGAAGTACACATTCCAGCCTTTCCGAAACTGCCTTCGGTTTGTCTCTGCTACATACGGGGGATAAACTACGTGTGTCTGAAAGTCAGTCCCCCAATCGGATCTTCAAGCGGTGCCCCGTGAGCCAGGCACAGCCGCATGTAAAGTTGTTTACACACACGGGGACTCGCACAAAGATTGTCAGAGAGTGAGATCTCTCACTCCTCTGTGTTTACTTGTTGCAGCATAGGCAGCAGCGCTCAGAGGAACCAGAGGAGTTCGCATTATTGAGAATAGACAATAATAAATACAGCAAAATTATATTATGTGTATATAATGTATTTATATATATATAAATTGGATGTTTTTTTGTTTTTTTTGTCTTTGTTTCTTTTGTTTTACATATTTTACAGCTGTGATACAGAAGCAACCACAGCCTCATAGACAAACTGCTTGAGGAAGGGCATCAGGAGTACAGCGTTTTTGGCTTTTATAGAGGAATTTTGTAAAAAGTATAAGAGTTACGGATTCAAATTTTTTCCCCATTATCCCCAAGACCATAAAACACATTTCTATGCAGTGTAAACAGTTGTTTATAGCATTTCATTGTGTTTTTCCAATACATTTTTGTGAAATTGATTTTCCATTTCGATTTTTTCTTCGTCTTCATGACTCCAAATTTTTTATATAATTGATATGACAGCTCTAAAATATAGATATTCTAAAACCCCAGGTTGTACTGAAAAAAACAAAGTATACTGCTTGACTCTGCATCCAAAAATGACTCTTTTATGAGCAATTATACACAAAGAAAACCAGGCGAGGAAGGTTCCCCAAAATGACCCTAGACCTTGGAGGGTTAAGGAATGGACAAACCTTTGCCCTTGAGGGCCACATTAGAATATTAGCCTGCTGCCAGGGCTTACCCGTTGGCTGAAGTGTATATACACACCCACACACATATATATATACAGTCTGCCCATATCTGGGCTAGTTTGTGAATGTTTACCCTTCTGAACCATGTAGTTAAATGTTTATTATTACCTTCCTTTGGCATCTCGAATGTTTATCATTTGGACTCCGGCCGTCTCCAGCAGCCTCTCTGCAGCATTGCTGTGGCCATTCATTCTGAGGATAAAATACATCATCAGTGAGTTGATCATATATTTAAATTTAGAATCAAGCCAACTCAAAAATAAGAACAAATTACTATGTATATTTTATCAAGCGTAGGCTTCACCAATTATAAACTAGTCTACATAATACTCACAGAGCACAGTGCAGTGCAGTGAAAGGGTTTCCCTCTTCATGGTTAAATGTTTTGTTTTCAAGTAAAACTTCCAAACAGTCTTCATGCCCTAGAGCAAAATAAATGTTTGGTATCACAAATATTTACTTTTGAATGACAAAACAATGATATTTATTAAAGGACTAAGAGCTGCATAACCTTGTCCTCAGTGAATATAGATGAATATACCTTTGTACGCAGCCCAGTGTAACGGCGTATATTGTTTGTTGTCCAGCAGTTTGTCGTGGGGGTCGGTGGCGATGGCGGCCTGCGTCAGCGCGGCCAGGATGTCAGTGTGGCCTCGAGACGCAGCGTAGTGCAGAGGGGTCTTACCCTGGGAGTCCCGGCTCAGTGCAGTCGCTTTGTGGTCCAGAAGAGCTGCGACGCAGTCAGTGTGACCAAACACAGCCTGGGCACACAACAGAGGGGGACTCGGGTTAGTTACATGCGATACAATACTTTTCACTAATAGATAAATAATAATGTCTGTTGTAGCTGTAGTTCAGGCAATTTAATGTTATTCTGCACAAAATAAGCATGAGAATCTTTACAGATTATGATTGTTAATAACAGGGAAGTTGAAAGTTTGGTCAAGTCAATTTAAAAACCTTTTAAAAAGAGATCTAGGGAAAAAGCTACCATTGCTTAGCCTGGAAGTTCCCATGCTGGTTTATATCGAACAGCACAATAGCCTGGAAACTTAAGTCTGAAATTTTGGAACAGATTTGGGAACGAGAATGACAGAACGAGGAGGATTCGTAGCATCCAATAAATGGCTATGGACATTTGTAAACCACACTTCTCCTATGAGAAATGTAGTATTATTATCAGAGAATTTTTCAATCTGTACACTTCAAACATTTAATCAGAAGTAGGACTTTTCCATTAGGTGAAATCTGAATTAAAATTGCACAAACCCCTCTGTGTAAAGCAGTGCTGCTCTTCTTGTCCTTGGCATCAGGTGAGGAACCTTTCTCAAGCAGAAGATGAACGCAATCTATGTGACCTCCCAAAACAGCGAGCATCAGGGGAGTCCTGTTCAGACACAAGACCAAATTAGAAACAAGTTTTATGCAAAAAATATTAAAGTATTGTACAGTTGTTTCTTGAGCAAAAACGTACTGGCCAAATTTGTCAGCGACGTTGGTGAGATCCCCCTCTTCGCCGTAATCTATCATCATGCGAAGACATTCTGCGTGACCATTAGCAGCTTCAGGGAAAGGAATACCATTACAACGTTAGAGACATTAAGAGATCCATAATTCGTCCCACAGCGGGCTTATTTCACTGTTGCATCACAAGTAGGAATGAGGATTACACAGCACAAGATTAGTGAAAAACAGCGATTCTAATAAAAAATAAATAAAAAAATAATGTGGGACCCTTCTTGCCAAAAGACATCACAATAGTTTACAAACTCAGAAAAATCTAAAACGATTTAATAAAATTAGAAATATTAATGATCCAAAGCCAGATCATGACCAGATGATACTATGTCTTCTTGAAAGTATTGTGTATTATCAGAACATAAAAGAGTCCGAGATAGTCAATACCTGCAACATGAATGGGAGTCCACATGAGGTTGTTGTCATTGAGCAGGCAGGAGGCGCCCTGCGCCAGCAGCACTTCCACACAATGAGCAAAGCCTTTCTGTGCAGCCAGGTAGAGCACAGACCTCCCTGCAGCGTCCTGCATGTCCACATACGCAGCAGTCTCAGTCAGCACCCGCAGCGCCTCCCAGTGGCCGCCATCAGCCTGCGCAGGCACATATCACACACCTCATATCAGAGACAAAGACCAGGCAGCACATAACACGCCATGTGGAAAACCTACCGCAAGATGCAGGGGGCTAACTGGAATACTACTTTCAATGTCTCCTAGTGCATTGAAGGACATCTCCAGGAGCTAAAACATAAACACATGACAAAAAAATAGGCTCAAAAGGAGGAGACTGGCGCATTTAAGATATTTGACTATGGCTGTATCGTGCTCATTAAAAGGAAGTATTTGATGATTGAATTCAAACCACCAACTTTGTTACAAATGGTCTTTACAAAGAAGTGCGACCACTTTAGATTTATTTTCTTCAAGGTCAGTCACTGGCCTTTTGCGTTCTCAACAAGTAGTTGAAAAATGTAGATAAATATTGCAATAAATGGGTGATTACAAAATTAGTAGTCAATTACAGCCCTTTTAAAGTACTATTTAAATATTTCCGGAGCTGGCGTGAGCCCAGTGCCCGTTGAGTCTGAAATCTCCCCATTGCAGGACGAATAAAGGTTCTCTCATTTATTTTATTTTATTACTTATAAAAGGTCCTTATAAAATGCCCGATTGGTACGTATTGGGGGGAAACAAATGAAAAATAGTTTTGAAACTTGAATATTGAGATCAAAAAATATTTTTAAGGCAAAGTCTGTCTTCAGTGACTTTACTGAAAATCGATATAAAATCGAAATTGTCCAAAGCAGGAAATAAAATCAACATTATACTTTTTTGCCAGATCGGCCAGCTGTATTTGGAAGTTATTATTGTTGCTATTATTAGTCTATATTAAGAACACACAGTGGTCCATAGACATTAAAAAACATACAGAAACACAAAAACAAATACTTTATGCTCAACAGAGGCTCTGCCACCAGTGAGTCCACATACTTGAAAAGTACTGCGCCAAACTCAGTTCCAGATAAACCAGAGCCACACTGTTATACATTTTACAAAGTCTTCAAATAAAATCCATTTTGTAATGTTTCTTATACTTGGTACCTCAATCAAAGCCCAACATCTAGTCATCAAACAATTGACTAAAGATGCATGAAGAAATGTAACATTATATGAAGACATTTAGAAGACTTATTCCCCATTTGAAAAACATATTAGTCCGCTTTAGATTAAATATATGGCAATGCCAGTGGTTCTAATTTCTCATTTTGTAAAACCATATTGGCAACTTACCAGCTCCAGGTTTTGTTTGTTCCCATGGTAAGCTGCATAGTGAACGGCGCTGTAACCTTTTGCGTTGACCATTGAAGGATCAGCACCATTGTCCAGAAGATGCTCTAAGCAGCTGAAAAAGACAAGTATTTTCAGTTTGTGATCACTATAAAAATATAAAGAATTGTTTCGACTGTGCTGAAACCAGTCACTCACAAGTACGACTCTTTTGCTTCGTCTTCATTATTATTTTGATGATTTTCAGAAAACTGACGGTCGACTCTGAAAATGTAAATGAATTTTGTATATCATTTAGTACAATGTCAAAATTGTACAGCAATAAAAAAAAAAAAAAAAAACATTTATTCGATAGGATTAACACAGGTGAAATTCTCCATAATTCAATGAAGGCAATCTATATGTAATCACAGCGTATTCCTTCTCATGGCCTTAATACAGGGGCCAGAAAAAATATAATTGCAGAGCTAATTGCCTGTAATGGCAGCAGTGGTTAACCCTGTACCTGCTGAAGGCTTGGGAGGCCGCAGAGTAGTGCAGGGGAGTGCAGCCGGTCTGGTCCGCCTCGTTGACCTCAGCCCCAGCGCTCACCAGGCCCACAGTGCACTGGTACCTCCCATTAGCAGCCGCATAGTGCAACGGTGTCCTGTGCAGAGAATACACTGCAATTATAAAACCTTTACAGGAATGAATGAATGAATGAGCTCTAAAGAAGATCACCCACCTTCCCATCAAGTCCCTCTTGTTCAAGTCAGTACCACTGCTTAAGAGCAATTTCAGACATTCAACATTTCTGTGAAAGACACATTTGAATTTTAAAAAAGTATTGTTGTGTCTTTATTCACAAGCCAAAAGATGAATCAGATTTGTTATCTAATTAATGTGTAAAGAAGGTTTTAATTTACTGTTACTTACCCTCCAGAGGCAGCAGCGTGTAGACAGGTCCTCCCAAAGTTGTCAGGGGTATTTATGTCGAACCCAGCTGATAGTACATGCTCTTTACTCATAGAGGAAACTATACTATACAGCTGACCTGCAGAGAAGAAACAAAGATTACAATACTTTGCATCAACTGAACCCGTTTTCATACAACACATTTACAAACCTGAGGAAAGTAACTTGCGACAACAGTCTGAAAACCCGTACAGCACAGCTAAGTGCAAAGGGAACATTCCATGGATCCCACGTCTACAAGAAAATAATATAATTATAATAAAATATAATAACATTCATTCAAAAGAGAGAGAAATATGGTACTCAAAAAGAAAAAATGCTGAAAATATTATATGGAGAAGTGAGACTTGATATCTTTAATAGCAGTTTGTTTTGTAACATATGCATCAGATCCATTTGTTGTCTTTATATAAACTATAGTCACTATATCCAATTGTGTGATACATAAAAAAGAATAATTATATATAGTATAAGGAAAGGATTTCACTTAATAGTTTTAAATACCTGGCCGTGTCTGCTCCATTGGTCATCAGAGTGCTGATCAGCAATTCATGGCCATACTTAGCAGCAACATGGAGAGGAGTATTGCCATGCTTATCCACACTATCAATTTCCCCACCTGGACAACACAGTCGGAAAATTAACCACTACAAACTCATGAAACAAATTATGATGATCTGATTATGTTACCGTTTTGAATGAGGATCTGAGAGCGTGTGAAGCGCCCATGAATGGCTGCCATGTGCAAAGGGCTCTTCCCTTCTTTACTCTGTAGAGAAAGAAATAACAAATGTCAACAAATACACCCCCGAGGCTAAAGTGAACAAAAAACAACAAACAAGTTGCGACACTCATTTAGAGAACGTCATGGAAGTAAATAAGGAGAAAGCGTCTTCTCCTGGTTGAGACCAGATTCAAATGTGTAAAGTGTTTGGGAAATGGTGGGAACTTCTATCCAACTGATGGATCAGGGAAAACATGAAGCACTAAATGTTTCTTTACAATACCTGCTGGTTGACATCTGCCCCATTGTTGACCAGCAACTCCAGACAGAGGGCACCGTTGGTGGAGACAGCAGCCAAGTGCAGAGGGGTGTAGCCACACTTGTTGGGCTGGTTAACGTTTGCTCCATGATTGACAAGTTCAGTCGCCACAGCCTCCTGCCCCATGTAGCATGCCACATGCAGTGCTGTGTTTCCAAAGCCATTTGGTTCATCAATCTATTATAACAAATATATTTAAAAACCAGTCTCTATAATGATACTGTATATAAAAATATTTGTAGTAACAATGTACCAGTAAAAAAGCCTACAACTCACCTCGGTGCCCATCCGCAGAAGGTATTTAACTATGTCAATATGACCACCTGCAGCAGCAGCGTGAAGGGGCGTGTAACCCTGCTTATCTTTGCAATTCTTGTCTGCACTTCGGGACACCAGTAATTTTACAATCTCCAGATGTCCTATAAACACACGGCAGACATTACTCAAAAAGGAGAAAACACGCGAGATGAAGTATTCTAATTTTATCATGTGTTTCACTCCAAACAAAAACTAACAGACATAGAGAATAAAAAACAACATTGAATTGTCCTTTAATTACCAAGGTAAGCAGCACAATGAATAGGTTGTCTTTCTTTTTTATCAATGGCACTGATGTTGGCCCCTTTGTTGAGAAGTAGCTTCATCATCTGAAATTTGAAAACATATAAAGACTTGGATACAGATTTCTTTGTTTCTTGCATGCCTATCTGTTTTCTGCCTCACCTCTTGAAACCCGCTCTGAGCAGCGTGGTGCAAGGCCGTTCGACCACTTCGATCGGCCATGTTCAGGTTGCTCAGTTGGGTCAGCAGGGCCTCTGCGCAGCGAGTGCCACGGTTGGCAGCCGCTGCGTGCAGAGGAGTCTGCCAGGACTTGTCTCGTGCATTTGCCTCAGCTCCCCGCCTCAGCAGCAGACCTACAGCTCTCTGAAGGGAAACAACGTTGAAAACATGTCAGTGGTGGTAATAAAATGCAGATGAGATTATAAACTCAAATAAGGGCACATACTTCATTTCTGGAAGCAGCTGCTCTGTGCAATGGGGTCAACCATATATGATCTTTAGCATTCACACTGGCCCCTGAAAAAAAATGGTCACAGTTGTGGCTTTATAAACAACATTAGCCTAATATTTGTTATAACACAATATAGTTGGTCCTGACACTTACCTGCCTCTATGAGGAGGTCTATTATGTGGACATCACCCACACAGGCAGCAGCGTGGAGTGGTGTACGCCGCTCTTGATCCTGTTTGGTTTATTCCCATGAGAGCATTTAAATAGCCGTTATTGTCATACATTTCAGAACATTCAAATAAATTGGCATGAGACTTAACCCACCAGTGCATTGACGTCCTCATTTTTGTGCAATAATAATTGAACTTCATCAGCATTGCGATTAAAGATGGCCTGGACCAGAGGAGGCTACATTACAAAGAAATTATCTCATTAGGCCCAGACAAATCCAATAATACCATTACTTATAGTGGATTAGTAGCAGAAGAAAAAATAACAAGAGGAAAACGTTAAGTCCTAAAAGAACAAAAATTAAATGTCAAAATATATTGCATATATTTTCTTTATAGTGTCCATTTAGATTAGAAGTGCAATTAATGACATATGTTGGGTGTGTAATGAGTGTTTATGTTATGACAGCAGTGTATGTCACAGACAAAAACAATTGGGTATGAATAAAAAGTTAAATGAGGACAGTTACAAATAACAAACAGTCGAATATTATTACAAAAGTGTGTAGATTAGACAATCTAAAAGGATAATGATAGTAAATATTAGTAATCAAAGCATCGCTAATGCGGTAATTAATTGATTTAGTTAACATGTTGAGTCAGAGTCAAATGTTACATGGCCATTAATGGTGCTTTGCCGAGAGAAAAATTATATTTAGATATTGTCATTTCGTGGTGCATCTCTAACACCTTAGCTAACGATTTGCACAGTCGGGCTGGGGAAAGGTACATGACGTGCTAGATTGTCAAAAAAAGTCCCGTGAGAATGTGTGGATCGTAAGCATTTTGTCTGCACAATGTGTCAATTATTATCAATCTCCAGCAGTTATTACGGCACATCTTGCAGGTATAGGCCTTGTTTTTCCAGTATAAACCAGTTTCGCCACCGAAGCTCGCGAATTAGCATTAGCTGTTAGCATCGAAGCTAACTCTGTCACAGTACTGGCCGCGACCCAGACCGAGGCCTACATAGCGTCTACGGCTGGGCAATCTCCGGAAAACAATAGGAAAATTAAAGTATGCGTTTATAAATCAAGATGCAAACCAAAGGCTAAGCATGTAAGGAAATTTGTAACCTCTTGCACACATGATTACGATTTAATCTGTGCAAGACTGTGCGCAAGAGCGGATCGTTCCCAGCAAATAGACTGCGCCATAAGACCATTTCTGGTAGATTTTTTCTTTGAACAAACCTGGTCTGCAATGTTGAGTACTCCCATCTCCCGAACTCAGCCAGGACGGAGCTCCTTCATGAGGAATCGACTTGGAGGTATATCGCGGTTTGCCACTGAATGCACTTGTTTTCAGACTACACCCATCATCGCAGGCAGCAGCAGAAATGCGGTGGTCTCTTTTTGTGGATCTGTCAGTGGTTGTTGTTGTGTGTATCCTGTGTGTGTTGGACGGGGAAGGGTTTGGGCCAGAGCGGGTCCTCCTACAGGCGTGGCGGGCTGCACTCCCCTACTCTCTGGCGCAGAGATGGGGAAAAGGCGACACTGCGTGGACACAAGGGGCAAGTGCGTTTTGGAGATTTTATCAAACTTCTACGGCTGTAACATCTATCCACAATCTGTTTTGGACATGCACCAAAATCATTGTAATATATTTACGAATGTATATACTTTATACTTTACTTGAATATGCTCATACTTTAATTATAGAGGGCCCTCCTTGTTTCCATGAAATATTCTTTTCTTTCTAGGTAGCTTATAAAAAAACAAAAACAACATTGTAGCACACGTAACAAATAAACAACAATAAAATTCTCCACACTACTCAACTTTACTCTACCCCACTTTACTTTACTCTACTCAACTTGACTTTACGCTTCACTTCTACGCATTACTTTGGGTTGCCAGGTCGAGTTCTATAATAGTGACTGTCTTTTTCATGTTTTGGAATGTAGTATGTAATAAAAGTTTTACTTCTGGTTTAAGTCATCAGAATTTCATGACCAAGCAGTAACAAACAAAGCATATCTGTAAGATTTCTAAATGGGTTAAAAGTGTTAATTATGTTGAAATTTCAGATGTTTGGTTCAGTGTCGTTCATGAAATCATTAGGTAAGTACTGTAGACTATCCTGCTACTATAAGTAGTACGTTACTAAGAATTACATTATACATGTTTTTAAAGGCTCAGTCTCTTGGTTCCCCCCTGAATGTCTGGCAACCACGAGCTTTGTCCGACACCGGCGTTTTATTTCGCAGTGGAAGGTCGTCTTATCAACAACACTAAAAAACCTCTTTTCGACCCCTTTTATGTCGGAATTTTTTATTCATAATTTCGTAAAGCGCCCTGTACATAAAAAATGGACGTTTATAAAAGTCGAAGATTTGTTAGTTGACGTCGATTGTGCGTAACTCGTTGCTAGGTGGCTAAGCTAGGCGTTAGCTTATACTGTAAGATCCATAGAAATCACTTGAAAACAACGATAAAGCAACAGTCACGCGGGGAATGCAGTTTAGTTCTGATCACACTAGTCCCAAATAGTAAATATTGAGTCGCTACTTTCTAAAACTCGCTGCTATTTTAAATCGAAATTGAAGCGGGCGATATTGGTGTATTGACATTTTTCTGTCAAATATCTAAAGTTAGCCCATCGAATTGAACTGGGTAGCCACTGGTTTGATGGCAGCTTCAGCTAGTGCCCGGAGACTACCCATTGGCGTGAGGACATTGAGTGACTTTCTGCAGATTGCTGCTGTGGGCTCCCCTCGCTCCACACGAGTGCTGCAAAGAGGATGCGTGAGACAACAACACATCAGGTGAAGTCAATATCATTGAAAATAATTGTACAATGGGAAATTGATAGACTTGGACTTACTGCTGCCGATGTTCTAAAAACAGCTGTTATCAATATAACAGCTGTTTATAAGCCAAGGTGGAAAATTGCTCTTACGTAAGGCTGAAATGGACGCATGTTTTGGGTGTTCTAGGACATCATTGAACTTTTTTCGGGTAATCCTCTTGACTCGATTTTTAAATCTTTAATACAACACAACTAATATTAGTTAAACCAGTAACAAAAATAATGGTAATGTAAAAAGTGTCTTCCAACCTTGAGAATGTTCCTAAAATACAAATTGTTGCATCTGATCATTGTTTATACTCAACCACACCCAAAGCGGAGATCTAATGACATGTTTACATCCCTTCGTCATCACTGTCATATTAAATTGTTTGTTTGTATATTGTGGTTCCCCATTCCTGCAATCACATATTTTTCCGAGGCGAATAATATTATGTACTAGTTGGTTCTGTTTTCTTTTATCATTTAGTCATTTAGTTTTTTAATTCTTTTTCACAAAGTTTTAATAGCAACAGGAGGTAGACATAATTCATGTGACTACTAATTTAACAAAACTGAAACAGTGGATTGTCATTCTGCTGTGAACTAACACCAGAAGTGTCAGATTACATGTTTTTTCTATTGCTTTAAAAGGACCATTTAGGAAATTTCCAGATTCTCCTGGCAGAGAGCCCTCTTGTGTTTGTCAATATTGCTCATTATTTGCTGTAAACTGCTGGTCTTGTTTTTGTTATTAGCTGTTCTCTTTCTAGAAGATGGTTTAGCAGTAAATATTCTTCATCTTTCTTTTCTAGATATTTGTCGTCATGTGGGATACTAATGACCAGGACTCCCAGAGTGCTTTGCCTTCATGACGCAGACACGATGTCCGCACTCCCACACAGCCGGAGCTTCATCAGCCTCACCAACAAGAGGAAGGAGTACTCAGAGCGCAGGATACTGGGGTGAGGCTGGCCACTACTCGGGCCATGATTTACAAAAGGCTTTTACTAAATATCAAATGCATCCGACCAATGCAACCAGTCAGATACAGTTGAAGAAGAGCCTTGTTCATTATGGACCACTCTGAAGAAGACAAAACGTGACACTTTTTGAAGAAAATGTTGACTCCACTATATTTTATCAATAATATTGTTGCATGCTACATGAAATAACACAACATTTTAAGGTGTATTTGTTTTACAACAAATCAATTTTCAAGTTACTTCAGTTCAGTACAATGCCAGTGTGGATAATTATGGTTAGAGCAATAACATTTCCAGAGACAAGTAGGTCATTTACATTGTTACTGGCAGCCATATTATTTTTTAGTGTTTCTAGCATGAAAATAATATGTTGTGATCCCTTTTATGCAAATATAACTTTCTTCTTAAACAAACCTCTGTCTCTCAGTTACTCCATGCACGAGATGTACGATGTCGTCGCCAATGTTGATGATTACAAGCACTTTGTCCCCTGGTGCAAAAAGTCCCAGGTCATCATGAAGAGAGCAGGCCACGCCAAAGCCCAGCTCGAGGTGGGCTTTCCTCCGGTGGTCGAGAGATACACCTCCATGATCACCAACGTACGGCCACATCTGGTCAAAGTAAGTGCAAATGATTTCAAATCCTGTGACTGTTTTTACAACTTTTTAAATTCTGTATAAAAAGGGACTGGTTCCCAGAATGAGGTTTATTAGAATGTATTTAAATTGGTTGCTTTAAATGAGTGAAAGGCATTTACGTGCATAAAAAAAATACATACAAGTGTTGTTTATGATTGGGGGCCACGTGGGATCTTTTGGATAGAAATCAGAAGGAGAAAAATAGGGAAATGTAATTGTTGAGGTGAAAACAAGCACACGATTCCTGTTTTTTTTTTTCTTTTTTGGTAAAGCACAAAACGGGCCTAAATTAAACCTCTATGATAGGAGTGTCCCATAGTCTGTTGTATAATCTCACTCTGATTCTTTCAGGCTGTCTGCACAGATGGAAAGTTGTTCAATCATCTCGAGACAATATGGCGCTTTAGTCCTGGAATCCCTGGTTACCCGCGCACTTGCACTGTGGACTTTTCGGTAAGTGACGCACTAGCATTTCGTTTCAGTTTGTTTCATACATTTAAATGTGCTTGTTTTAATTGCATATTCTACAATTTAAACAGCAATTTCAAATCTCACTCATCACTGTCACTCAGCCCATTCACTTCGACACACACTGAAATCTCGTGTCCTCTCTTGCAGATATCCTTTGAGTTCCGCTCGCTGCTGCATTCCCAGTTGGCCACCATGTTTTTTGACGAGGTGGTGAAGCAGAATGTGGCGGCTTTCGAGCGTCGCGCCGGGAAACTGTTTGGACCCGTGACTCAGATCCCGCGAGAACTCATGTTTCACGAAGTGCATCAAACGTGAGCCGAATCCTTCACCGATCCGCAACAACGACAACAACCGGCCTTAAAACCAAAACTCTGACCACCACATTTCTCTGGGTCGCACCTGCACCAGGCCACATACGCACACGCCATCTTAGTTTCATCAAGTAGCTTTAATAAATTCCTAAAAGACCTACTCCTCATCGGTAGGTCTCTTCACATCACCTGCTCGTTCATTTCTACCTCTGCTATTTTTGCTGTTCTCATGTCTCCAAAATGGCTGCACAATATAATTGGGCTTTAGGTTTTTAAATACATGATGGATATTGATATAACTAGGCCAAGGGAGGGCCAATAATTATAGTCAAGAGAATATGGTCAAAAAGAGCCTTTTAAACAAGAAACTAGTGCATGTTGCTGTACTTTTAAACTTGGTGAATAATTGATCATTGATGTGAGGGAAATTTAGTAAGTCATTTACTGAAACGTAATTGAATAGAGTGAAATGGCAACAATTTGACCAACAGCTCTATTTATATTACTACATTAGCACGAATTCAGAATGTCTTTATTGACACATTTATGATGTAAATTTAAGATGTGAAAAGTCCCAGAAGGCAGTCAATGGAAACATGCGAGCCTAGAGACATAATTATGAGTGAATGCATTTCATTGCGCAGCCTGACATACTTTTCCACTTGCAATTTTGTACAAACCACAGTAAAATGGTCGAGTTATCATGATGTAAGCAACACAGATGGATTATTTTGATCCAGCTTTCAACTCATAACTGTTCCCACAATTACATGGGAAAGAATGAGTTTAATGCCAGATCTAAATTTGGACTAAACTGTTCTGAACAAGGACTTGCCCAAAATACAAACGCATGAATAATTCTATAGATAAGACGCTGAGGCCTTAAAAGTTGATATCTGTCATCTTTAGAGCGCTGTTACATACTGGAACAAGCGCATTTATTATTGGAATCCCCCAAATGCCCTAAAATGCTTTCATTACAAAACATGGCAAACTTGGTGCAGATCAAATCCTCTTTATTTATTCAAAAGCCGCTCTGAGCAAAGTATTGTTTTATTGTTGTGCCATGTGGAAATACAGAAATGTCTTTTTGTGACATTTTCTGACGAGGGGAAAATATTATATTTGAGAAACGAGATATATTTTGGCAGTCGTTATGCTGTGAGGAGTTTGTGTTTTAGTTTGACACTTTAAACAAAATGTATTATTTTACAGCCTGGAGGCATATTTTAACCTTTTACAGAAATCTACATATCAAAGTCTAAAAGGGTGAAGGTTTTGGCGTGTGCTAGTTTATATGCTTTCTCTATGTTCAAAATATATCGCACCAATGGGTCATGTATAACTATAAGTGATTATGTTTGAATGGGATAACCGCTGTGAGACCCATGAATTGCAAACAAAGCAGTTCTAAAAAAATCCTTTTAACATGCACTCTATTTGAGCGTGGCTGCCTTTACACAGATGTGACCTGGAGCTCTGTCTTATGGCAGCTCCAGAGAGATGAGCAGCTGGCAAAAATGTTACATAATGCACCTTTAAAAACACAGAGGTGAGGCCTAACTTGCACAGAGCCCACAGAGAAGAGCTGTTTTCATTGTAAAAGAAACATGGAACTATAATCAATTTTTCTTTTGTTAAAACCCTCAGAACACAGAAGCTGTTCTCGGCTGTAGAATAAGTCATTATCCATATGTGGTGACATGTTTTTCTTTTGTCGTATTTATTGAGGTGCATGGATGTATAAATGTAACAGGATTTCTTTTCTCTTGCTTTTATTCAGGGCTTTATTTTAACATGTTGCATTGCAATGGTTTATTTGGCGTTTGGGATATTTTTTGGCATTCAATCACTATGAACAGATTGAGAAATTCAGAGTGGACCTATTTTATTTCAGCCACCCATTTCTGAAATTTAGAGCTTATAAATAAAATTATAAGAACAAGTATTGAAATGTTGGTGCATGGAGAATGTGTAAAGATTAAATGAAAAAATGTTTAAAAAGCAATAAAAATGTGCAACATAATTCTTTGTTCATCAAGAGTATCAAGTGGAAATGGCATGGTTAAATTTAGTACATTTTAGTCGTTCCCTTTATAGACGTCACAATGTCTGTTATTTCTGGAGCCCTGACCTTGAACTCTCCAGTTAAAGCCATGTGACTGGGGGCAGAATGGCATCACTTGCAAAAATCAGGTACATTTACAATACTCCACTGCAAATAAACATTAGCACTTGTACAAAAGATAAGATGACACAATGTTCCCAATGATTTCTCGTCTTGAGAAATGTGCAAGTTTGAGTTTCTTAAAACTGTATTGAGTCTGGGAAAAAGAGGCGTGGACTTCAAGTCCAGACTGAACACTTAGAACACAGTTCAGTGACATGGCCCGCACTCGATTTGTGACTATTAAGTAACATTTACAAAACATGAGTTACAAATTTGTATAGCGTTGAAGCGTGCTTCAAGCCGGAGCAAAGAACTTGAACAAAGTAGCACAGTGACAAGTGAAATAAATGAACAATCCAAAGTATTGAGGAATAAGACTTAACATTTAATACCACATTGTGAACACATCTTCATTTGAAACTCAGACCCACAGGAGGATGAAGCCTAAAGCGCTTCAGTGAAGCACAATATAAAGTCATCAGTGCAAACAAACCTGGAGGAAGTGTCTCCAGAAACCGGAGTGGGGTCGTGGTATGTAGGACAGCTATTTATAATGCCATAAAGGACAAGCAGCATCTTACACCAACAAGCTTATTCTGTTAGAACCAAATGGTTTCAGGATTTCATATGGATTTGGAAAACTCATGATTGAACTTGCAATTACCTGTACCTACATCATAGACTACACCTACATGCGCATATGATCATAAAACTTTCATTTAAAAGTGTTCTTGCCAATCTAAAAGGACAAAGTTTAAAATTAAGTTGTATTTTGTCTCAGAAGCAGGGCCTAATTAGTTAATCCAAAGTGAAAATTGTATTAAATAACATTTACATTTCAATTATAAATTCTTTGTACACATTTACAAAAGACAGAACACTTGTTAATAAAACCTTTTATTTTTCATTTTTGTGAGGTTTTCCATTATTTTCTTGCCAGTCTACATCACATCCCCAACTGCATTTTTATTGATGTTACAATGAACCAAAGCTTATTATTGCTCCTCTAGGATCAAAACAATCAGTTGTTAGTTACAATGTAGAAATATCACACACACAAAGCCAAAAATAACATCAACTTTGGCATATTCTAATGTCAGATTGATGGAAATTCAACAAAATGGAGTGCTGGATAACCTACAGAGCAGATATTAGACATTAAGAGCAAGTTTGAACTGAGTAAAACTCCTGAGAAATAGCACCAGCTAGTCAAAGATTGTATTTACAAGATAGCTGCAGTTTTCAATTTGTTCTTTTGTAAAATATGCGACCAATATAACTAGAACTGTGCCAAACTACTGTGATAATTGTTAGTAAATGGTGTATGCACGTCAATACATTCAAGCTATACATATACAAGTATATATCTATGTACAATGTATAAATAAGACCACAAAATCAGCAAACTTTTACATTTTTAAACAGGGCAGGATACGTTAAATCTTGGGAGTTTTCTACTGCTAATAATTACTATATTCCAATTAAGTGCTTGTTTTGGAGTAGGTGATGTTGAAAGCGTTCTCTCTCTGGGATACAAACAAGCTAATAACAGCTAAATGAAATAGGACAATAGAACCCAATTCACTTTTCAAACTTGCTCTTAAAAAATTTGCTTCCATGTAATCACCCTTTGCTCTAGCATCTACTTGCGCTGTACATTATTGATTCATTAACAATCAAAAAAAACAGACTTACAAAAGACTCATGGGTTATATATTTAGGAAAGAATGATTGAGAAAGCAATTAGTCATTTTGATCATAGAGGACTTGGTCTTTAGATTGGTGAGCATACGTTTGAAGGGGCAGCGTATATTAGTCCAATAGTTTCACGCTGGAGTGTTTTTACAATGGGAGTGAAGCATGGGGGATTCACTGGGATGATAATTTGCATAGAAAGAAAATAAAACTGTTTTGTAAATGTAAATATCTCCAGGTTGTAGCGTTCAAAGAAGAAGTAGACGATCTATAAATCGGCCCAAAGCAGCGAAGGCCCGTCACACTTTAAACATCACATCTTAAAAACAAATTGAGTGGAAGCGCAATTGACCTCCCACGTTTCCCTTTAAACGCCTTTTCAAAGCAACACAGGACCAGCTGACATGTTACATTACGGTTTTAAGACGCCAGTGGACATAGTGGTATAACGATTAAACCCGTCAGTGGTTAACGCAACTTAGAAAGCAAATGAAAAGGTCCTTTTTTTTATTTGAACGTGAAATGACATTAAAAGTGTGCCCTCTTTGAACCCTGGAGCAGTTAAAAGTTGAAATCCTACATCTGCTTTTGTGGTTGGGGACATTTGCCGTTCCGCCCACCCTCCACTGACCCCGTGCGGTCGTGTCTTTCAGCCTGATTTGGCTCCGACCAGAGACATGAGTCCATCAGTGCTCATGGACTTGGGGCGCTCCAGAGGGAAGCCCAGGGCACGGCTCCAGATGAGCTGAGACAATACGCCCAGAGCCCGCGACACGCCGAACAGAACCGTGTAGTAGTTCATCTCTGTCATGCCGTAGTACTGTGGGGGAAAATACAATGGTATATTAGCACCGCAGGAGACACAAAATAGACAAATCAAAGTTAGATTTATGTTCTAATAGTTGGGTGATTTTCAAAGTGCACCATATGCATTTCAGAACATATATTGTGAGGTCTCATGAACAGGACAATGTCATATTTAAGAGCTTTTAGTTCCAACCTGAGCAGGAACAGACCAGACCAGACTCCACCCATTTCCTCAAATATTCAGGTTAAAACTGGACTCACCTGAGGACATGGGCGCAGTCTGGTGTTGCTCCTGCTCAGGTTGGAACTACAACATGCAGGCACAACAGCCCTTTGACACCCCTGTCTTAAACCAAACAGTGAAGCAACACTATTGTAGATTTCCTTTACTAATTATCTCAATAGATAAAAAGGTGCAAGTCCACAATCAGTCACAGATGCAGATGTTTGCTACATGACAAGGTGAGGCAATTTGCAATACGTGAAACATGTATAAGAATGTGGTACAGTCCATGTAGCATACCCCAATATCTCAAAATAAACTAAAATTTTAAAGCTTCTATATCCTCGTGGCGTCCCTTTTAGTACACATCTTTAGAATGGGAAAAATTCAAGTTGCACTTTTACTGATGTGAGAAATAGAAATCCAAAGTCTGACCTGCAGCAGGACTCCGCTGTGTGCGTCCACGTTGGGCCAGGGGTTTTTGGCTTTGCCCTGCTCCAGAAGGACGTTGGGGACGATCTTGTAGAGTTGAGCCACCATTTTGAACATGGGGTCATTGGGTAGATGCTTCAGTGCAAACTCACGCTGACAGGTGTAACGAGGGTCCGTCTTCCTCAGGACAGCATGCCCATAACCAGGAACCACCTGCAAGAGAGTATAATTATAATATATATATTTTTTTCCAACACGTACCTGTAGATACCGTTTAGTCTCAATACTACATTTACTACAAACTAGTGTGTATACATTGAAAATAATTACATTTGTAATGGGACCACAAGCCTTCTTCAAAAGGATTTTCCGAAGTAATAAAAAATATTGTACCAGAAAACCAAGTTTCAAAACTTGTTTGAAATTTGATTAATATGATGTTCAACCCTTCCTGCAAATAACTACTTTCACTGAAAAGCATTTTTTTGCAATGAATAGTCTGATATTTTGATAATTGCAAAGATAATTAAAACTATAGACTCCAGCTCAGCTGAAAACAGCTTTGATTGAGGACAGTGCTTTTACCCTCCCAGACTTGAGTGTGTTCCAGATGTAATCTCTCATCTTCTCGTCAGACACTTCTCCTCCGAGCTCCTTCTGCAACGCCGTCAGCCACACCAGCACCTCCTAGTGGCCACAGCAGAGATTATATAGAACACATGTTAGAGAGAAGAATGATCATGTATTGAGGCTTGTATCAGTGAGTACGTACCTGATTTGCCAGACCGTGCAGAGGACCAGCCAGGCCGTTCATGGCTGCACTGAAGGACAGATAAGGGTCGGACAGCGCACTGCCAACCAAGTGACTGGTGTGGGCACTCACATTACCGCCCTCGTGGTCACTGAGGAAATAAAGAGAACAATTTTCTGAATCTGCAATTTAACAAACATTGAGAATAAGGCAAGAATAAGGATGCCGTAAAACATTCTAAAAGACAAAAGCAACTTAATTGTATAATAGTAATTCAAATTTAAAATAACGTTTATTTGTATTCAACATCAGTGCTATTTTATCGGAAGAGGCGATGTTATACATTTCTCCCACGGTAGTCATAGGAACCACTGCATTGCATTATTCATTCACTTGCTACAATGGAGCCGCAAAGCCCCCCCCCCCCCCCCAACTTAGCAGTCTGTCGCTTCCAGAAGTATAATTTAGATTGAAGATCCCCATAGGAGTTTAGAAAAATCCAAATATTAAAAAGAGATTGAAGTCACGTCAAAGGCTTCACATTGAACCAGTGCGGTTTTCAGCATTAAAGTACAATTGAAACATGCATTCATAGCTCTCAACAAAACTGATCAGCCCTCTAAGTTTTCAATCTTTCATACATAATTACTTCACAGCTCCTGCCTCTTAAAAATCATTTGCCCATTGGTTTTATGGGGGGTCTCGTTGCATCTCTCCAGCAGATGCACCCATCTCTACGGAGGAAATTTCCATAACACAATCAAATCACAAAAGCTGCAATTATATGTTATTGTATGTGATTTATGAAGGGACCATTACAGTAATATCTCCTGTGATTTAACTTCATGCCATTTTCAAACCTGTGGATGGTGAGGTAGAGCCGCATGAGCTCTGTGAACTGCTGGTCACTGTAGCCCAGCATGTTGGTGAAGTTATGGGACCAGTCCAGATTGGAGTCGATGGCGCCGATGCTGCTGCCCTCACGGTACAAGTTACGATAGATCTTTGCTGCAATGCAGGGCAGTTTGGAAATCAGGTCCATGGAGTCTTCATAAACAAACTGCAAGAAAAAGGCAAAAAAAGACCATTAAGATGCACAACTAGACTGGATTAAGTACAGTATTTAGGCAGAAGTATTGCTTAAGACTATTAGAGCAACAATTGAGTTAGTACAAATCCTTCACATTTCAATGTATGTACTTGTGTACAGGCACAGAAGACCAAAACAAAATTGTGCCTTCTATTAATGACATGGCCGTTTTCAACCACATGTAACATTTGTCTGGCTCCAGTTCTATTGTGAACGTCCAATAAAACCGCTATGTGCAGTCCACAATCCTCATCCAATTGAATAATGTTTATGACAGTAGTAGTCTTTAGAATCTTATGACCTCAGAGTTGCCCAAAGCACTAGTGATAGTAGATGATTAATGCTACAGTGGAGCAACAATAAATGGTTGTTTTAAATGATTAATTACATAAAACGGCTACTAAACATGTTACACTGTAGGTCGGTTGAACATTAACGTCAAAAAACATCAATAATCAGGTGGCAGCACGGACCTCCCAGTACTTTGACTTGTGGACGCCTTCAGAATACGCCCGTGCAAAGCTGCTCTCACTGTTCAAAGCGGTGATGGCTGCGCCGAACTGGGACATGGGGTGCAGGTTTGTGGGGAAATTATCCAACATGGTGACGACGTGAGATGGAAGAGCTGCCCTTTTTGCCCACTCTTTGGAGACCCACGTCACCTGTAGGAAAACAAATCATAACCATTTGTAGTAATGTTGGTGCCATCAATGAAAAACAGATAAGTTGACTTTTTCAATACAAAAGAAATGTTTCAGATAAATTCACAACATTTGATTTCCATACTGGACTAAAAGCTCTTTGATCTCAGGCAGTAAACCTCTAAATTAATACTGCACAAAAGGAGTGGGCTGAAGCAAAAGATTAAGAGCTCCGCGTCCACCAAAAGTCAATTACAATCAAACTTTACATATCACAATAAAAAAAAATAGTACAGAACAAGGACACAAAAGGCACAAAACAAACTACATTATGGAATAGTCAACAATTTAAACAGAATACAGAATAGATACAATTTGGCTGTGACTTAATGAGATTAGCCTTACTGACCAGAGAGACACACCAGAGAACTCATCATGGAGTTGTGTTAAAAAAATCAAAACTGGATTGTTTTATCATGGCGCTCGATGATGCATGTCCAGTTTTTTGCTAAGAGCTCCTGGCAATAGTTTAGGGTAGTTATTGGTTTCATTTTTACCAGTTGTACGCAATGTTATTACCGTGATAATAGCCATCGCAAGACGCTTCTGGAGAAAAAAATGCTGCGTTCAGACCACCAACGCTGAAACGCTGAAGCCTCGCTCACCAGACGCACATTCTCTAGTTCTCAGACACAGGTCTTCAGACCAGAAGTCCTGGCGCGCGCCGGAAGTAGCCGACGGGCTTTGATGCCAACAGAGTTTAGCTATCGGCTTCTTGTGTAAAGATCTTCTCCAATAATGCAGCTTTGCAGGGTGTCTGTGTTCAGAAACCTTCCACAGACTTTATATAACAGCAGTATGTATTCTTGGAGGTGCGCAATAAGTTTATTTTATTATTAAACGTACTTCTGCATCGGCGAACACACTCGAAGCAGTTGCATAAAGTCACGGGAGAATGAAAACTCACATGTTAACAAGCATGATGTAGTCCTGATGTAGCTCCTGTTTTGGCTGTTTACGAGTATTTTCATGGTCCCCGTGACCACTTTGCGGCTCTCCAATTGGTAGCTGCACGAGCGTCCCGAGGAAAGGTTGAGCAAAATTCATCTCCTACGTGCGTTGATTTTCCACTCCTGCTCCTCCCCTTCGACTTTCCTGTGCGTGCATTCCGAGACGCTCAAACGCGCGTCACCATTGACTTTGCATTGAAAGCCGACGCAACGCATGATCCGGTCTGAAAGCGGGATAAAGCCCTTGAGGAGAGCTCAATTTGGCTCAAATTGCTCTTATCGATTTGTTTAACTACTGTTTCCCTATAATTAAGTATTCTTTATTTTATATAGCGCTTTACACCGGGTCACAAAGCACAACCCTACATAAGAACACTAGTGCTTTACCTGTTCCTCTGTGGGCACTTGTCCTGTGACCAGCAGCCAGAAGAGGCCCTCGGGCAGCGGCTCGTCTCCTCCTGGAGCTTTGGGCAACAGCTGCTGACACTCGGGGATACTGTAGCCCCTGAAGCGGATGCCCTGGGGAGAAGGAAATCATGAGCAGCTGATCGCCGCAGAGAAACACTTATACATAAGACAAATATTAATAATAACAGAAGTGTGAGAGCAACAATGACTCATGAATCGGGCTCTCGTCATGGAACAAAATGGAACATAGAAAAGGGATAATGAGCCTCTATATAAACCTTGACACATAGAATGACTGAAGGCCTGTATAAAATGGTCCATGACACTCTTTCCTCATCGACTAACTTAATTAGACTTGAGTAATTCAGAATGTATTAAAACGGGAAACCAGGGTTCTCAGCCGCATCCACCAAATCCAACTTGTGTGGACTTGTTCTTTGGATTATATAGTTTGTAATCAATGATTATGCAAATATTTGTATTGATCGTTTACGGATGTCTTAGATTAGCAGACAGAAGCACAATCTAACAAATCTTCAATAATCTGTAGAGCGCAGTCAAAATGAGTCACAATTAGAACGACTGACAAGGAGCCTTAACCCCTGTGAAGACTGTTTTTGACTTTGTTGCAGTCGGTTATTCTCACATATTTTCTGTGCCACTCTCAGTTTGAACTGGAAACAGACAGGCGCACTTTGGAAGAATAATACTTTCCGAATAAAAAAGTATGTTGCCAAATACGCAAAGTCCATTGATCAAGGAGCTGGCATTGTCGTCATCCTTGCGGCTCCCGGTTGTAGAGCCTCTCACCCACAGCACAGCAGTGCCGCCCAAGACTGTTATGGTGATGAGAGATCTGTTAAGCCCTTTGCCCCATCGCATTGTAGAACAGCATTTCTCACAAGGCATGAATCCAGTGGCTCATTTTCTACTTTCTATTTTACATACTAGGCTCAGTTTGATTCTAATAAAACTATTACAGCACAAATCCAGGCATCAGATATGTAGAGTCTATTTGAAAAGGGATGGGCTATTGATCCCTCCGGACCACAGGTCCACATAGATAGATTTATCACACAAGCAATTTAATTTTACCAACCTCATCTGGATCTAAAACTGAGGTCTCGTACACCAGTCCCTTCATTCCTCTCATCCCTCCGTAAATCTGTGAATAAAGAAGAAAACAGACAATCAAAAGTCGTTTCACATATTTACACATATATTTGGCAGGACAGTCTGTTCCTCTCGCCCTCTATAGTTCTTCAACAGAGTCAGCGGAGTGGGGTGTCCGGTATCCTGGCTCCAAAAGAGACTATTGAACATATATTTAACGGCAGGGGAAACGGGAGCACCCAGAAGAAACCTGCGCAGTTATGGGGGGTAAATGCAAACGCCACTGAGAGAGGTCCTGGAGTCAAACCCAGGACCTTGCACAGTTGTGGTACTCACCATATCAACAGTGATTTGGCCGATGTTTGTTTTGCCATACTGCGTTTTGAAGTTCTTAATCCTGTTCTGTTCTTTGGGGATGAGGTCTGCCAGAACATCCTTTAGATTCTGGGGAGGAAATTTGTGATTATATCATTTGGTTGTCAAGCAATTGAATAGTGCTAATAAATGGGTAAAAAAAGTTAATTTGACTAAAACAGCGCCAACCTAGAGGAAGCTACGGTGAACCATTATTTACTCAAAACTTAAGTAAATACACAACCACAATACTATAGGAATAATGCTAAATGTATTTCTTAAAATAAAATAAATAAGGGCACACTTACTGTTGTTGATGCACTGGCATTTCTGGCAGCCACAAGCACATAAGCGGCATTCTGTAAAAACAAACAAAAGGAAATCAAAATGTGATAATCGGATAAATAAACTATAGATTTTTGCTTCCAATTGATTTAAAATTAGAGTCCAATAGTTGCAACTACTTTGACTGTCTTTTGGACAATTTGGCAAAAACTACAGGGAAGAAAAAATGGCAAACACAAATCAACTGTAAACTCTGTCTGCTTGAACGTGCCCAGATCTCGTCCCAAAAGCAAAAAGCTTTTGCCGTAGCTGCTCCCACACTGTGGAATAGTTTTAAGATGTAGTCTAGATTAGAGCAGCTTCTTCATCGAAGACTTTTAAATCCTCCTTTTAAACACCAATACAGTTCTATTGTTTTACATTTTTGAGAGTATTTGCGTTCTTTTTTTCCGTTTGTGCATATGTAGCACTTAAGGCAGCTGGTGCTGTGCTATACAAATAAAACTGACATTGAGAATAAGTAGAGATAGTATTACGACACCTTTTTTTAAATAATTAATGGGGTGTCGAAACTATTGTCATTGAGGGCCAAAGAGACGGAGTGGCCATGAAATGTGACAAATCCTTAAGAATAGCATCACTTAATGTTTAAGTTCCACAAACCATTATTCAGGACACTACAACGTCAGTAACAAACATCTGGCTAAGAAAAACCTAAAATGTCAACAGAAGGGCTGCAACTAACGATTATTTTGATAATCGATTAATCAGGCAATTATTTTTACGACTAATCGGTTTATGTACTTATATTTTAGTTTTGCCAATTTTTTTCCAAGTAAATTGTTAACAAAGGGCCTTCATCATTCAACATAGACTTTTTAGAGATTTTAACCATTTTACATTTTCATATCCACATCAAAAACATATCTGGAGCTTATTATGTCTTTGTAATCCTTTGTTGAACTCAATGCCGACCATCAAAACAAAACACTGACCGTTACATACTCTAGCAAATTTCACAAGGAGATTTCCAATAATGTTTTCACCATGAAAATCCTTAGGGCTTCTGAAGTAGTTTAAAATCCCGAACAAGGCTTATTTAAGTTGACTGGATAAATGTTTTTTTTTTTTTACATCTTTGTGCAAATTAGTTGAAAGATCAACTTTATGCCTAAAACAGTGAGTGTGGCGCCATCTTTTGCAAACAGTCAGTACTGCAGAGAGATGGTTTAAGGCGCTCACACAGAGATGTAGTACTCCCGTGCCAGGCAAAGTATGGTGATGCCTCTGGAAACAGAGTGGTTTGATTCAAAATAATTTGAAAACACATTTTAATCTTTGTTATAGAATTATCTGAATCAAAAAAATGCCATGCAATTCGATTAATTGATTACTTAGTTTAAATAACTTTCACAAAAATCGATTAGTTGTGATTAATCAATTAAATAAAAAACATTTAGAAATATATTATTTGACACAATCCACCAGGTAGTGGGGACCAAAAATAAAATAGGCAAAGGGCCACACCTCCTAGATAATGTTTAATAACTGAAATAAAGATAATTGTACATGATTAATTGCACTTCCCTTGAATAAGATTATTATATAACTGTCAGGCCACTATCTACTGAAGTGAATCAGTCCATAAATTGTGATTAGCTTCAGACAGAGACAACTTAATCCAACAGTATTGACAGCAGTCGTTTCTCATTGAGGGTTAATCCGGTCAGAGAGACAGCAGGGCCTGAAGTGTTGGAGCCTGCTGTGTGGCGCGTCCAAAACAGGAATCTCAAGCTTCTCGAAAGACAACAAAAACTTCTTCCTGCGCTGATAAACAATAGAGCTTTATACTAAAGCCACATGTTCCATAACTTTCAAACGATGTTAAAGAACAGCCGCTACTTTTTAAGAGAAGCAAAACTGTCTACTTCATTCACAAACACCATCTGCCAGAGAGGAAAGTTTCAGCTAATTAGACCATGTGCTCGAAGATCCACTGCACAGGTGCCACCAAGGTCTGTCTGAATGCAATTATGACTATTGGAAATATCTGGATTAACAACTGAGAGTATCATGTTAGAAGAAGTCAGAACCCCATGTATGTTGCAAGAACTGGAGAATTGTTGCATGTATTTATTTGTTATTATACCCTCCCTGACAAATTGAATCTCTTACTACGGTAAAAAAAGGGTAGAAAATGGATGGATGGACTACAGTAAAAAAATAAATAAAAATACTCTTGACTACAATACATTTATAAGATGGCAGAGGAAGTGAGCTAAATGTTAAAAGCATTCAAATTACTTGTGTAAATGTCCGCCGCAGTCTCCAGTAATTATCAATGCATTAGTTGAGGAATATTGTTCCTAAATACATAAATGATTAACATAAAACTGTACACCTTATTCTATAGATTGAAACTGAGCACTCTTGATTTGTATTTTCTTGAGAATATACAACAATCAGGGTTTTTGTTAGATAAGCTTACCCTTTGGCGACAGTAGCTCAGTTGGTAGAGCATTGGCCTTAGAGCTGGAAGGTCGTGGGTTCAAGCCCACCGTGAGACCTACTTCACAACTCCCACTGATGACTGCTGTTGTTGTGTCCTTGGGCAAGACACTTAACCATACTTTGCCCAAAGCCCCAACTGAAAGATCTCAGCTCCTGTGGACTCACCACCTGCAGGAGGATCAGTGAGGGGCTGGTGCTCTGTGGACTGGGTGCAGCTCTGACCGCCACCCCCCACCCGACCCAGAAATGGATTAAGGGGAAGAAAATGGATGGATGGAAGTTTACCCTTTAACCAAATGTATAGATCCAGTACATTTGGTTGAAGGGTACATTTGATCCAGTCTAAAATATTATCAAATCAATAAAATTTGATCAAGAATGATTGTTCCAGTAAATAAAACATGCATCTAAATTGAAATTATCTGCAACATATGTTATAATATTTATATTCATATTATTATACATCTACAAACTCACAATTTGAGATCGATTAACGTTTATGGCTTTTTTCCTCCCACCACAACATTTTAACAACTTAAGTTATGCAATAAATGCATGCAAGCCAGCTTCCTAATAAGGGTTCAGACTAGGCAAAGATTAAGCACTGATAAGAGCAGGAGAGTGTGACATTGGTTACATATTCAACATTTACATATTGATAAGATAAACAAAAAACTTCTGTAAGATTGTCTCAGAGCTCAAGCAATTACATAAAGTACTTATCAGAGAGTAGGTCAAGTAAGGTAGGTTTTGGTCATTCAAGGTTATAGTGCAGGCAGCGTTACAGTAGGATAGAATTTCTGAATGAAAACTTATCTCAATTGAAACACTTAACATATTTTGTTGTGCAAGACGAATGAGTTTTAGAATGGAAAGACAGAAAATGCAGTTAGACTCGTTTTTTGATAGTCGAGTAACTCTTGTTTACAAATGTGTAGATTGCATACAATTGTCAGTATGCACATAAGGATGATTAGAGTTGGAAAACAACTTTGAGAGCGAGCAATGTTTTGTAATTTTCTAATCTTACTATGTTTTGGATATATTTGAAGGTCATGAAGTTTTGACTGGACAGGAGTATTCTTGTCGGTTTTACAATAACAAACAATCCAAGTTATGTATTGAACGTTTTAGGTCGAGGCTTTCACGTGTCTATGATTTTTATCCCATTGAAAGCATTCTTCTAGCTATATAAATTCTCAACTAGAATCAAGACATGAATCCAGGAATTTAAGGCCATCTAGTATATTGACATTACACAGCCATGGTTAGTCGTGAAACTTCACATTTCAAATCAGGACAGGTAATGTTCTGTATGCCACACAAATAGAGGATCTCGTCTTAAGCCGCTCTTCAAATATTAGCCATAGCATTTCACAATGTGTGCTAATGCTAAGCTAACACATCGCTACGCTGATAGCCGAGTTAGCATCGGTTTCACTTCAAGCGCATTTCCGAAGCAAATAACTGAATAATAGGTCTATTTTTTACCTTGGAGGCGAGAAGTTTTGGCGCTAGCCGACTGACGCTGAGAAAGGACATCTTGGCAGAGGGATGGTGTTGTTTTTTGTGTTTCTTTAGAACTTCAGAAGCCGCTACCAGTGCACCGCGAAGCTGGTTGAAGGTGCCCCTCCAGAACAAGAAGGTTGAAGAGGGATACGGGCCCATGCGCTGCGGAGCTGCTGATTGGTCCTGGGGGCGGAAGTAAGAGTGGTATAACAATATGTGATTGGACAGATCAGCGAAGAGGATCACAATGTTCCGCCTACCACGTCATTTGTGGTCAGTAGTGTGTGTGATGAGGCGAGTTTAGCAGTGGGCTTATGTGGTGGTCGGTATAAGTAAAATAACATCCAAGTATAGTCTGATGTGTGTAAATGAACAGAGGAATGTATGATTTTCTTGGTCCCTTTAAAAAATATATTTTAATCTGTCATGAGACTGTTTGTACAATATGTTGCCAAACTGTGTGTTTTTGAATTTTCTGCCTGCTCTAGGACAATGGATGCAATTAAGCTATTTTGCTGACTCCTGAACATTTCTGTTCAAGCTGACACAGTGATTGTTATGTACCGTCCAAATTCAAATATATAAAAAAAACTAAAAGATACATAACTTTTTGAATAATATATATTTGGGTGTTTGCTCATTGTTAATTCAAGTATGATTTGGTGACTGTAATGTGATGTGTATCACACAATGTCAACAAAATGACTCTCCAGAACAGCAACAAATCCCAAAATGTGAACGTTTTGATCAAAATACATGATATATAACAGACCTCTTTGCAAAACAAGAAAAACTCTTTATTATACAGGTGTCTGGTAAAATGCCTACTTTGTTCTCAGTTCTCACAGCCTTTTTCAAAACAGCTACATGCAGTTTCTGTACAGTTTTTTTGACATAACTACAACAGAAATTCTTATAACTGTATCAAAACCGTACATCACTTACAATGAATACATGAAGATACAACATAATGCATTAGTTTGTAGCCTGACTTGGTAAAATAAATAATTATTGGACATTATATACATCAAGCTGAAGACACAAATAAAGTGCACAAAAGTGCATTTGGCACATTTATTACATAATGTTATAATAAATTATATTTAAAAACATGTTTTAACATGGAGTGGAAACACACATTGTTAAGCATTTTGAGACAAATTTTGTCAATGGTAAAAGAATTTTTTTATGATCAAAGCTGTAAAAAACTTTCAAGTGTGTTGGCAGATTTGTGCACACTTAATCCTGAAGAACAGGGAAGAAAAGAAAGTGAGACAATGCACTGTAAACTACATCACATCATGCAGCCAATATGACATGCATGTTCTTAAATGTAAACGTTTGCTAAATCAGTGGCCACAGTTCATCACAGCAGAAATATTTGTGTGTGCCGTGGTTTATAGGAAAGCTTGAATGTGTTTATCTTTGTTTGGTCCCCAGTCCTGTGCTGTTGCGCCTGTGATCCGACCCAGAGGTTGTGCATAAGAGTTATGAAGTCCAAAGGACTCAGTCGTCCTCGTCGTCATCGTCCTCCTCTGGTTCTGGATGCACAATGTGGTGCAGACAGGTGTGCAGATAGTTCACCACAGTGCGCTGGAAGTGAAGGATGCTGCGTGGGTCCTTCAGGATGTGGCCCTCGTCTGGATACAGCTGCAGAGAGTAGTTGGCCTCCACCTTCACCAGGCGACTAAGAAGCTCTGCACTGTGCTGGAAGTGGACCCTGGCTAGAGAACATACATACATCATTTATTGATTACTATTCAAAATCCTTTTCAAGAGAATGTAACGAGATCTTACCATCTGCTGTTCCGTGGACTATCAGGAAATGTTCATCTTTCAGTTTGTTTATCTCCCCCAACAATGAAGCCATCTGGAAACAAATGGAGACGTTTAATCACAATGACATTTGGAGGAGAAATCAAGTATTCACATAATTTATCACTAACTATTTATATATTGGTGTATAATTTAACTATTATACACCACTGACACAACAAACAGACAAATACAGCACAATCATTTTTAAGGCGTGTTTGTTTTGATGTAAATACATGAAAAAATGTGTACATTAGCCCTAGAATCTTCTTTACACCCTGTTACTGCAAAAATCTGATATTAAAAAAACATATCTATATACTGTACAAAACCAGAGATCAAATGAATGCATAATCATTAATAAAAAATAAGATATATTCCTTTAGATCCTGCAAATAATATGGACAAGCTTTCATAACTTTGAAATCCGCTCTTACCGAATAAGCGTGCTCCTCTTTTGCAGGAAGGCCCAAGTATCTCTCTGAGAAGGCTGCACCTGTTACACAGAGTAGTGCTATTGTAAAAACACTGTTCAGTTTTCATGCCATAGTTCAGTTATTAACACGTATTTTCCTTTGCTTTATCTGTTGATGGGTCACAAAAGCAGCAGTCTGACCAGAAAGGCCCAGACTCCCCCGCCACACTCACTTCCTGAAGCTCATCCCAGGGACTCCCAAGGTGTTCCAAGGCCAGCTGAGAGTAGTCCCTCCAGCGTGTCCTGGGTCCTATGGTCCTCAGGCTCCTATATACCTGGCCAAGGAGGTGTTTAAGAGCCACCTCAGCATGCTCCTCTTAACTAATTTTGACCTCTAGCATTTTTGATGTAGTCCTTTTGGTCCTTACTAAAAGCTCATGACTATATTCATGTAACAGTGTAAGGTTTTTAAGGATCTTTACTCACTGTAGAGTCTGAAGTCTGTGATCGGAGCGACTGTAGCAGCACATTGAAACATGTTATCTGTAGCAGCTAACATTTTCAGAGTTAAATAACCGCCAAATGCCTGGAGGTCAGAAATATTGAAAACATTAATCAAAAGGCAAACTTTTAGCTCACTATGCAAACCAAAACAAGCACTACTTCAACAATATTCAGTAACCTTTCCATAGAGAGCCATTCTCCGATCGTCGATAAAAGGGAGCTGCATGAGCCACCTGTAGACACACATATAAACATAAACAAAACATTGTAACACTGTAAAACCCATTGTTCACATCTTTGTTCCAAATATCGGCAATAAACTTGTATTACTCTTCCAGAGCCGTGGACTACTATATGGCACTCCTGACCAGTGTTGGGTAAGTTACTTTGAAAATGTAATTAGTTACAAATTACTAGTTACTTCTAAAAAAAGTAATTAGTTACATTACTTAGTTACAGCCCCAAGAAAGTAACTAAGTTACATTACTTTTGGATTACTTCGTGTCGCAAAAAAGAGAACAGAATCAAGTTTGTATGTTTGCTTTATTAAAGCCATTTAAATAAAGGTCAACAACAAATCAAAACTGGCTCAAATGGCATAACATTAACGAAAGTAAATTACTATAGCAGCCAGGACAATTAAATTAAGGCAGTTTAGTCATCAAGACTACTGGCTGGTAGTGCAAAAAAAACATTTTTAAATAATAAAATAAAACTATTTAAACAACAACAACCTGAGTTTCATTTTAACATATCAAAAGTGCAGAAAGTAACAGTTTAACTGTTTAACAACTAACTCTAATGTTGTTGTTTTTCAAAGTAATGGTTGTACCTGAGTAGCAATAGTTTCTCAAATCGTTTAGCTGACAACCTATTCCTTCTTGGAGTTAGCACCAGGCTGCCCAGGCTGAACAGCCTCTCTACTGGGGCGCTTTTTTTTTTAAAAGGTTCGAGGATGAGTTGGCTGCGGTGGACAATCGCTTGCTGCCCGCGCAAAGCTTGCACTCCACGACAACGTTTTTATCTTTTTGACTGATGTAGTTGAAATAGTGTGCATATCTCCACCGGTAAAAAGAACTCTTCTCCTCTGACTCTGCCATGTTGCTTTACAAACAATCTCGCTCATGTGCGCAGCGTGACGTAAGCACGCAGGCACGCATGGAGCGGTAGTGCAGTTCTCCCCTGCTTTCCCGAGGCCGGTGCCGCCGGTAACGAAGTATTTAGGTAGTAACTGTAATATAATGAAACGTATTTTCATAATAACGCGTTACACTACTACGTTACTCAAATTGTAATTTCGTTACAGTAAAGCGTTACTTAGTAACGCGTTACACCCAACACTGCTCCTGACAAATAGGAAAAAAGAGCCATATTTTACTTCCCTCACGTTATTGCGAGTAAGTGTTCTTGTATGTGATAAAAACAATGGTGTACAGCGGGAAAAGCACAAACAATAAAATTGATTTTAGTATTCTGTGAATCTTTGTTTTGTATTGACTGTTAGCTTCTACTGGTCTGTCTTATAAAGGGGTTTCTCCCACGCCTTCACACTAGACTTTATAAATAGTTAGCCACAGTTTGCAAGTGGCTGCTCTTCTAGAACTGCCAAAAAAAGTCATAACTTCATCAGGCTAACAGTACCCTATTAAAAGTAATCAAACTCATGAGTACATTAATATTATATACACATATTTGCTTCAGAATGGATTAACATAAACAACATTATCAGATGTTATTTGGAGAAGTACAGAACCATTTGAGATTATACTATCACTAAAATGGCTGTTTTTGAATTTAAATGAGTAAATAATGATTTATTTTACTTTTTCGGAAAATCACACAGTTCATTATTGAAAAATGTGGTGGGAAAATGTGGAATAATTTGATTGATTGCTGTTTATGCTTAATGTCCATAAATGTCCGCTAACCTATTTATTTACTACACAAAATGCAATTTTTGTATATATCCCTTGTCACAATGTTTTAACAGAGTAAATATAACTGTACTGACTCTACTGCAGCCAGGTGGTCTTTGACCCTGAGTGAGCCAATCTTGCGAGGGTCCGCTGCTGCCGTCTTTTGTCCACGGACGCCCCGGCTTTCAACTCGTGCCAAGGCCACACTGTGTGCACTGACCAGCACCTGTGGCCATGACAGCTGGAACTCTTCTGTCACCGAAACGCTCCCAGGAATGTTGTCTCTGAAGGAAAGGAGCAAAGACTAATGCTTTTAATAAAAACAATAATAATGCATTCATTTTATATCGCTCTTTTTGGACCCCCAATACGCTTTAATACGCATTAAACTATGAATTTACTTTGTACATTGTGGTGTAAACAGGGCAGCTACAGTAAGCAAGGAAAGGCAAGTTTATTTGTATAGCACAATTCATACACAAGGCAATTCAAAGTGCTGAACAAAAAAAAAGATAGCATTAAAATCATAAATAATCACAGTACATTAAAAAGAAAGATAAAATAAAAAATATAAAATCCCTCAGTTGTATGCACAGCTAAACAGAACTGTTTTCAACCTCGTCTTAAACATTGTCAGAGAGGAGGCCTGTCTCACATCTTCAGGAAGATTGTTTTAGCAGCATGAAACAGGAGTCCGGGCTGGTTCATATGGTACTAACATGTGACTAATATTTTTGGAGCGAGGCCATGGAGAGATTTGTACACAAGCAGAGCTGTTTTAAAGTCTATTTTCTGAGCCACAGGAAGCCAGTGCAGGGACCTGAGAACTGGACTAATGTGGTGGTACTTCCTGGTTCTAGTCAGGACTCGAGCTGCTGCATTTTGAATGTACTGCAGCTGTTTTACAGCCTGTTTGGACAGACCTGTGAGCAGGCCATTGCAGTAGTCTAACCTACTGGAGACAAATGCATGGATAAGAATCTCCAGGTCTGCTTTAGACACTGCTTTAGCTGATGTCACTGATTTAATGTGGCTATTAAAATTTAAGTCTGAGTCCAGTATTACCCCTAGATTTCTGACCTGGTTTGAAGGTTTTAGGGAGAGAGACTGTAGATGACAGATGACGCTCTCTCTTTGTTTCTGGGGACCAAAGACAATCATTTCAGTTTTGTCTGCGTTTAGCTGAAGAAAGTTGTTTTGCATCCACTCACTGATCTGTTGGATACAGTGTAGTAGCCACAGCTGCCCTGTGGCACACTGACAGAATCAAGGCAAGCAGTTTGCGCCATCAACTCCTGTGACCACTGCCATCTACTCACTCGTACTAGGCAATGTGGGTAGAAAGTTTTACTTATGGACTGAACGACAGTATGGCACTTTACAGTCGCAACCGCCACACTGTGGCACCTGGTGTTCCCAGAAGTCTCCCATCATTGTCCTAACCTGCCCTGTCCTGCTTAGCTCCAGATGTCTGACGAGATCTGGCTTTCACAGGAAGGCTGTGCTTTTCAGGAGCAGATACAAACTCAGTTTTTTAAATCCTTATTAAACCAACTAATCATATTATTATAGTTTTTTTTTTCTAAAACATTACAACTTTTGGAATTGGAATCTCATCCATTCAAACACATTGATAAAGTTAAACATTCAATTGTGTATAGTGCTACTTACACCAAGACAAGAAGCGGGTAAAGATTTGCTTCATATCCCTGTGGTAGAGACAGCTTCAGATGCAAGACTAGAAAAAGGTATTGGTAAGACATGAGATATGAATATACAACACATTTTCAATATAATACTTATACCATTGTTTTCTGTTGAAATGGTCTGGAACACTGTTTCTGGTAGGTGCTTATCCTCCAGGGCTTTAGCCAGAGGACTGTTATCCTCTAACAACACATATCCTGCAAGACAGAAGGAGCTGTTGATTAATATTGTAGATCTGTGACATTCTTCATTTTTAAGAGCCACACCATATTCCAATTATAACAAGAGTGCGCTATTACAATTATAGGTTTCCAGAGTAGGGTCATATGTATTTACTGTGTGAGAATGTGATTTTTGAACAAAATATTTTCAGGTCCCATATAACTGCTGTAAACATGTTTGCAGTGGAAGCAGTGACCCCAGCAGGGGGCAGTATGTATTCACATTACGATATTTTACACCAAGACAAGAAGCGGGTAAAGATTTTTATAGTCATTGTGTGTGACTCTTGCTCTCTCTACAGACTGTCATAGGAAACTGCAGTTCATTTTTGCAGACAAGACATGCAGGCACTCACTGGAGGGATCCTTGGTGTTATGAACAGTCACTCTGGGAATCCCCGGACCTGTGTGAAAGAAAAAAAAGAAAATACATTGCAGAGTTTCCAGAGCAGTGCAATAAATAACATGTATAATCATGCTCATAAATTATTGCTCTATTCCATTACAAAAAATGTTTGGTCATAAATACATCTATTGACTTCCGTGTACTTTCATATAAACTTTTATAGAGAAGTGCAACATGTTTGAAAACACGAGGGTATATTTGTCAGTTATAGATACCTGTCTATAACTCAATTCAATTGCTGTGATTATGAAATACGAACTTGTATGTTTTCTTTCAATGTTATTCTATTATATTGTGTGAGAAGTAATTTAGTAATTTCCACTTACATAAATGTATTATTGCTTGTATCCATTAGTGCTTTGGTTAGATAGATAAAACGTAGCACTATGAAAGAAAGAGGAGGAACCGAGATAACTGCATTCAGTCTATGGGTGTGGCCAGGGCGGCAAAGGTTTCCAAAATAAAGGGCTGTGAGGGGGTGGCACTCACTCATATCTAATCTTGCCCTAATATAAATCAATATTTATTTCAGATAGTCACCAAGACAGGAGAGGATGAAGTGAGTGTTGTTGGGGCTGAAGACAGCTTTAAAGAAATGACACCCGTCGATCAGTTTACATGTGATGCACTGTCGCTGGAACACTCCGTCTAACTCCACACTAAAAGTAAAAGACAGGTAAGTGACAGTAACAATTTAACAATGTTGTGACAAAAAATGTGTGTGCGTGTGTGTGTGTGTGCGTGCATGTATGTGTGTATGTGGGTGTGTGAGAGTGGGTTTATTTTGTCTGTACCAGAATTGAGAAAAAACTTGAACAATGATCCATTTGTACAAATACAATTTAGTGATTCAGTGAAATAAAGTTTTAGAACAACAGTTGTGAGCTCAACTTGTAGCTATACCATGAGATTGTTTGTTCTTGTAATGATATTTTCCAGCAATTGGGCTTTCGAATCAATAGACAGACAGTGTTAGATTCAATCATTCATTATGTTTTTCATTGCAGTCCATAATAATCAGTAAGCTAAAGGCTTAGGAGGGCAATGTCTGGTTAAATGTAACAATGAACTAGAGACCATGCCAGGAAGACAACGAGGGTATAACTTAAGAGACATCCACACCACACCAGCATACGTATTTCAATAATAAATGTGTCAATTAGGTATTTTGCTGAGAGCGTACACGGAACACAGTGGAAAAGAAATGACTGCCAATCAAATGCTCATTGAGTAAAGACCACAAACATTGAGAAGGAGTCAGAGAAGGACCAGTGCAGTGATAGTTACAGTTGCATAAAAAATTTCATTTGAATAGTATACATTGGAAAATAGCAAAATATGAATGATTGTCATGATGCCAGATTTAGATGGATTGCTACACAGATTTTTTGTGATATTGATTGCCAATGACCAAAATAATCCCAGGAAAGCATTTTTGAAACAGCAGAATCGAGCCATAATTAGCCTTTAAAGTGACTGATTCAACTCAATAGAGCTAAAGTAGAAGATATAACATGTACAGACGATACATATGCCCAGAATATATTGTACCATTGTCAATTATGTGTGTATTGAACAAAAATGAGCCACATTTTCACTGAAGTATGATAAAATATTACAATGTCTTATTTTCAGCGATACAAATCAATGCCATATTCACACCCATTCATCCTTTTGTTGACAAAGATGAATGCACTGAGCTGGAAACTACAACTCAAAACATTTTGCTTGTTTAGTGCAATAAACTCACATGTATGGGCAAAGAAACTGAGGGGGAGAAAGAGAGAAGGACTGTATCTACGTGTTTTGAAGTCTCTTGTTTTGACACATGAAGAGCAGAAGACAGCTAAATGTTTACCTGTACAGATGCCTGCTCTGCCGGGACTCCTCTGTGCTCAGAAAATAGCTGAAAAACAGATACACAACAAGTTAGTCAACACTGCAATACCTCGGGGGGTTTGGAGTTCATCGTAATTATCCAAAACATGAATTATTTATGAGAAAGAAAAGAACAGTTTTACATAATTCAGTTTGTGTAGAGTGAGGACTGATGTCTTCTGACTGCTTAGTCCAATAACAGGAATTGATTTTCTAAATGAGATGACAATAACTCTTTTAATTATATGGTTTTGTGCATTGGGATTTGAACATTGATTTCAAAACTAGTGATCTTTAATTCAGCAGATCTGAGCTTGCTGAGGTTTACAGCCAAATAGAGGTGCATATGAGAGAGGAGCGGAGGTGGCTGAAGTACTAGTCTGAAGTACTTGAGTAAAAGTGGAGATACTTTGTGTGAAAAGAACTCGAGTAAAAATATTAAAGTCCATCCATCCAATTTCTTTCCCATAATCCATTTCTGGGTCAGGGGGGTGTCAGTCAGAGCTGCACCCAGTACACAGAGCACCAGCCCCTCACTGATCCTCCTGCAGGTGGTGAGTCCACAGAAGCCTTGATCTTTCAGTGGGGGCTTCAGGCAAAGTGGGGTTAAGTGTCTTGCCCAAGGACACAACAACAGCAGACATCAGTGGGAGTCATGAAGTAGGTCTCGTGGTGGACTCAAACCCACGACCTTCAGGCTCAAAGGCCAATTCTCTAACAACTGAGCCACTGTCGCCCCTCAATAGATTTAATGATAGATAATCAATATTTTGAGCACAACTTTTAACATTCTCGTTTTACTGTTGTTTTATTTACTGGTACAGAATAAACCAAGCAAAACTGTTACTGTCCTACTGAACATGGCTAACCACTTCAAACCAAGCAGTGCATGGCCTGGTTAGTACTTGGATGGACAACTGCTCTGAACACTTGGTGCCTCAGTGGGAAACTCTGTCCTTGTATCCTTAGGCAAGGCACTTCAAATGGATTTGGGTGTCATGAAAGGTGGTATTTATATAAATGAATATAAAATATAACCTCCCAACCTGATGAGCATCATTTCACCTTATATACTTACATTGCAATCATAAAGACCTGTTGTGGACTCTGAACCCACATTGGATACGTTTCACTGTGTTCTATGGTAAATAATATATAGAAGACATGCAGTAGAATCTCAATATTGATCACTAATAATTTCACGATACAAAGGTGCCCGCTCACTTGTGTATTTGTCCCCATAGCCATTACATCATAGTGTAACATTGCGGCAGATTGAGTTATTGCATAATATGTAAATGTAAATTTGTTTTTGTTGTGTGGGCAACTTTCTTTCTGGGTGATTTGTGAGCAGCGGGTGAAAGAAAAAATGCAGCAGGTGACTGGTCTTTCACGTACATTTTCGCAGCCTTCTCGTCCAGGGCGCACAGCGAGGCGACATCCCAGTTCCCCGATGTCAAGAACCGTGGAGGTACAGTCGGAGTGGCAGGCTGAGTAACACGGAACGAAAAAGAGAAAAGGTGAAAATAGAAATATGGAAATATATAAGTGTCGAGGAGAGTAAACAGTATAAGATAGTCCTGATTTGTCGCCTGGTCCAGCTCAAAAACTGGTTTAGTTATCAATTTGTTTGGAATGAGACTAAAAAACATTAAGAGCAAAGTATTGAACAAATAAGAGAAAGAATAGTATGAATTAAATTGAATTAAAATCCCTGTATTTCAACATAATTAGTAGACTTTCCTCAACTTCATCAACACTATCTGTGAAATTACTGACAGTTCTGCACTGCGAGATTCCGAAAAATAAAAGAATATTTTGTTGGAATTTGTCCAGAGAGAATGTTAAGCAGCCTTCTCATCTCTTATTCATAAGATCAACGTCTTATGAATACACTTGTGTCTTCGATGCCAATTCTGTTATCTGTAAAAAGCAACGTGAATATGGCACTGCTGATAAAGGATATTTTAATGATGTTTAAGAAACATAAAAGTGCTGTCAAATCCCTCTCTCAGAAGAGAACCAAACTAAGCTTATTTTCCGGAATCAACTAAATTAATAATAAAACACATTTTGAAAATACCGACTTTTATACCTGTAATATCTATCAACTATAACTACTATGGGTTTATTTACTTATGTGACCTCAAATGTTTCCCTGGTTTGAAGATATTTATACTAATTGTAATTGTAACTAATTGTAACTCTATTTTAATTTTAATTTTAAATGTATTCCTTAGAAGTGTTTTTTATTCTTTTTATTTTATCTCATTCTCTCTCTCTGACTGTTGCACTGAGCCAAAGCAATTTCCAAGTCTGTGACCTCCTGTTACTTAAGTGGCAATAAAAATGATTCTGATTCTGATAATTACAATGAACTTTAGCCAAACCTTGTAAAGACACACATTGTTCTGCAGTGAGCCAGCATACCTTTACTCTTAGTACTAAAAATGATTAAGGTTATTAACATTTTCCAAGTAATGAAACAATTGGGATTCCTTCGTTCACAAACCTGAGCAGAGAGATTAGCGATGTGATGAAACTCGCCGCTCGCTCCTTGTTTGGCCGGGAGGATGGTATAAAACATAGGATTCTCAGAGGAAAACAATGGCAAATCCTGCAAATATTCAGATACAAATGGAATTATTGTAGGATTATACATCAAAGTGAAGGCCAGTTACTTTTCAATTGTCACGATGTAGAAATGTGTTTTGAATGCAAGTGCTAGTTAGACACTCAAGTGATTGAAGCCATTGGGTGTTGTCCCTTTGCCATCAGACGGATCACTCAAAGGCACTTACCTGTCGCTGGTTCTGCATTATGTCCATGGCCATTTTATGTTTCTGTTGAGAAACAGAATAAACACATGTTAATTGTGCTCTGAATTCAACTGAAGCACTGTGAAAACAAAGCTCTTCTTTATTATTAATTATTCAAAACAGCTTTAACAGATAACGGAAACTGGGAAAGAGAAAATGCTCTACTTTAATAAATAATCATAAAGTCCTGGAACTAAAAATTCCGCTCACGCATCACATGGCCTTGAGAGAAAACCCAGAAGATTTGAAGGTTTAAGAAAATCAATCGTGAAGTGCAATATGGAATAAAATATATAAAGATTTTACTTCAGCACAGACTTTGCGGATTTGAAACCTGTCAATAGAGATTTGAGGGAAATTAATCTCTGCTTCTCCCCAAACTGTTTTATAGATTAGATAGTTTGTAACACAAGATTCTTATAAAATGAATTCATGTTTGATTTTTATTATTTTCCATGTTCTGTAAAAAGTTTACCATATCTGTGGAATGCTATGTGCAAACTAGCATAACAGGGTTCAATTACGTTTTGTATAACGCACGGAAAATTAGCTACATCTTTCTGTTAATTTGTTCATAGTTTAATTGCTGTATTTGAACAGTATCTATTTCTTTTAGCTGCACTTTTTATTAAAGGTGTGCAATGTGAATTTTCCATGGATGTATTATATTAACGGGAATTTCCTGGTGGACGACATATCACCTGCTTCTCTTTAAAACACATTATCTATAGAGATCCGTTAGCTTATAGCCCTTCTATTATTTCTTACTCAGTTTATCTTGTCTTGTGTTCAAAGCCTATTTCCTCATGACCAATGCATTCTGACGTATTCATCTGTACAAAAAATATATTCATTGGATACATTCATAAGATGGTTTGGCAAATAATGAATCAAAATGGACTTATCAAGTATCAGCAGGACTTAGAACGCCTTTGGGAGGAATGGAGGAGAAGAGGAGAGCACATGCATGCTTGTAAAATCAATCTCAGCTCCTAATACAGTACAAAAAGAGCAAATTTCCCTAAACACCCTAACTTCAGCAGATCAAATGTGTTTTCGATAACAAAGTTAAGTGGAATGAGACTTTCCCAGAACCAGAGGTCTCCGAGAGAAGAATAAACAAATACTAACGCAGGATTACATTGGTTAAAAGGCTGTCCATGGGTATCAGAATGTTGATGAATGAAACAAAATATTGTCTAGAGAATTGTCTTCAAGTAAGTCTGACAGCTCAACAAAAACGTTCAGCAATTTTTATGTTTTGATGTATTTTTCTCTGTCTTAAAATAAAGCCAGTAGAAGAAGAGCTCTAGTGTTACAATGGGACTTCGGATGAAAACTAGCCTTGAGCTTATTTACAGCAGGAACATCTCATTAATACATACTTTCTCATTCAAATAAATAAACCATCTAAAGCATAAATCCTTTCTTGTGTTTGAACTGTTTGATTCTCTGATCTGTGTTGGCGAATTCAACGGTTGTGTAAAGGCCTCCAAGATAACTACTGTTGTGATTTAGGGCTATACAAGAATACATTGAATTGAATTATCATCCGAAAAACCAGGTCAGTGACTGTTAATGTTCTTATAAAATATTGTATGTATTCATAAGATATTGGAAACTGCTTTAATATTTTGTGGGTTTAGAATCATCACGTTGGTAATATATTTTGTTTTCCATAAAATCCAGTCATGTCAGAATGTTTCTACACTGTTATTCAGGCTATCATCGTGAACATCCATGAGAACTCGAGACTATATAAGAGTATACGCCTGATTGTGTTCAAAGACCTCAGAGCGAGAGCCACGCCTTTCCACAGCTTCCATAAAGTATTCAGTGGTACATTGTTATGTATATGTGGGCGACAGTAGCTCAGTTGGTAGAGCATTGGCCTTAAGGCCAGAAGGTCGTGGGTTCAATTCCCACCTCTGCACCTTCTCCACCGACTCCCACTGATGACTGCTGTCGTTGTGTCCTTGGGCAAGACACTTAACCCCACTTTGCCCAAAGCCCCCACTGAAAGATCAAGGCTATGCTCACACTCAGAGAGCAGCCGTCCTCCTGTGGACTCACCACCTGCAGAGGGTCAGTGAGGGGCTGGTGCTATGAGACTTGGGTGGCATCTCTGACTGCCACCCCCCTGACCCAGAAATGGATTAAAGGGTAGAAAATGGATGGATTGTTATAATTGTACACTGAGATAACCCACACATTTGTTTGCCTCCAAAGTGACAGGCGGACGTGAGGTCGCAAATTTACTATTTTTTGTATTTTTGAACCAGAATAGAGATAGTGCTTAATTGCCCCTTTTAATTGTCTTTTGGTTTTCATATCATCCAAAGAAATCTATGACATTTGTGGATGTGGACTGGTATTTGAGAAACTGTGCACAGGATGCTACAGTTACGTTAGAGTTAGATTAGGACCATAGGCAAGGATTGAGGATGGTTATAGTTAGGATAAGTATAAGTATTAAGGATATTTATATAAGTCAATGTTATGAAAAAGGCTATAATCAATTTGCAAGTCAAACTTGGAAAATTATAATATTGTTCATTTATTCCTATTTTGTACCTAAAATATAACAAAATCTTAAGACTAATTACATCCAAAGTGACTACAGTATACGCTTTTGTTTGCTATGATGATTATGAGAAGTTTTATCTAGGGTTTTTACATAGCAGTGAGTCAATTATACACATTATTAAAAAGCCAACTTGTAAAGTAAATGGACTTTTGAATGATATTCTAATTTTACGAGTAGAACCTTTACTACGCCAAGTAAACAAGGACAAAACGATGTCCGACTCAAAGCAGGAGTCTTGGTGCTTCACCTCTGAGCAGGCTCCGGTGGTGGCCTCACACACACACAGCACCGACTGGTTCTGAACCCGGTTGAGCCATCGAACGGCCAGACGCGTGCTGCTGATCCACGTCACCATGGAGATGTAACAGTCCCTGCAGCAAGCAAAGAAAGATTAGTCTGTTCATATTAGCATTTTGATTCCACTCCTAAAACAATCTTAACGAGTGGCTTGAAGACAATGCTTGTACTCATTACAATAATGTGGAATTTACATGTTTAAACTTGTAAATGTACTTGGACTGTTTTTGAGCTGCTCCCTCTGCTGCAGCTGTGTTTTGGTATCTCAGTGGCAGTATTTTGAAGGTGAGAGGACCATTTTATGAATTAGCCTGCACAGTGTTGCTGCAGTCCCCTTGCCTTTAGCTATCTCTGGTCTGAACAACAATTACTTTTCAAAGGTTTATCTCGAATGAATACAAACACACAGAAAGAGTGGAATTATAAAGACGGTTTCTTAAATGTTCCAAAAGGTATTGTCCCTCAATAACCACCTTTTTATTCTACCTAGAATTAGTATTGAACCTTATTATTAGATGTCCTCAAAATACGGCACATAATCCCCAAAAGTAAAAACATTAGAGAACATTACGCTTATATTTTGCTTAATCATTTAGGGACAATTCGTATCCGTTATATCTGTGCCAACTATCAAGTCAATTCATATAGAAACAGTTTTGTTGTAATTCAGTTACCTGGATTTGAGAAAGTCTGGGGCTATCATCTCCAGAGTGTGAGCCGGGCCGTATAGATTGACTACAAAAAGACTCACAGATGGGATGTTCGAACCAGCCTGAAAACAGGTGTGAAGCAAAAAGACATCAAGTACATGTCAGAAGAAAATCTTTACGATCATTCTCTACCTTTGGGTAAGGAAAGAGGATGTTGGAAGGGTAAAGGCTGCCTAAAAAGTGTGGTATTTCCATGGCAGGAGTGGCGGAATTGTTGATGGAGAGATAGGCCAGTCGAGCACCGTCCTCAGACCACCAATGTGCAACGTATGTAAGAAGAATCTCCTCTGTTAGAAAAGGACACAGCATCTACACTTTAATAACAGGTACAACAGATAACGTTTTTAGAGATTCATCACAATTAATTACCCTAAACATCTGCAATTGGTTTTATTTGTATTATATAATAAAAGACACTGTACAATTCTATCTGAGTGATAGAAGGGAAGGCGTTGTGATATAAAAAAATGTAAAAAGCATCTATTAATAAGTACTTTTTGAATGTAGAAATTGGAAAAACACACAAAGAATGCTCAGGATAACATTTTTGTTATGTTCAACTGTAACGACTGTTATCCTGTGTCGCTGGAGAACGAGGGGAACGGGTCCTGTACCTTTATGACGCGCTGCTAATGTGGATGAAGAACGCTACTCGTAACTGCGTTTTTAATTTAATCATCAGCTTTGAAGATTTAACACATAACACATTGGCCATACGTGTACGTGTACAAAACTTAACAAAAACAAACGGTCAACAAAGAAATACGGCTACCCAGATCCCTACGACTTCTCACCTGAACGCCGGTGTCTGCCATATTTAAAGGTCCCGGCATATCCCCAGAGCTCACGTGACTCACGCACCTCCCCATGACGTTACCATAGCAACCCCACACATTATGGCTCTCACACACCAGCCCCTTAATTATTGCACAATAATTACCATCACAAAACCCAAAATCAAGAGACATAATGAGTCCATAATGTTTCACTTCAGAAACTTACTGAGTTCATGTCCTTAAAGTCCAACAAAGTACAGCAAAGCAGTCCAGAGTCACTTGTGCACCAAACCCCCCCCCAACCCCAAAACCAAAAAGTAATCTTAATCAAAAAGTAATCAAAAATCGGAAAAAGTCACAAAAAAATGTGTTACAAGAATATGAATCTCCAAAAAAAAAAACGTTGGGGCCCAGTTACTGATGCGAATTGTCTCTAGGTAGCTTCGGCCTCCTGCAGGAGACACACCTTGGTAATTGGCCGATCCAAGCAACTGGTGCGCGTCTTAATTTTCACCTGGCGGACGAATCCCCTCTTGTCCGGGAAAGTTTGAATCACTCGACCCATCAGCCACGAGTTTCGAGGGGCGGTGTGATCCATAACAAGAACAAGATCTCCTTCAGTGAGGTTTCGTTTGGCTCCTGTCCATTTCTGACGTTCTTGTAGCTGGGGTAGATACTCCTTCACCCATCTTTTCCAAAACAAGTCGGAGATGTACTGGACCTGCTTCCATCTTCTGTGTGCATACATATCTGACTCCTCAAACACTCCTGGTGGCAGCGCTGGCGAAGTCTTCAGTAGCAACAGATGATTGGGTGTCAGAGACTCAAGGTCATTCACATCCATAGAAGCTTTAGTGATAGGACGGCCATTGAGAATTGCTTCTGCCTCACAGAGCACAGTCTGCAGACCTTCCTCATCAAGATTTTGTACTTTCAAGGTGGAATTGAGCACTTTTCGCACTGATCTAATGAGCCGCTCCCAGGCTCCACCATGATGAGAGCCAGATGGAGGATTAAAGCTCCATTTTATTCCCTTCTGCAGCATGACCTTATTTATCTGACTCAGATTCCATTTCTCAATAGCATTCTTCAGCTCCCGCTCTGCTCCTACGAAGTTAGTCCCATTGTCTGAGCGAAGTTCTCTAACTTGACCTCGTCGAGCCATGAAGCGCCTGAGAGCATTGATGAAAGAGTCTGTATCCAACGATTGTGCCACTTCAATGTGGATGGCTCTGATTCCTAGGCAGGTAAAAATGACTCCATACCTCTTTACTACACTTCGTCTGCTCTTAACCTCAAACGGCCCAAAATAATCAACGCCCACACGAGTGAACGGAGGCTCATCTGGAATGATCCTCTCATGGGGTAAGTCTGCCATCTGCTGGGAAACTGGCCGTGCATGCAATCGCCGACAAACTACGCATCTTGAGAGCACCTTTCTTATTGCAGTAGTCGCTCCAGTTATCCAATATCTCTCTCTCAACTTTGAGAGCATGTGGTTCCGACCACCATGTCCAACCTCCTGGTGTATTTGCCTCAAGAGCAGTTCGGACACATGGAGATCTTTTGACAATATAACTGGATGTTTCAACTCTGCCGGCATTTTAAGTCTGCCTAGCCGCCCACCAACCCTCAGGATACCTTCTACCAATTGTGGGTTGAGTTTACGGAGATGGCTGGATGAACTTACTGGCTGGCCTTTCTCCAAACTGAGTAGCTCTTCTTTAAAAGCAATGCGCTGGCAATACTTTACGATAGAAAGCTCTGCCCTCTCCAAGTCTTCTGCAGTGAGACTGCGGGCCACAGTATTCTGCTTGAATCTTTTCATGTCTTTCTCCACATTAGACTCCTGCTCTTGTGTGAGTACAGATTGGGCAATAGCCCTACGTAACTGCCGCCTCTTCTCCACACAAGACAGCAACCAGCCCTTAATTTTCATGAGCCAAGCGACAGAGGTCTTTAATCTGGTCCAAGAAGAGAAATACTGGATCAAACGATAAAAAGGCTCTTCCACAGTGCACACAGCATTAATAAAAACTTTCTTCTTCACCTCTGGATCTTCGGGTGGAAGTTGATAAAGGCCTAGTGGTCTGGCAGGCCATTCACTCATGGGCAGTAACAAAAATTCAGGGCCCGACAGCCACGTAGGATGCTTGATGAATGCTTCCACTTTCACCCCTCTGGAAGCAATGTCTGCTGGGTTGCTGTCCGTGTTCACATATCTCCATTGATTAGCACCAGACACTTTAAGTATTTGAGAGACCCGGTTTGCCACGAACACCTTGTACCGAGAAGTCTCATTCCGAATGTACTTAATGACTGATTCACTGTCCGTCCAAAACACTGAGTCCAACAGCTCCATCTTTAGTTCTTTTCTCCAAAGCACATCCATTCTACTCGCCATAGTTGCTGCTATGAGCTCCATACGTGGAATGGAAACAAGCTTCAGAGGGGCCACACGAGCCTTTCCCATTAGAAATGCGGAGTAGCGTTCTGAATTGCAGTTTGACACAAGATAAGTTACTGTTCCATATCCATTCTCACTTGCGTCGCAGAAATGGTGCAACTGGGCAGTACAGACTGTTTGAAAATGTGGGGGCTTCAAGCACCTTCTCACTTTGTAACTGTCCAGAAGCTGGAGCTGATGGATGAGTTTCCACCAACGCTTTGCAATCGAATCTGGAACTGTGTCATCCCAGCCCACTTCCTTTCTGCAGAGATCTCTCAAGATAATCTTGGCTGTCAAGATCACAGGGCTCAGCATCCCAAGAGGGTCGTATATTGAGGCAACTGTTGAAAGCATACCTCTTCTGGTGAGTGGTTGTTCCTTTACTTTAACTCTAAATTGAAATACGTCAGAGTTAATCGACCATTCCACTCCCAGGACTCTTTCCACAGGCTCGGCATCCAGCTCCATTGTTTCCTTGCCCTTGGCCCTATGCTCTTCAGGGATAACTTTCAGCACTTCTGGTCGGTTACTCATCCACTTAGTAAGTGAAAACCCTCCTTTTGAGCATAGACTGCTTAGCTCATGGTACAGTGATAACGCCTCCTTCTCTGTGGCCATCGACACCAGGCAATCATCTACATAAAAACTGTCATGTAGCCTCTGTACAGCTTCCTTACTATAGCGATGCCCAAAGTCCTCCGCACACCTTCTCAGGGCATAGTTTGCGCAGCTGGGCGATGATATGGCCCCAAACAAATGCACCCTCATGCGATACTCAGCAGGGGATAGTGTAAAGTCCCCACCAGGCCACCAGAGAAACCGGAGAAAGTTTGTGTCTTCAGGGGCAACATGTACCTGATAAAACATGGCCTCGATATCTGCCGTCAGGACCACCGGCTCCCTCCTGAATCGCGTCACTACTCCGATAAGAGAGCTAGTGAGGTCAGGGCCTTGTAAGAGTTCAGTGTTTAAAGATGCACCCTTGTAATTTGCTCCACAATCAAACACCACTCTTATTTTCTTCTTGGTGGGGTGATAGACACCATGGTGCGGGATGTACCACACTTTTCCTTTCTCGCAATGAATCTGTTCTGCCGGTACTTTCTCGGCATACTGCTTTTCCAGTAACGCCTCCATAAACGCATTGTACTCTGTGTAAAAGTTATGATCCTTTTGCATCCTCCCTTTTAGATTGTTTAAGCGTTGTTCGACCACCTTGCGGTTATTTGGCATACTGATGTTTCTTTGCCTCAGGGGTAAGCTTATCTGATAGTGGCCATCCACTTGCTTTACAGAAGTTGTCACAGACTCCAGAAACTTGTAATCCTCTCGAGACATGGCTGGGAGCTCTTCCTCTGCACTCTCTGGGAAATCATTTTTGTACTGTTGCTGCCATAACTCCTCTAAGTTCACAACAGAGACTCTGTTCACCATTACTTTTGGCCGACCCGACTCAATGGCCTCTTTGCTACCCTCTCCTAGCGGTCCATTTACCGTCCATCCCAGCAATGTCCTGGTAGCAAATGGTCCACCATTTATGCTACATATCACCTCTAATGGTTCCAGGGCCTTCGGTACATTGGTCCCAATAAGAAGCTCTATTCCTGCGTCAATACTGGGTAAATGGACGTGCTTCAAGTGTGGCCATTTCTTGATATCCTGTTGTGTAGGGATGTTTTCCTTGTAAACTGGCATGGACTCTTGAGTGTATGCTCTTGGCAGCTCCAAAAATATGTCTCCATGTAGCACAGCAACCTCCAATCCAGACACAATGTTGCTACTCACAACCTTCTCCTGCCCCATAGTCCGAAGAAGAATGTTTCCTTTCCTTCCCGTCAGATTCAATTTGTTCTTCAATGATTCTGTGCAAAATACAGCTGTGCTCCCCTGATCCAGAAAAGCGTATGTGGTCACAACTTTATTTCCCTTTTGTGACTTCACCATTACTGGGACGATTGGGAGTTTACAGTCTTGGTCGCCAGCCCCTGTAAGGCCACTTTTTCTGCAATCTCAGTTCCAAGCTGCAACTTCTCCTTCCTTTTACGCAGTTGTTCCTCCTCGTCCTCTAATGCGTGCCTTTCCTCCAATAAGTGTTGCCTTGTAGTCAGCGCTGCCAACTCTGCTTCCGCGTTCAAACATACAGAGGAGGTGACGGAGCGCCGTGAGCGCGCTGAAGTGGTCGAGCGCTGAGAGCGCGCGCCTCCGCGGGAGCCTGCATTTGAAGCGCTGTCTGCAGGCTTTACGTCAAATTCCTGAAGATCATAGTTTGGAAATTGTTCCCTCTCGTCTCCCAATAATACATTTTCAGTTACATCATCTGGCTCACTTTGTTCAATATCATTGATCCATTTTTCAGTGTAATCTTTAAATGATTCGCTGTATTGCTTAATGCCTGAGAACCATTCCTTTTGTTTCACTGTTTCATCCCTTGGGAGTAATGGTAATACAGCGTTGTGGGCAGCAGATGCATTATCACACATTTTATTGAGTGCTCCGAGAGACTCCTTTATTTGAGACACGTTTTGTTTCCGTTTCATGAGTTCCTTCATTTCTGGTATCATACCTTTCATTTTATTGACAAACACTTTACGTTCGCGTTGAAGCTTTTCAACTTTATTTAACAAAGCCTTTTCCGTGAGTCTGCGTTCCCTCTTTTCACACTCGGTTTCAGGGCAAGAAGGCGCACCATTTGTTTTGCTCATTATTCCTTTTGATTTAAATGCCTCCTCAGTGTAAACATACACAGCATTTCCATTCAACACAGCATTTTTATTGAAATTCCATCACAACATCGCATCCTTCTTAAAATTGCATTGCATACATGATACATTACATAAGCTTCAATACTGCGGAGCAACTTTACGCAGGGATATCCCACTCCATTAATTCATCTTTATGTTCCTTTATTCCCACACACATTGAATTAGGGATTCCGAATCCACGTCCAATTGCCACGGGTGGCTTACCTTGCCTCCTGTGTCCTGTGCAGTGATTGATGGCTCATTGGTAACGCCCGCTGCGCTGCACTTACTTGGCGTCTTCCTGATTCCGCGTGCAGTATTGCGATTGATGGATTTCAAACATGCCTTTCTTTGTTGACTAATGTAACGACTGTTATCCTGTGTCGCTGGAGAACGAGGGGAACGGGTCCTGTACCTTTATGACGCGCTGCTAATGTGGATGAAGAACGCTACTCGTAACTGCGTTTTTAATTTAATCATCAGCTTTGAAGATTTAACACATAACACATTGGCCATACGTGTACGTGTACAAAACTTAACAAAAACAAACGGTCAACAAAGAAATACGGCTACCCAGATCCCTACGACTTCTCACCTGAACGCCGGTGTCTGCCATATTTAAAGGTCCCGGCATATCCCCAGAGCTCACGTGACTCACGCACCTCCCCATGACGTTACCATAGCAACCCCACACATTATGGCTCTCACATCAACTGTTGCCAACATAATGATGTATTAAAGTAGGAAAACATTTTTTACAGTCATTTCAAAAGTAGCACAAACAAGGGGTTGTAGCATATATCCCTAGTGAGCTGTAATGTTTAGTTTATTGAATTAAAAGGTCAAGCAATCTCAAGAAAGCAATGAGAAACGTAACTGATGATTTAGGAAACTTGCTCCTTCTGTGTGCTTACACAGTGAGAGGAGATGGAGCAGCCGGGATGCAGATGGTTCGGCTGCTGTGAAGGAGATGCAGAGGAGAATAGTTGTGGCTGAAATGACGGAGGAGAGACAGTGCATCTATATGAAAAGGTGATTGTCTGAGGAGGAGAGAGAGCTGGCTGTCATGACAGGTTGATGGTTACAGGAAAAGATGCACGAACAATATAAGGAGTACATATAGAGCTCTTACATTACCACTGAGAAAACATTTACTGGTAATTAGTATTCAATACATTTTAACAAATCTAAAACAGATACAAAGTAAACATTCTTGCTGATTGTACATGAATATGCAACTACTTAGAACTAGTGCTTGTACTGTATCTGGAACAATAACTGTAGATCAGTATTGTGTATTTTTCATATATATTATTTTATTTTTAGTCAAACCTAACAGGGAGGCCCACACTTTATCCAACCAAGAATGACTTTTCCAGCTGCTAGTATCATAACAAAAAATATATGTAAAAAAACTACAAGATGTTTTTCCGACCGCCTCTTAACCGTACAATGTCATTACAACATAGTGTTGAAATAGCAGTAGATCACAGCAGTGGTTGAATTCCAGTCTACACATTATGTTCACTTTAAATGAAAAGTTTTTGTGTCTTATCTTTCACATGATTGATTTCAGCCAGAGCAGTTTTTGGGCCTACCTTCATAGGTCCAGTCGGAGAGGCCGTTGATCAGTCGCTCTTCGCGCTCGGTGGTGGTTAAGCGCAGGGGTCTGGCTGTCACGCTCTGTTTGTAGTAGATATCTCTCTCAAACACATAGGCCTGGCACAGACACAGACACAGACACAGACAAGGGGAAAATCCATTATCAAACACAGGACATTTTCAGGCTCCTATTGGCCGCCTGTGTGAACATGGACAGACTCCAAGAGTGAATGAATCAGGGGCCAACGCACAACAGTAAAAGCCACATCTCTCTGCTGCCAATTGGAAAGTCATAGGGTCAAATAGAGATCAGCAAAAAGCAGGTTTAAGAAGCTTGTTTAGAACTTGGAAACACTTTTGTAAAATGTGTAATGGTAATGTAATGCTGAGTCTTAACTGGAATCAAATACTCTGCAAATTTGGGAGTTCTATAAATTACTCCATAGTTTGAAGGTCCTATAATTTGCTGTTTCACAGTCCATCCTATGTGTGATAATAATAATTTGGTTGACACACCATACAACACTCAAAACTTAGAAATTATAGCCATGTCTTACATAGAGCAGATGTCACCTCTATTGAAACGCTTGGATCTGTGCTCTCCCAGAGAAAAGCGGGTCTAGCTGTTTTGGTTTCTCTCTCTTATCAATCACCTCCTGGAGGTGGGGCTTCTGGAGCTCGACCTTTGTGTGAAAGTGTGCTACGTATGAGTGAAAGTGAATCAGGTTGTTTTTGAGCCTCTGGAAAATTAATGAGAAAGATCACTATCTAACTAAAGCTTGAGGGAATCAATGAGAAAACAACTCTGGGCATGTGTATGAAGGCCTAGCCTGGTCGTACAACACCATAGTACAATTTTCAATTTGCAAATTGCAATTCATACTAAGATCTGAAGGTGCTCCATTGAGCTCTGTTTACAGGTGGGAGGGGTTACCTCCTTTTGCAGATTGAAACGATTGGATGAGTTTACTGTGACGTCTGTAATGCACCCAGGTGAGTTGTAAGCATTTAGCCTAGCTTTAGCCATCTCCTTTGCCGCTAACGGTGCCCGTGGGGAGTAGCGCCACAATCTTTGCCAGCGATTACATTTGCTAAACATTCCTCTTGCTACGGCTTCAATTTCTTGATAGAACCAGAACGGATTACTTTACTATCGCATTCTTTGCCGTTCGTCGCAAACTCTTGACGTCACCGCGCTCGCTGATTCGTCGGATGGAATTCAACCGATTGTAATCGCAAACACGGGGACCAGACTCAGACGTTACATACAGGGAAATGATAATTGAGCGAAGTATACGGACTGCTTAGGCCAGGCTAATGAAGGCCAAATAGCACTGTAATGATGTTTAAACCAGAGAAAAGTCAAATAGCGTATTATGGGACCTTTAATATTACCAAGTGCATTCTTATCTTATCTACATTCACAATAACCGAACTTAATCCATCACAGCAGGCGCTAGATCAGCAAGAGTGAATTACTCTGAATGAGCAAATATCTCCTCATTGTCTTAATGTTCAGAAGCTCCTTGACAGAGACCAGGGGCTAATAGCAGCAGAGGCAGCTTCAGAGAAATTATAGCTGATACTAAACAGTCATTACTGAAAACAATCATGTCTGAGCTCGATACAGATCATAATGACAGGTAATGATGTTGCAATTTAGAAAACGTCAAAATCAACTGTTTCCAATTTTCTTGAGCATGCAGTGTGTAAACATTGTCTTGTTGATAAATCAAATTAGTTCTCAAGAAGTGAGTGATTTACCAGCTGGTTCCCCTGTGGTCCCCAGGAGGCGTACTGCAGCACGGCCTTCTCTCTGTCCGCAGGCCCGAGGTCCTGAAGCTCTCTGAAAGACACAGAGGCTGGGGGTCAGCGCCCAGTGAGCAAGCTTAATGTTCATTACAGAAATATAGATGCAACATTAAAAAAGCAAAGGCTGTTCATGCAGTACTTTTCTCTAGAGAATGCTGTCTGTGTCAGGCAAGCTTTTTCCTTCAAGGCAAATACAGGCAATGATCAATACTGCAGGCCCTATTGAAAACTTTTCAGATCTGGTTTACACAGAAATGTTGAGGGAATCATCCTCCAGCCATATTTTCACTCTATGGGGAACATTAGTGTCAAGCAAAGATTTAGCTTCTGTTTCGAACCTTATTTTCTGCAAAGCAGACGGATGAGAGATGATGCTCGGATGCTGGGGTCGGTCCTATAGTTACAGTCCATGGGTCTCATGCCCAGTGCTTCCATGCATTAGCATTCCTCATTCTACCTACCCTGACGCCACATTGTAGATGGCATAGGAGGCTGTGAAGGACTGAGTGAACACCTGGAAAAGTAAACATATCATGCAAATGGGTGTGCAGCACTGAAATACAAAGACATTTTAGTGCTCACACATGCTCTGAGTGAATGAGACACAAAGCAGGCCTAAAGCAGAAAGCAACAAAAGAAGCTGTGCTTTAATTCAGAAACCTCTGAAGGCAGCGCCTCGAGCCGCAGAGCTAAAACAACTGCTCAAACACGTTGTTTGTATTGAAATGTGTGTTTATAGTTAAAAATAAAACAGCAGCAAGTAAATCCTTGTGTGGGTGTCTTTAAGATGACTTTTACATTTAACTTTCACATTCATGAAGCAACTAAACTAAAGTTACCGAGTGACTGTGTTGTACATTACGTTGCATCAGATGACCTGAGGGCCATCACACCAGATAACATAAAAAGTAAAAGGCTAAACCAAATCTCCTCATTAAGTGGCATCATTACAGTTAATATCTATCTCACAGAGGCTGTCGCAACCCTGACTCCATTGCAGCAGCTCGATGAATAATTAAATTAACTCGTGAAACAGATTAAAGAGTAGAATCGATGTGGGTGCTTCACTATGCATGTCTATGTGTGTTGCTGGCTCCATTGATCACAACTTTACCTGGTGAATTCAACGTTATTTATTGATCTGCTCTCTTTCTCTCCACACACAAAAGCGAGGGAAGCAGACTATTTGCCCACTGGCTCAGTAAAAGCCTTAGCCTCCATGAAAACAAGTCCCAAAAGAGATGAAATGTCACATCTTCGGCACAGCACACTTAGCAGCAAAATTGGATTTCTTTCTCTGCTGTTTGTTGCAAGGGAAATGTAAAGATCGAGCGTGGGTAAGGTTGCGGGTATACAAGCACAAATACATAGTGCCGCTGTCGTAACGAAAATAAAAGTGGTAAGGCTATGCTCTTTTATGATGGGAGGAGCTGAAGAGGTACAAGGCAACAGATGTAAGATCACAACTATGGAGACCTTCTCTGATGCTAAAGCCTAGTTCTTCTCTCTGTTGAGCTTTAGTTTGAAGAATAAATGAAGATTGACGCATTGTGTTTTTACTATATTTAGTACATTTACTTGCAGTTATTAGCACTTGTTTCTAATAGTTCACATCAATATTATTTTGTATGCAACACACTATTATGATGATGATATGTTTCATGCCATGTCTAATATTTGTGTGAATCTTGTGAACCTTTCTTTCCTGTATTGCCCATCCAGGGAAATGCAATTTTAACATAAAACATAATAGAGTGTTATGGGCAGCCGTGAGACGAGAATAATGTGTTTATCTATCTCTGGTTGTTTCCTGTATACACACATTTGTTGCAACTCAGCACATTTCCAGGACATTTTCCATTGAGCGTTATTATACAGTCTGATTTAAAGTCAATACCACGAGTGTAAGAAGCAGTGCATGAAAGCAAAGGAGAGCATAAAGCCGGAGCACTCCTTGATAGAGCGAAGTAGACAACCACACCGTACACAGAAAGGTCAAACTTCAACGCGGGTGAAAACAAGTGCGATCGACAAAACTTATCAGCTCCATCCGTCAAGGGCACTGCCACCTGTACAGCATTTATGATTTGCTTATAAATGCCATGATTCAGACCATGATTTAACATTGTAAAAGCACACGCCGGGGTGAACACTATCCCATGTCGAGGTGATAAACTGTTGTGCTCTGAGCATCTGTCTTGGGAAGGCTTGGAGAATCTTAATGTGATTGCTGGTAACGTGTCATAAATCCTGAGCATCGCGGCTCCTTATCCACTGTTTCTACTGTTCCTAGCGCCTGCCCCCACAGTAGGAAAACACCAGGGGATTTCTTGGTTATGGTTAGAAATCAGATTACATTAGCGGCGCACGGCGTGAGAAAAATGATCTCACACATGTTAGTCTTGTTACATAGAGCTGCAGTTATTCAAACGACTGATTGACAAATGGATATCAAAGCTAGCACAGGAGTAAGTGTTCCTGTAGTTTACATATGGCAATAGTTATTGCTGGATAGCACAGTAGATATATTATTTATATTATTCTTTTTCATCTGCTGCACATACATACTGTATATTCCACCATCTGCTTCTGTTTGTTTTATCAGTTCAAAAAGGATTCAGAAGAAAAACATAATGATTCATGGTTTTATAACTGGTAATGAGCTTGTCACTATATTCCTCTCTTTTATCTTCACCGTCTTCACAAAAACAGACGTATTTGAGTCATGTGTTATAAAAATCTATAGATTGCAAGAAGTGTACTGTAGTATCCGCTATTAGTGGGAAACACTAATGTATGTAGCACAGTATGTACAGTATGTCCAGTTTCTCTTTATCACCTTTTTATGAATTAAATCACAACTGAAAAGTGGTAACAATGCACTCATCAGAGCATCATCAAACATGTCCCATCAATAATTCACTACTTAACAGATTCCATGGTACTGTACGCTGGTAACATGGATGAATAATACAGCCAGTTATACGCTCAGTTGTAAAGATCCTTCTGCACCTGCCCTCTAGAAACATTTCTTGCTTCACCAAAACAGATATTGCAGTAAATCTGTGAGATTCAGAGACAAAAAAAAATGTTTGTGACTCTTTGGATCCAATATTGTAATGTGCAATGATAAACTACACATACAAATAAGACAACCCAACTCTCATATTTCAATGGCAATAAAATACTTTTTTGAACAAAGTTAGTATTCCATAATTGCCATCATAGACAACAATACACATCAGGTTCAGTATTTAAGAGATGCATATCGATTGTGCTTTGTTTGGAGTTCTAACATCGAATATATCCAACATCTATATCCTTCCAACAAACCTCATCCTTACAGTGCACATCCCTTTCTCTCTCTGGGGAATCTATATCTTACATTTCTTTGTTTGTAGAAATAAACAGATTAAGATGAAGATGGAAAGACAAAACAAATACAGGATATCTGGAGAGAGGTGATTTCATTGTTTCACTGCAGGATAGCAAACATAGCTGAGATAATAGCCTGTATATTGTCCCTTTCCCTCACTTACTCATGTTTCCAGCCTTTGATTTACCCCTGGTGGCATACGCTGCTGCAGAGCTTGGTTTGCTATTTGTCTTTAGACTGAGGAATCTTGGCAGGCATACTCCATTGTCTTACACCTCATCCATCCTGGACTCCCAAACTGTACATTTCCAACACACTTTTTTTTATGACAAATACGTTCCTCTGGTGCTACTTAAAGCAAACAGACATGCTCCCTATTGGATTATTAGTTCCTATGTGGTCATATCCTTTACCTCGAGAATGCAGGCTGCCTATGGAAATTCATTTATTTTTCACCCGCCGGTCAGAACAGCTTGCCTTACAGGATTTAAAGGCAATCTGAAATCCCTTTACTTACACCCACTCTCCTCGTATCCCCCTCCACTGCAGTGCTCTCAACCCTATAGCATCCCCTGTCATTCTCTGATAACTATTCTGATTGATTTCAACTGTGGGCATCATATAGTATCTAAGACCAAATGGTGCATAACACATTTCTCTCCCCCTTTCTACGCCACCTCCCGATCCTCCCTTTCACTCCCTCTTTCTCATTTTCTCCCCACTTCCGAAAGCGATTGCAAACTGCGGAGCTCAGCATATATTCCCCTGGAGATAGACAGAGCAAAGGAGAGTGAGGAGATGCGCTGGGAGAGGAGAGGTGAACAGATTAGCACATAAATGTCCACTGGGCACACGTCTCTTATTGATGCCATTTCTAAACATGATTGCGGGTGGCATTTCACTGCTCCTCTCAATGCACACGACAGCCTCGGTGTGGGGACCGGCCATTCCTGTTGATATCCATGAAAAGTGAAATAACGATGTAGCGTAAACAATTAAACTAAATTGAGGAAATCTAAGGATGAAGACTAGAGATGCAAAATGAGTGATAATTCAGCAAAAATGCGACTGGAATGGACGCAATTAACAGCTTGCGAAGGCTGCACAGAGAAAATGCAGATAGATAATTTGCAACTAACCATAAAAATACTATTTCAGTAAATACATTATTATTTGGTTGTCAATCCCTATTCAAATAACAATCACAACACAAGGTCTATAAGTTTTCTTCACTTTACTGATCTTTTCAATTTGAAATGTTAAAATATAACTTGATACCTAATCATCTGATTGGTCGAAATAATGACAAGAAAAGACAAGAATGTGAGGAGATAAGAAAGACTTTTTTTGCACTTATTTGATTCTGTATATAACACACTTTGATCAGAATGACTTTAAATAGTTAATAAAGTGGGAGTTTGCATGTTTTTCCCGTGTCTGCCTAGGTTTCCTCCGGGTGTTCCGGTTTCCCCTACCACTAAAAACATGTACAATAGGTCTGGCATGCGCCTCCTGTACTGGTGACCCCCGCACTCTGTGTGGAGTGGGAGGGAAATGCAATTGCAAAGCGCTTTGTGACTCTGGTCTATGAAAGGCGCTATGTAAATAAAGATTACTTACTGACTTAAAGAGTTCACATTTTGTATCAGGTTCAGCTGGTGGTGTGCCATGTGAAGGTTTTCTTATCTTATATGATTGTTTTAAATGATTGATTGAAGGTGATCCAAGGCTCAAAACGGTTGGAGAACAATAATTTAAGTAATTAAGCCATTTAGAAAATGCCATTAAGAAACTACCCTGAACTGTGTTACATGCTTGGGTCATATTCAGAAAAACATACTGTTGTTTTGTTGTCTCCACACACATGTATTTTTTCCTGGAGCTGTTTACAAGACGCACTGTGAACTGAATCTTGATCAAAGCAATTCATGAAAAATAATTGCAGAAAAAAACGCTACAATTAAAAACAAAAGGGCATTTAATTAAGCTCAGTCCTGGATTGAACTTTTGTTAACAGCTTCATAATTCATCGAGAGGCAATGACGGAGCGCAACTAATTTCCTCTGAACAGAAAAAAAAACCTGATTAAAGAGGGTAAGTTTGAAGAAAAGAGTCAGAAAGAAACAGTGGCATAATTTGAATAAAATGTGGCGCTGAGGGCTTTCGTTCGGCCCCTAATTTAGTTTCCGTAGCGATCAGACATTACACAAGCTGGCTTTGCCCTTTGAGGAAAGAGCTGCTGTTTATTAATGCAGATGGAGTTTGCACAGTGGAAAGGCTGCATGAGTTTTAACTGTGGGCAAACTAAGCAAAAATAAGGACTTTTTCTCAAGTCTGTTTCATGCTAATAAAACCTAATCATTCAAAAGTATTGACCTAACATAATTACACTACTGAAACGTCATATTTCTGTCAAAGTGATATAATCGACCATTGAACAAATGTTGAAAGGAGCCAAATGCGTTTCTAATGTGGCTGGAGTTTTATGAGCTTATCTTGTGTCGACTTTAGACCCATTTTTATGCATTGACTTTTTAACACAGCAGGAGTTGCATAGTTCTTTGTTTTATCATACATATATATATATATTTGGTTTTATCCTATATTTGCTTTTTAATTATTCTATTGTCTTACTATGGATTTGTTTTGTACTATTTTTTAGTCTTTTATTGTGCAGCATTTTGGAAACTGTACTTAAATTGCTTTTGTCGAACAACTGAATAATGTTTTCCTATTTACATTTGAGTTTAAATGTCTATTATTCTTGTAGAAATAAACAAATGTACAAATGTAAATGCAAAATTAAGCTCTAAACTCATCTCTCAAAAGCCACATTACAGATCACAGTATTTATTTTTGTATATAGAGATTTAGACCATTGTGGTTCAAGAATCAAGCAGGAGGAAAACCAGAGAAGTTACATGTGCAAGATACAATGAATACGCGTGGGCCAACAGATGATTATTAATATGAATCGTATTTGAGAGTGGAGAGATCCCTGTCCTGCCTCTCATAACAACTGCAGTCCTGTTCTGCAAACCACCCGCGATTGGGATTCTCCTCAGAACCTCATTAAAATTCCTCTCCGATGCAGCGGGAGGATTTCATTACACCAACTTTATCCTGTGTTCATCTCCTTGATCTCAACCTCCTATTTCTGTCTCACCCCAGTCCTGCTACTATCACCAGCCCCCTGTCCCCATCTATTTCCATCATCCACTTGACACAAATCAATTGCAAGTTTCCTCTTGTAACCGCACTACTATTACTGCACGAGTGAGACAGAAAGGCAATATCAGACAGAGCTGTAGCATTCCGCTTGTTATAACGATAGACAACTAATCGAATATTTAATCACAACAGGGAGTACATTTTGTGCTCTGGAAGGAAAAAGTGAAACTTTTATAAGGATTTTCAGTAAACCATCTTCAACTCTCAAAGGCGCAAAAGAAAAAAAAGTTTGCTACTGAATTTGACAGGAGTGGTTAATGTTGTGAGAGAGCACACATCCACACGGTTCACTCGATCAGTCAACGTCGTCAGTCACCGCACGGGTTAGCTGAGGCGCTCGTGTTTGGTCATGAGAATACTGTCAGTTGAATCTTTGACCCTGTCTCACGGTGTGATCGACTGCTCGTGTTTTTGAGGCATCACTCATGAGTTTCCCCATGATCACAAGTGCTTCATTGCAGATGAATCACGCACTATAGACACCGGCATAAGCATCTTCATAACATTTAACTTTAACCCTTCTTTGGAAACATGGAGATCGTCCATCTTGATTAATTCATGACTGAAGTACTTGAGGACATCTAAATATTTCCAACAACAACAACAAAAACCTCATTTAGATGTAATCAATAATAATAGCTTTGTGATAAAACCTCTACTCTCTATCTGTTGGACTTGGTGCAAAGGCCGTTAAGAGAGAGACATTTCAACGTATTACTGCAAAATTATGCAGTTCTAACCACCACCGTTGCACCTTGCCTCCTCAGTGAAAATATTCAACTCCCCATATGTTTCCCAGTCATTTGGCAGGCTGTATTACAAAGCTGTAGACTGCAGCAGTTGCACAATTGGCACTCTCTCTGAGCCTCCTCCTTTATGGCGTCGCGGCTCTCTGCTCCTTTGTTGCTTCTTTGATTAAAATGCCTGTCACACTAGTTTAACAGTGACACTACCAGCCTGAACTACATACAAAGCTTTGATAGTGGAGCATAATTAATAGCTGTGGGTCCTATTCTCTGCAGGTTGTAGCTGCTAAAGTCCTTTTCTGAGGTAATTGGGAGTAAAATACGGGACAGAAGAAAAGACTCACCGGTCGGATGTTGTACGCCAACAGGACAAACCTCATGTCTGCAGACACCTGGAACCTGGTCTTAGAAAAATCCTGGGAACAAGATAAGAATAACACATATGTATTTAGATTTTTCAGGTTATGGTTCACGTCTTTATGGTTATTCTGCTGGTATACTCAGGTCAAAGAATCAACAATATTATAAAGTTTAAACTTTAAACTTTATAATATTACTTTGGAACATTATCCATGATGATGATATAGGAGTTCTGTGTGATTGTTTTCCGTAACACTTTTAAATGTTAATCAGAGAACACATTATACATATACATTATTAATACACATGCACGGAGGTTTTCAGAATTATTTGTGAACGTTTTAATGAAAAAAATAATGTTTTTATGCACAAAAAAAGCGATCGCGGCAAACCAGGAAGAAGCTATTATCATGAATTTCACATTATAGGACACATCTGCAGTGGATCTGATTATGGATGTAGGTTCAGTATATACATAAGTACCTCAGCGCGGATGTTCAGAATTATTTGTTCAGTTTGGAGGCTTGATTGAGCATGCGCGCAGCTACGAGCATCAGCGCTGATGATTGACAGCGGGAAGGGAAGGCGGGACTTGCCCGTGATATTAGAATTAATATAATTACTTATTTTATAGCAACATTTAAGAACAGGAGGTCAATTTAACACATTTCCTAAATTTTTTAATTCATTTAGAGTTACAGACTAGCTCTTAAAGCTGGGGCACATTACTTATAATTTTGCACCTTGTACCAAACAAAACTCCTAGTTTGTGACTTCCTGTTACTTACAATGGTGATAAAAAGAGGAAAGGAAGGTAAAGGAGGTAGAGGAAACCTATGCAGACATGGGGAGAACATGCAGACTCTACAAAGAAAGTCTAGAGGTGGAATCAAACCCTTCTTGCTGTGAACTCACCACCGGATCGCCCATATTGATACTGATACCATACATTGATTTCATTACAAACTGTAGCTCCATTCTTTGTGCTTTGAAATTGACGTCGCTTTAAGTGTCATCTTGAATCAAGGCGGAACTTGTTGATGCCTCAAACAACTTCAAACATCACGCTGTACAGGATTCTACATCTGCTCATGTGTGGTCTAGATGAATGCAGATATCCAGACGAACATTTGAACAACATCCGAAACGTAGCGTCCGATCAAAGCGGAGACAAGCGGCTTGTTCCCAACCTGACAGCTCTCAGCTCCTCAGTGTGACCCATATAAGTCAGTGATGTCGTGCTGCGCCGCTGTACAGAATGATGCCCCCGCTCAGAAAATTCTCTTTGAAGGAACACGCTAGGCCTCACGGAGCCGCCAGATTGGGGAGAGCAGCCAGGGGTGCAGACTGAGCAGACTGTCGCTCTGCCAATTTAGTATTTATCTGAAGCCTCCTGTAAGCAACTCTATCCAGCCTTCCATCACGGCGCTTGTGTGTAAATATGAATATGATCGATACTTATGGGCATTTTATAACTCACCAGGGAGCAGTTGTCCAGCAGAGTGGTGGTGATATTACTGTTCAGGCTGAAGGATAACACATGGCCCTCTCTGGTGCGCAGTCCAACTTCATTATCTGAGGAAAGTTATTCAAATGAATCTATTAGCAAGACAAAGGGAGGAGGAAGTTAGAAGAACACATGGATTACATACATCCCGTTAATTCTCTGCTGATGCTGATATGTATCTCCGTTCAGGATTCCCTCTTGTTTGTGCTCTGCGACACTCACTCATACTGACTGTATGAAACGCTGGTAAAAAATAAACTTGTTTTGGCTGCTTTTTGTGTGTAAATGTAAATCTGAGCCACCTTTCGGACTCATGAACACTTAACACACGTAACTCATCACTATTATGTGTACTCAGTGAGCACTTGTATAAAGTACATTTCTTAAGAACATTACTTATGCATCCCTTATTACTATTGTTTACTCTTATGACTTGTTTGCACCAAAGAATTCCTAGTTTCTTGTTACTCACATTGGCAATTAAAATAATTCTGATTCTGAGTTATCTGAATAAAAAAAGATGTAATTGCAATCGCTTTTTTATATCGAACATGTAACTCTGTATTTGCATATAATCAAAACTGATTTTATTCATCATTTTCCATTTTTAAGGTCACATGGTTAATTCATTGCGTTGTGGTACTCGCATCTGCACATTGAAACAGGCGAGCTAATTTGTCCAAGGCCCTAATTCAAAACAAGATTTCACATGAAGAGTTCGAACGCTCAACTTGGTTTAACAACTTATTACAATGACTATTTTCCTCTTGTTGTGACAGTTTTAGAAAGTCATGTATTTATTTTTAGTGAAAGTCGTCCGTACAGAGAATTATAGAATATCTCATTGTGTAAAAATATGCACAAGCTGTTCGTGTTTTTTGCTAACAAACCCAAACCAAATAATGAATGTTGATCTAAATTAAGTGTCATTAAGCTAAATTCAGCAAATTGGAAAGAGATTGATACGAAATTACTCTTGTTTGTCCTTTAAGTCCCATTTAGTTCAAGTGGTTAATCGCTGACAACATTCCCTTCATGAATTATAGATGGAGTAAACACAAGCACATCATAGAAAACCAATGAATAGCAAAACTCATTATAAGTGGAAATGTTGCTGTGTTTTTAAACAGGAAAAGCTTTTAATTGGAAATTGATCCTTACCATTCAACCAAACCACTGAGGGATCATGGACTTTGAACTCTTCACTCTCGATGTCCTCCATGGTGAGGTGGGAGCGCAGTAACAGGTGCGACTCATCTGAATGAAGAAACAATAACATTAGATTTATTTAGAACAGTGCATTAATGACTTGGGATCATTTAACAACTGTTGTCCCACAGTCGCACTCACAAACACACACTCATTCAGAACAAACCGGAACAGCCTACGCAGACACGAGGAGAACATGCAAACTACACACAGAAAATTCCTGTCTGAACTGGAGTTAGAAGAAGGACCTTCGTCTATACAGTGGTCCCTCGTTTATCACAAGGGTTACGTTCTAACAATAACCCACAAATTAGCAAATTCAAAATCAGCAAATCAAAAGCCGTGCATAAACTGTAAAATACAGCTGCAGAGACCTCACTGAGGGGCAGGAGCAGAACTGAGGCCTGCGCGAAGACCGCGGGTGTCCTCTGAATAACCACAGCGGTTCACACAATAAGTACATCATATAATACTGGCGGTTATATGTAAATATATAAATTTCTCCTTTGTGAGATCAATAAAGTATATCTTATCTTATCTTATGTTGTAAACAATATTGTTGGAGTATATGAGAATGAGAATCACGCTGAAAAACAAAAACATTTTTGTGAAATAATCTGGGCGTGAAAGATGAACCACGTTATTGTGAGGGACCACTGCATACTATATACAAAATGAATTAAACTGAGGTTGACATATTGGATAACAAATAAAAATGAGGAATGGAAATCAATAAGCTAGATGCTTGCTTGATGCACAGTCCTATTTGAACATAACACATTCTTAAACATGAGTTAATGGTGAATAGAACATCAGAAGCTTGGTTGGTCCTTTAATCTGGAGGTCAGCAGTTTAAATCCTGAATCAGATCCACTGACCCACAGCTGCAGCTCCCATTGCAGTTGTGTCCACAGGCAAGACACTTAACCCTCCCTCACTGTCTGCATGCACTGGAATGAGTGAATGGGTGGTAAATGAGTGGTTCCTTGATGTAAAAGTCCTTTGAGTGCCATGAACAGTAGAAATGTGACCATTTAGATCCATATCTACATTGCTATTATAGGCTGATGGATAATAAACCTTAATTCTGAGACCTCCTGATTGAAAAGCCCCAAGCTGATCCTCGGTGATCAGAATTGCTCAATCATAATTAAAGATTGATTATCTGCATGAGCTGTTCTATTTCAGCACCGTAAAAGCTTGAAGAGCAAGAGGGAACCATCTTCAATAGGGCCCTTGTCTGTTTAACAAATTTAAGTTAATCGGCCTTTGTGGTTCTTACCTGGAGTGAGGACGATGACGGAGAGAATGACCAGGGACATCACAGCGAGGATCACCACCATTGCAATACCGATTCCCTTCCAGTTTCGAGGTGGACCATCCGAGCTCCCCAGGTCCTGAGCATGATCAAAGATGAGTATGGTAAAACATATGAAATCAACAAATACGTAACATTAAATAGAAAAAGCGAACTTTACAGTCAGTGCTGGTGGTGCTGCAGTTCTGTTTATTGTGCTTTTGCAAAATTAAATGTATTCCTTTGATCCAGAGTAAAAAATAAATAAAGTCACACCTCAAATGAAGGATAGAAATGGCTGCAATAAATTAATTTTATAAACAGTCAACTGCTTAACCCTTTAATGGTGCTTCAAGCTTGGAACTGAAATCTACCTCAATGGGGCTTCTCTATCACTTGGTTTTAGGCACTTTTACTAATCAATGGTATGTCAACCAAATACTGGGGGTTAGAAATATAAAAAAACAACAACAACAAAAACTCTTATTTTTGTTATTAGTGCGCCTGCATTTTAGGGGGAAAAAATTACATTGCTTTCTTCAAGGAGTGAGCATTAAAAGGTTAAAGCGCAGTCACCATAAAGGACAAGTTACAGAGCTTCATAAGAGCAGCAAGTAAATCAACATATACAAATATACGTGTAAATGATATATAGACATATGGCAGGATATATAAAGTAGATAAAGTGAGATCCAGTGGACATTCTGAAATTGCAGTATTGCACATGATTGCAGTATTTACTAATTACTATGAGATGACATGTACAGCAGTTCTCAGTCTGACAGCAGCAGGAAAGACAAAACCTCTCCTTCACAATTACGGCTCCATTCTGATTAAGCCTTAACATTAAAAGTTATGTTTGAGAGTTGAATAAAGCATTAAAGCACTAACATTTGACCTCCCAGAGTCAAACACAGACATGAGTGAAGAGAGGATAGAATATTAGTGCTGCTTCATTTGCAGACACAGTCTCCGCCGTATCACAGAAACTCCTGGGGGGATTGATACCAGTCCTCAGTCGTCAGCTGTGCACATATTTCACCAAATTACACTAATTTACGAATAAGAACGGCATAAAATCACGTTACGGGCTCTAATTACTGCGGCAATTTACACCAAACTGTGAAGTTTTTCTATCAAGACTTCTGCAAGGGTATGCAGAAGCAAATGAGAGAATTCTATAGGGACAAGTTTCCATATGAAGAGGTTTGAGGTAAATGAGCCATTACCAAATTGCACAATAACTGGTTGCACCTGCTCAGGCCCATGTTTATTATGTCAGGATGTGGCTGTAGGTGCTAGAATTGTTTTTTTTTTTTTTAAGTATTGGGTTTTTCTGCCAAAGACAATTTATGGTTTTTGTGATGTGACAAAAACCTTTTGACATGTTTCGATACTTATGTATCTTAAAGTTCTTGTTAAAAAAGTTCATTTTCATTTAATAAAATGATAATGATGCAGGTACACCTTTTCAAAGAGAAATACACTTTTATTTTTAAAGACCACCGCTGGAAGTGGCGGAAGTAGCGGGCGGGCTTTGATGCCAACGGAGTTAAGCTAGCGGCTTTTTGTGTAAAGTTCTGAAGAAGATGACAAAGTCTGGGATCGCGTCTTTCATTCAGACAGAAGACATGTTTTATTGTCAATGGTAGAGACAGCACGAACAAAGCACACGAACACAGATACAACAGAATGCAAGTGTATTATACAGAGCGGAGGCATGGAGACCTCCAATCAGCAGCTTCCACGGTGCCATGTAGCTTGGCCTTCAGATAGACAAAACAAGGGAAAAGTACAGGCTTCTGCACATTGATAGAATGATGAATTTAACTTTAACAAAAGTTGCTTAAAAGTGTTATGAAATCTCACAGTTCTTCGCCAAGAATGTAGCTCTGCAGCGTCTCTTTGTCCAGAGACCTTCCAGAGACTTTATCTAACAGCAGTATGTGTTCACAGAGGTGCGCCATATGTTTATTTTATTATTAAACTGTTCTTGCGCGCCGGCGAACACGCTAACGCTAGCTGCGCTAGTTTAGTCACTTCTACAGCCTGAATGAGAATTCAGGCTGGCATATGTTCACAACTATCGTGTTCCCCATTGTCAATCCTGGTTAAGTCCTAGTTTAGTCCTGATTTAGGTCCTGTTTTGGCTGTATTTTGTATTTTTGAGTTGTTTCAGTCTGCTCGCTAGACCGAGAATGTTCCTGTGAACACTTTGCGGCTCTCTGACCTGAGAGAGAGGGGGAGAGAGAGAGAGACGAGGAAAACAAACAAGTATGCAAATGGAATTTATCGCGGCCAGAAAAATGATTGAGCTAATTTTAATTATCATGCGATTAATTTATTTATTGAATATTGCGACAGGCCTAGTAGTTGTGTGCTGTCATAGATGCTGTGATGGACTACTACAACTGCTCCCTTCAAGCAAAATAAATCCTGAGAAAGAGACCAGAGAGACCAGAGAGAGACCAGGGAGAGACCAGAGAGGGACCAGAGAGAGACCAGAGAATCGGGAAAGGGCAGAGAGAAACCAGTTAAATAAACAAAAGTTAAATGAGTAAATCTTGCTGTAAGACTCAAAATGTACTCAAACTTAGTTAAAAAACACTCTATTCAAGCATTGTTACCTCATATTCCATCATATTTTTCAGCTCTTAACAGATTCTGGTTCCAACAGACTTGGAACCAGAACACATAAAGACCCCATACAAAACTCCTCAGAACACACCTTTACAAATCTCATACAAATGTAGTAAAGTGCTAAAGTTCGATATGTCATGTCATGTCATTGTCTTCCCCTTATTAATCCATTTCTGGGTCGGGGAGTGGCAATCATAGCACCAGTCCCTCGCTGATCCTCCTGCAGGAGGTGGGTCCACAGGATGATGGCTTCTCCGTCATCGATGAGATGACCTTGGTATTTCAGAGAGGGGTTCAGGCAATGTGGGGTTAAGTATGTTGCCCATGGACACAATGACAGCAGACATCAGTGGGAGCAGATGACATGGGTCGTGGTGGGCTCGAACCCACAACCATTAGGTCTAAAGACCAGTGCTCTACCAACTAGTGCACTGGTACTGAGTTACTATGGTTACTAGGGAAACACTATCTGTTTGTAACTTGTTGCCAAAGCTCTATATCTTGTTGCTATGATACTTGGTTACCATGGCGATGATGTCATAAAGCCAATGACATCACCACATTCTTAAGGTATTCTGTCCTTAGGTGGCCTGTGTTGAACCATAGGACCAGGGTGCTTGGTACCTGCGGCCCATTGCTTCGCAAAAACACATCACAAGGCTACTCAAAAATCACCACAATTTCAAAATGGAGACCAGGAGAACAGTGAGAAGGATCATAAAACTGGAGAATGAGGACTCTCAACTCGCTGAGACCATAATACATGAGCATGTAGAGAAGCAGCGGTTGCGATTGCAGCAGGAGGAACTGGCTCAAAGAGAGGCTGAGGCCAGAGACAAATTAAGCGCTGAGGTGAAGCGTGAACTCAAGCAGAAGAGAGAGCAGCAACTTCTGCAGATCCATCTGCTGCAAGAACAGATGAAGACACGCCACCAATGTGGGCTGGAGTCAGAGCGCAGGAAGGCCCAGAAAAGGTGGCGGCGGACGGAAAAGTGTGCTCAGAACAATAAACGCCTTCTGGAGGAACGGCATAAAAGTCAGGAGCAGGAGGAGAGAGAGACCCAGAAGAAGACGGAACAGGGAGAGTACGAGAAGCAAGTGGAGATGGCCATCCGTAGAGCTTCCATGGAAAACCGTATCGCTCTTCCTCTGTGGGGCCAAAGAAATGGTAAAGTCGATAATCGCCTTCACTTCTACAAGGACGAACAAGGCTTCATCGTAAACTCCAAGAGGAAGTTTGAGCCTCGTCAGTCTTTAATTTTGACCGATGAGACGCCCAAAAAACAGGTGACAGTACCTACAAGCAACACCACTCCAAAACCAAAGAGTGTGAAACGAGTAAGAGTACAGGAGCAGAAACAGCCATCCCCCAGTGTTTGCCGAGGGTTAGGGTTAGAGCCAGTCAAAAAGTTGGACCAACCATCACCAAAGTTGTTGGCCAACAGAGAATCTAGGGGATCAGCTCTTCCTATGAGGTCAAATTTACGAAACAGTGTGGTCCTGACAGAAGATTGTTCCAAACCTGCTCTGGAACATAAGTGTGAGGAACTTAAATTACCTGTAACTAATTATCCAAAAAAGAAGCTGAGCATAATCCCAGTTCACGCACCAACAGGTGAAACCAAGTCTGAGACAGGAAAGCATCCTGCAATTCAGCGTCAGGTGAAGTCAAAACCATTGCCAGAGGAGGAGGAACTATGCGGAATTGTGGGCAATGTGAAGGTGGTTAGAATTCCAACCCGGGGGGCAAAGCGAAGCCAAGTTCCAGGTTTGGATCCAGACACATTAGCCGTGATGTTCCATCCACGTCCCCCCATGACACCAAGACAGCCTGGAAGAACCGGAACGTACAGAACCAGCCACACGGTTGTCACATTCCCCCAAGACCTAGCAAACGACTCCAAAGTCCCAAACAAAGTCGCTCCAATCCTCACAACTCCCCAACATGTGAGACCCCACATTAGTCACGTCTCTTTCTTTTAAGAAGTAGCTAAAACTTGGATATAAACAGGTTCGCAAAACTCCCAATTATATGTGAACTGAAAAGTGTCCAAAAATATCCCCAAAGTGTCAGAAAAACAACAGAATGTCTGATTCTATTGTTTTGTCCGTATTTGGCAAACCAACACACGCTGACCTCTCAGCCATGAGTTGGAGATTTATAACCTGTGGGTGTGGTTAGACACTACACCCACAGGTTATAAATGGTCTCTCTGTGGTAACCTCTACCCCCATGTCGAGGTGTCTAACCCCTCCCTCCCATGGCAAACACAAGACCTGTTTGCCATGGGAGGCCCTACCAGGGTCTGATTAGACCCCTCATATGGGGTGTCTAACCACACCCATCCATCCATTTTCTTCCGCTTCATCCATTGCCAGGTTGCGGGGGCAGCAGTCTAAGCAGAGACGCACAAACTTCCCTTTCCACACACAATTACTCCAGCTCATTGTGAGACCCTGCATTAGTCACGCGTCTTTCTTTTAAGAAGGAGCTAATACTTGTATTGCTACAGGTTCGCTAAACCCCCAATTAGAAGTGAACGAGTCAGTAATGTAACAAGGGCTTGGGATTATGGTTCAAATTCTATGACAGCTCAGGAGTCTTCTGTGGGGGTTGGTTCTTTATCCTCTCCAATGGTCCAGTGTGTGCCATTGGATCTGAATCCAATGACACACACTGACCTCACCTACTGACTCTTTTTGGCACATTTAGAGTCACACAATCATACAAGGGACCATCAAACTGCAGGCAAAGCCCTGGGATATCTGATCTTGTTGTTTTGTTCATGTTTGTTGATCTGCACAGCTGACCTCTCCTCAGAAATGTGTCAAATTATCCCCAAAGTGTCAGCAAAGCAACAGAATGTCTGATTCTATTGTTTTGTCCGTATTTGGCAGACCATTACAATGACACACACTGACCTCTAAGCCGTGAATTGGAGATTCATAACCTGTGGGCGTGGTGTCTACCTAACCTTATAAATGGTGGCAAATTGGGCTTTCATGGAGTGATTCAAAAGGGCCGCGGGGGCTGTAAAATGTGAAAGAAAACGCATCTGCGCATGCGTCAGCCTGCACAAGCCCCATTCATTTAAACGAGGGACTTCAAAAATTCACAGCGAGTAAACAAGACTGGTCCAAAAACATTCACCCCCCTCAGCATTGACACACATGTGGAACGGAGCTTTGGGCCAAGAGCCGACTTTTGGACCATCCTGTAAAGGTGTTTTCAAGAGGTCATCTAATGCTATATGTTAGCATTGGATGCATTTTATTCCGGGTCCCCCGGGTCTTATTGAGCCGGGACCCGCCCCCACAGGGAGGGACGCAATCCTCTCATTCACCGGGAGAAAAATAGGTCCTCGTAAATTGTTGGTTTTGTACTTTACTTATGTTTTTAATAAATCTGTGATTGTATTGAAGAAGATGACAAAGTCTGGGATTGTGTCTTTAATTCAGATAGAAGACATGTTTTATTGTTGTTGGTAGAGACAGCACGAAGACGAACAAAGATGTTACAAAATGCAAGTGATAATATAACAAGTATGCAAATGGCTTTTATCGCGGCCAGAAAAATGATTGAGCTAATTTTAATTATCATGCAATTAATTGATTTATTGAATATTGCGACAGGCCTAAGTATTAGCAGATAAATTCTTTTTATCTTATGAATCGGCACTGATATTCTATAACAGTATCAGTTCTAGCTCATAGGCCTGTCAAAGATCCTCAATACCTGCCACCAACTGAAAAGAAAAATGTACGACCTTTTCTCTACATATTACTATTATTTTGAGTTGAAAAGTGCATTAGCCTTGAAGAAAAAACAAAGCTCTGCCCTATTATTCTCAATTAAAACAATCCCGTTTTGCTGCTCCCACAGACGCTCTGTGGCCAGTGAAGTGTGTGAGCTCAATCACAGAGCGCCATAAAACTGCCCTGGGAACGACCACTGATAGGACCTGACCCTGCCTGCTTCTCCGACACGGTCACCTTCCTCTGGGCGTTGGATGTACGGGCTCTGGCAGCCTGTGTGTGTGTGTGTGTGTGTGTGTGTGTGTGAGGGGACAGATTGTTGCTGTTATCAGGCTTCACTATCACCATCACACACCAGCTGTCCACAGAACACTGCCATACGCTGCTTCCTCTTGCTGTGCACATGGCATAAACATCACAGCCCTTGATATTAGAATACACCAATGATATTATCTGCATCAATTCCTTTGTGATAGCTCATGTAATGTTTTAATCATGTTGAATTCTCTGTTCCACACACCAGAAATGTTGGTGGTTAAATTGTCTTGCCCAGAGACAGCAAATTGCCTGTGTTAAACGTCTGCTTGGATTCCATTTTAAATTCCTTATCTTTATCTATACAGTGGGTGCGGGCTGCCAGCCAGGCCAGTGTAATACAGCAGAAGTTACTTCTGCAAGAGGAGGGACACTTTTGTATTCTAATTAGATAGCAGAGCAAAAACATAAGCTTATATTAGCCTTTCTCTTGTCTGATCAGTAGAAAACTCTTTTATAAAAAGTTTTTAAAAAACAAACTTCTTACTCTTTTTATCTTAGATAGGGCTGTAGAAATCATTTGTTTTTTACCTTCTACCATCTGAGATGAAAATGCTACTGTTTTCCTGCAGCCAGTGTCCTGTCTTAAATAAATTAGCCCAGCCAAACTTTGTAAAACTTTTCAGATTAGAAACCAAACTGGTTACACCTGTGGAAGTGGAACAAGCTGTGCAGCGGTGATTGATGTCCCTCTTGGCGTATCTCCTGCCCCTTTAACACCAGCCTTTATCTATTCTCTGCTGCTCTTGGCAAACAGCACACGGCTATTAAACGTTGCAGATAACAGAAACTGCTAGGGGATGGTGAGTGGAATACATCTGATCAAGACGAAAAGTCCAACGCAGCAATTTCTATTGTGGTAATTCATCACTTTTGTATATGTGGATGCATAAAAATTTGCCCAACTAAAAGTCGAGGGCCTGCGATATCCTTAAGGGCCGGCAATCACAGCGTTTCTGCAATCCCATGGCTCACAAAAGTAACAATACTAATGACAAAAGATACGGTGCAGGGTATTTTGCAGCTTAAGTTTCTAGAGATACATTTTAACAACAGCATTTGTCAAAAAAAAACCAGCAAAACAGGGATGTGTACCTCGAGGGAGGTAATCTGGGACTAACCAGAACCAAGGTAAACAAGATAAAACCAATTGAAGATGAGTCACATCTCAACCAGTGTGAGTGCCCTCAAAAATTATTGCTTTAAAAAAAACATCTAAGTAGAGTAGCTAACACCGCCTATTATTATGCAATTACACTGACACAAATAATAAATGCAAAGTGGGTAAAGTGTCTTGACGTCTTTCCCAAGGATATATATTATCTGAAATTATGCTTTGCCAGAGCCAGGAATTAGGGCAGAGAGCTGCTATACATTTCATAAAGTCAAGCAACAGAAATGCCAAAGTTTAAACATAATAAAGATATTAAAATTCCAAATAGGGGGACTGAGGAAAAATGTGTGTGTGTGTGTGTGCAATTTCAGTGGTTTAGTTCTATAAAGCGTATATATGGAGCAAACGCTTGATAAATGACGCTCTATGTCCATTGGCAACACAGGAAATTGCTCAAGGAACTGGGTTAACCTACTGTTCTCTTTTTGCCTTTGTTCATTTAGGTTTTCATGTTATCAAGACCAGATTCTACTTTACAATAATGACCCGGCTAGTTGAAAGTTAAGTGCCTTCACTGAATCTAACACACACCGCATCTAACAAACATTTCTGTATCGAGAAGCACAGATCCTCTCCTCCAAGTCTGAACATTAAACCCCAGTTCCAATTAAGGTCGTCTCATTGTGAAAACCGTTGGAAAATCCCGCATTTGTGTGAATGGTGAGTTTTGTCAGACTTGCAAATGAGCCCAAGTTGCAGCGAGGCGTATCCCCAGAGAGAGTGCAGGATCTAATGCAGCACAAACCGATGCTGGTCAGTGTTACACAGCAGCCCATGTCTCCTGGAGGCGCTCCTGAACCCGGGAAGTCCTCTCACACCACATTCTGCTGAGACGGATCAAATATTAAACATTCTCACTGCTGCAGTATTCCCCATATCCCTTTTGTGCGAAGGGAATGTCCAGATGAGATTTCACTCAACTCCACAGGGGGCAGTAAGATCTTTATGATTACTAGTTTTTTTAGTTATAGTAAGCAGCGGCTTGTTACGATTCTACACTTATGAATATAGACAGGCTTTGTGATAGAAGAGGTGTGTGCTCATCACTTATGGATAGGATTATAGGTACTCTCACATACAAAATCACATTATTATACAGCTGGGTGAAAAAAACAGACAAAGCTTACAAAAGAGCTGCACATACAGACAAATACACATACGTATATATATAGAGAGAAAATCTTGTCTCCATATGTACTTGGGACCAAATACTAATGAAGAAATAAGTGCCTTAAGCTGGAATTTGTTCCAATTGCAATTAATCATGGCTTCATCATCAGTCTGTTGACAAGTTATTATCAACTCAGGCAGTGTGTTTCCAGAAGTACATTTCCCATAGGGATTTTGGGGAAGCAAAGTTGAAAGTTATACTGGAGAATTTTTATTATGAATCTGTTTCTGGAGCGCTATTTTATTAACAAATGTTACAAAATGTAGGTTTTTTTTAATGGAATTGTGCTTTGAATAGTAATTAGTAACTTTAGTTAGTAACTCTGATAAGAATATTTCTATTGTAACCAAGTGGGACGGACTTTGCTGAATAAATGATGTGCAGCAAATTAAAATACTACATTGTAATTATGGCTGTAGGAACATAAACATCATGTCCTGTAAAACACCAGTTGAAAGGTTTTGTGTGAAAAGTTTTTCATGAATTCTATTAATTATTTGTATTTACAGATACAATGTTTTATAAAATAGTTCATTTCAATGCCAGATTAGTCTTCAACCACAATCTGTATAGAACCATGTTACAGTATGTTTCTGTGAATAATTGTTGGTATATCTTTTGCATGTTTGAAATAAATAAGACAGTGTGGATGGGGAAAATGTTGCCGTATGGTTTGTAATTCTTTTGACATAGTATGCATTGTTCTTAGACATGTGTGAAGATCCACAACGGACCACATACGCAGCTATCATCCCAGCAGGTGTTCATGAGTCCAGATAACAGTCCCTTTTAAGCATCACACCCCTGGAGAGGTTTTGAGGCGAAACACAAAAGTGGCATTACAGAGAACTGGCAATACCTGTGCCAGCAGCTCTGAAGGATTTTCACTCAACCAAATGAGCAAATCGATGCACCGTATACAGTTACACGAAGTCCAGGGGGAAACAATTAATATGGCTATAAAAGAGGCTTCCACATTGTAAGCCTCAGGAGCATCGTTTCACTGAAGCAAGACTCCAGCTCTCCCTAATAAAGCCACATTTTAAACCTCCTTCAACCCAACATAATAGGATTCCTGAATTAACCGTGACGTTTACTATTCTCACTGTAGGCGCGCTGTATCTTTTCTTTGCTTAGTAAAACAACAATTTCTATGGTTTTTCATTTTCAACTGTATCTTTTTTACTTTTCGTTTTCTTGACCTTTTTCTAACTGTAAAGAAGTTTACCTTAAGTGTGCAATATATATATATTATTCTTTGTAGATTTTGTACATTTCAAAATCAATAGAGGAAATCACTTAATTTCACATGATGGTTAATTATTTATTCATATTTGATATATCGACATTATATATATATATATATATATATATATATATATATATATATATATATATATATATATATATATATATATATATATATATATATATATATATATATATATATATATATATATATATATATATATATATATATATATATATAATATATATATATATATATATATATATATATATATATATATATATATATATATATGTAATATATATATATATATATATATAATATTTATATATTTATTATTATTATGTAATTTTCTGACACAACAAATAAAATCACTTTTCTCATTACTTTTTTCAGTTCCTTTGGCACATTCTAAGAAACTGCAGAAAAGTTTTGCACAAATTGCTAAACATTTTACTCAAGTTAACTCTGTGAAAGCCAGAAATTAGCACTTTCCAAACTAAATACAAAATCTAAAGAAAAGTATCCATCATCAGCTTTCCATGTTTCAGATATGTTTATATTCAGTAAGAGCCCAAACATCCAAAAATTGTGGATGTTGTTTCCCTTGTGTCTTGGATATGTGCAGAATTTCAGTAAACTGTAAAAGATAGAACTATGTCATTAAATCTAACTAAGTTACTCATTCAAAAATAGTTTAGTTCTATCACCAGCCCACGCATGTATTATTGGACTCACTTCTTTAGATCAGCTTTTTCAGAAAAGTGAAACGGAGAGGCCCACCATCATTGTCCTTAAAACACAGCCAAAGGATATCTTGTGGTGTGCCTGCAACTTGGATTACCTAAATATCTTTTTAAATCAATAAGATTCCAGTTTATCTTCAATCACGAATCATGATCAACTCAGCAGCCCCCAATTACTGCATTTCCCTTTTGCAAACGCAGCACAAAATCAAACAGATGATATTGGCTGAGTTCCCAAACTTCAAAAACAAGCCGAGTCAATCCAAGTCAATCCAGACCACATGTAGGCTGAGCGTAGACCGGGGCCAGGCACTGCTAAGAATTCATAAATTAGACTCAGGAGACCCCCTTAACTCCATCTTCTCTGTCTTTGAGGCACAGTGATCCTGCAATAAATCACAGGCGCTTGTTCCCAGAGTGTAGCTCCAGCGGCAACCATGTTTATTACACACTACATGACGCTGGCAGTAAGTGAGGCAGCTACCAACATAAAATGCTAAAATCTATATAGGCATGTCCAGAAACCTCTTAGTGCCGTTCTTGATTTAAATATTCACCATAATTGGCCACATGGGAGGGCTGTAGATTATAACGAACACATATGAGCCGTACTGCATAACTGTGTCATAGTGTCATTTCAAGGATACTGAATATTTTGTAAAGTGAGGTTGAGGTTGAAAAATTCCAAAGCCAAAGCACAAATTGTGAAAAAAGGTTGAATTTCATGTTTTCTGATGAGCGTGCCGCAGCAATTTTGAAAGATTCAGTAAACACAACACATTTTTAAGGCACTGACAGCAGAAGGGAGCCTGAAATGAATTGCAGAATTGACTACATTTCAGAACTAATAGAGTTTAAGCATAAAATGTGCTGACTAATAAGAACAAAGGTCCAACCAAAATAACCTAATGAACCTGATTGTTAAAACTTATTGATACTGGAGGTCCTTGTATTACCTAAAAAGAAGTTACAATGTTCCAGTTGCAACCATTTAAATTGCAGTGGATTTAAAACACTTTTCGTCTAGCATTTCTATTGACATTAAAAAGAGTCTGCATTTTGTCTTAAGCAATCCCTCCTCTCTCCCCCCCACCTACTGCTGCACTATTCCAGCTTTTAGAAGTATTTTTTGTATCACCAAAAGCAGTGGGTGGCAGCACGCATGACATATGGGACTATCAAGAGCCCTGGAGGTAACATCCAGACAATGCAGCACAAGTCTAAGTGGAATAAGAGACCTGCCTTTTGAGCCTGTACTGCTGCAAGGCTGTGGGTTTTTTCATGCTGCCTTTATGAAATGAGGGAAAAAAAGAAGGTAAAAATAAAAAACGGGTCGAGTTAGGGCGTCTATTCAGCTGCATGTCTGAGATTTAAGCCTTTAGGCAACAAACATGACATGGAGAGAGCTGTTTCAAAGTAGTGTGGTGTCTTCCTGTCCATTATTATGCGCATTCAGCCAGACTCCTCAAGGTTATATAGTCTCTATGAAAGTAACAAGTAATTGAGTTTCGAGTTTCAATTTTATATCACAATTAGAAAACCCCAATGACAACAAAGGCTTGATGTAGCTACAAACCTTCTAATCCCATAGTGTAAACATGTGCATCGATGACTCATATATATTATAATGTCTTACAGGCTTAGTTGTTGTATCCACATACAACATTTGGATATGAATATTTAAATGCATTATCACAATGTGCAATTTAACAATTTTATAATCAGGATTTAAATTGAATTGGGCAACTGTCAACCTACATTAAAAGATTAAGAGATCCTTTATTCATCCCAGTGGGGAAATTTCAGGGTTGCATCACAAGTTACTGAACAGGAATGAGGAGCACACAACAGATAAGAAAGATAAGTACAGCACAACTCTACTTAAAAAAAGTTGACAAATAAACAGAACAATGATCATGTGAGATTTCATAACACTTTTAAGCAACTTTTGTTAAAGTTAAACTCATCATTCTATCAATGTGCAGAAGCCAGTACTTTTCCATTGTTTTGTCTATCTGAAGGCCAAGCTACAAGCACACCGTGGAAGCTGCTGATTGGAGGTCTCCATGCCTCCGCTCTGTATAATACACTTGCATTCTGTTGTATTTGTTGTTCGTGCTGTCTCTACCATCGACAATAAAACATGTCTTCTGTCTGAATTTAAGACGCGATCCCAGACTTTGTCATCTTCTTCAGGTGGTGGAAGGATGCGGGCCTTGTCTGTAACATCTACAGAACAGAAGACTACTTTTTTTTTTACACAAAAAGTGTTTTTTTTTTAAGACAAAGCTGAAAAACCTCAAGAGAATGCATCTGGATCAGCACATGGACAATCTGCACAGCCCCTGATTCCACTCAGGCTGTGAGCTGCTGAGACATGGACAACACCAGCGTCCTCTTTTGCATGGACACCATTTGGAAAAATTGGATTACATAATTTGGAACAATTGGATTTCTGAATTTGGACATAATTTGGACTGAATTGAATTGCTGAATCTGGACACTAAAGCTGAAACGTGTGATTGAAAGACACGTCACAGAAGAATTCATGGCTCGACACAACAAATGCAGCCTGAAGGAACCAACACGGAGAAGTGGGAGAGACTGTTTTCAAAGCAATATCTGAGAACCATCGACTGATGAAGTTTGGTATTTTACTGAAGATTTTTGACAAGTTTTATGAAAGATCTGAAAATGTTTTATGAGTTTTCTGAGTTTTTGAAGTATTCCGAGTTCTGAGTTTTTTGAAGTACCGAGTGAAGTACCAAGTTTATGAGTTTAAGTATTGAGTTATGATGTTATGTTGCTGTTTATCGATCCTGATGGTCACACGGGAATGTGTGACCAGAGGGGGGAATGTGAGATTTCATAACACTTTTAAGCAACTTTTGTTAAAGTTAAGCTCAACATTCTATCAATGTGCAGAAGCCAGTACTTTTCCCTTGTTTTGTCTATCTGAAGGCCAAGCTACAAGCACAACGTGGAAGCTGCTGATTGGAGGACTCCATGCCTCCGCTCTGTATAATACACTTGCATTCTGTTGTATTTGTTGTTCGTGCTGTCTCTACCATCGACAATAAAACATGTCTTCTGTCTGAATTTAAGACGCGATCCCAGACTATGTCATCTTCTTCAATCACATGTATAAACATATAGTATAAACTTGTATAATATAGTGCAAAGAAATATATACTTTGTATGTTTGTATACATAAAGAAAGATAAATCTGTAATACACAATATGAAGTCATTAAGGATAGGAGCCACTTCAGCCTCTACCTCAGGCCACTAAGCGGCAGTATGGTGTTCTTAACAGTATTTAAGGTTGGAGAAGGTGTGATGGTTTTGGTTGTGGAATGAATGTGGATGGCTGAAATAAAGGACAAAGCCTAGATGTAGATTGAGCAGGTTACCTTTTTAAATCCATAGCATCCAATGTATTTTTAAGCTACGTAAATAAAGAGCACATTTACATTACATTAGACATTTATGTATGGTTTTACAGATAAAATATACTTTTCTGATCATCATAAGCTTTTAAAAATAAGTGTCACAAAATCATAGGATTGCATGCTACAGGTTTAAGTACGTTTTTGTCGCTGCACTAAGAGAGCCTGAGTACATTGTCAAAGACTAAACATTTACAGACATAATTACTCGATGGTCTTGGAAATTGGTTCTCCAGGTGGTACTTCAAGCAGAGTGACTATGGTATTCCTGGCTGGTGGCTGAACAGGTGGGGAATGGGAAGGTAGAGGTGGTCAGGGTAGAGGGACGTTTAAACATTTTCACCACAACTGCTACTATAGGAGTCAATGTTCAGCCTTAACCTTTAACCTTTTCAGGGTAAAGGCTAAGGTTATGAGTCAACTTGCAACAGTGATCCTGGACTGTTAATTACTTGTTGATATCAGATCGTGCCTCTGCTAACACCGCTGTCTCCGCCTGACCATGGTTTTATTCATTGTCTAAGAAGTCTACAGCCAATCTTCTCAACATCTGACTACAAGTGTGTAAAATGGGATTCATATAGTCATGTCTAAAAGGTATTTCTATAAAAAGACAAAAAAAATCAAACACAAAATTGAGGCTAATAATTGGGAATAATTTTGCTCTACCCTACATATGTATCTATCATATCTCGCACCTTCTTGAGAAAACACATGTAAGTACAATAGAAGCACTATGCAGCGGTCTCCCTCTCTTGTGCCTCCATGAAATGCAACATGACAATCTGAAGACTAATGAAGCTCTGGCGAAAACGAGAAGATTCTTCCTGCCTCATTAATCGCTTTACTGTGCAAATCATATTGAGTGAGCGCAGGGCCACAGCACGCTGCGACATTTCCAGGTAATAGATGGACTCTTGGTCTGTCTGCAGCCTGTGTGTGGCCCTTTGAATCAGACAATAATGCAGCAGGAATAGTCATTTCACTATAACTTCATCACATTAACGGCAATGCTGCTGCACTTGTGGGATGTGTTCATTGTCAAGCATCATTTTGCAAGCAATAAAAGTGCTCCATTTAACACTTAGCACTAATGGAAATATTGTCCTTGTTTTCCATGGGTGAAATAAGGAAGATTATGTTAAGTTTGTGTAAGCCCTCAGTCGTACAGGGATTAGTCAAAGCAAAGGAAGGTTTCTCACCCATCATCTGTACTTCTTAGCAAGTTTTCCCGACGTTTCGTCCTCAACCTGGGGACTTCTTCAGGGAAGATTATGTTACTTGATTGTTTTTGTAATTTGGTGTTATTATATTATCATTATTATTATTATTTGGTATGATCATTATTTTGCATTAACTTCAATCTCATCTAGCGCCTGAAAGTTTTCAGGATAAAGATTGAACAGTGTTTCATGTAAAGCAAAGAAAAGATAACTTAGAATCCCTTCTCATCAGGTGTTTATCTGATGAAGATAGTACATTCATAATCAATTATATTCAACAGAGTATAACATGGCATGAAATAGCCATGCCATGTTATAACCCTAAGGACATTAGCTTTGATATTTGCTATATGGTGTTCCATTGTGTAGCATTATACACGGCGTTATAGTACAGCAACATTTGGATAAACTGAATATAATTCTGGCTCTACCCCTGAACAATACTGATTCAACAGTAGGACCAAATGAAGACAAATGTGAACACAGCCATTTTGTAATAAATACAATTATGAACCTACTTCCATTTCAAATTAGTCAGTGAACATGTTTGCATGATTCATTTCAATGCTATAAAAAGTTATGGGGCCAATTAATGCAACAATTGTATAAGCAGCTAAATAATCACTTGTAACCGAGAGAACAATGTTAAGGAATGAATTACAATCAAGTGTAACTAATTTGGTATTTACGTATAAAATGTGCATCTATAATAAGCTGTTTACCTCATTGAAAACATACATAAAACATATGGATCATCAATCACCCTGAGCAGTCTCCGTGGCACTGCATAGGTTCTCACTGAATGAAAAGAAAACAAAAAGAAAAAAATCTCTGCATGCGACAATAGCTGTAGAAAAAAGCGCATTATTTCTGAACGAGATTACTGCTCCGTGAAAGTCAGAACGGGACAGAAGACACAGCAGCAGTAGTGGACATCTACGGGGTTACTACTACACCGCAGTGCACAGGAATGACTTCATATTGCCCACAAAATTCGCAATCTACAGAGTAACAACACTTGTATCTATCAGTTTCAACTAAACATGCAATAATTTCTGAGCAAATTATATGCAATTATTTGAGCACTGTTGATCATATATTGCAGAACGACACACATACCCAAACGCAGCGGTCGTGTATTTTAAAATAGTGAATTAAAAGATTAAAATGTAGCAATACCAGCTCTGTTGTCATGTTTTGTTGAGTTGTAGCGATCATGTTTAGTCCGTTCACCCAGCCTGGAGATGGGGAGAAGTCTCTGGGCTGCTGTCTTCACCTGCTCTGCTGCTTCGCTCCTCAAGTTTCCCCACACGGGCTTCCCATCTGTGTCTCTCTCTCCTCTCTCTTTCTCGTACACAGCAATCAGTCATCCATCTGCTGCACACATTGTCGATTGTTGGGAGATTAATAGTTTTGAGATCAATCTGCTTGATGCATAATGGTAATTTATATCCTATTTAAAATTAAAAGAATATTGCCACGGGGTAGCTAAAGTTTTAAACATGGATTTATCAAGGAAAAACTTTCTTGCGAATTATTGGGATAAATTCAGGAATAATAAAAATAAACTTGACTTTATAGCTAACTAGCTGATAATGTGCTTTACAGTCATAACATAACAGCTGGTATTAAATTACTATGACCAACGTTATGCCAGATTGTGATTCCATTGTTTATGAGTGTTTGCACAAAAACACTTAACATACTTAGACTTTGCAAACAGCCACACCAAAGCTTCTATCTCCACAGTCCAGGGTATGAAGATTGTCGTCAGTTTCTTTGGCTCGAGTATGATTTTACTTTGTAGGATTTATACCGGATTCTATAATGTCACCGGTAATCTTTGAGATATTTTCTTGCATAATTTGCCAAAGTCTATGTATTTGCCTCATAATGTTTCACTTTGCGCAAAAAGTGTACGAATAATTATCCAAGCTGCTAATAGTTATGCATTTAATTTGTTTTTGGAGAATTTGTTGTGAAGGGCTATGTAGGTTACTAGGCGGTAGTTTGACGCAGTAAAATCCGCCTCGTTCATTGGCTAAAGACAAAATTTGAAATGCGTGGCGCTCAGTGCGGTCCGGAAACTGGAGGATGCGGACAAAAGCTCGCTTGTTGTCGGTAAAAACTGTCTCATAGGAAGTTTTTCACACGATATAACGACAAAAGGGGACACTGAAGCAGCACGGATTAACGAAAACGTAAGTACAGTAACTTTATGTAAACTTTTCTCCTTCGGCCTTGCTTAGCTGGAGCTTTACGAACCTTGTTCTAACGGTAATTTACTGCATCAAGCTAACGCTAGCCAACCCCAGGCTTTTACGCCAGTTGAGTATAACCCTTAAATTTAAACTAACTCATTATTGGCTCACTGAAATGATTTCATCTTCAAGACACAGATCTCCAAACAAATTATTAATTTGGTCTATTTTAAAGCGATAGGATTTAATCCATCTATACTGTAACTGACCTAGTGTTAACCCTTCTCATCTTCATTTTATGAATGATGTTTCCTGTGATCTTACAAAAAATACTAATTCAATTAATACGTCTTTGTTAGGATTCTTATTTGAACTTTTAATGACTATCAAAAGGCTGACAAATGTAGTTAAACCTAGAGTCCTCACTCATAGTAGTCACATCTAAGAGAATATCATCAAAATGAATCCTGTCAGAAACGCATGAACTGTTAACCTGTACATGGAGTACATGCCTGTCTTATCTTAAAGTAGGTCGCATATAGAACTTATAATTAAATTGACAAGACATTTAAGAAGGCATTTTTGTCAAGCTTTTTTTGTATTTTATTCCTTTTTTACACTATGACCAAATTACTTCAGGTTTGTCACCATGGACACTGCTCTTGGCAATCTCCAGAGCTTGTATGACAAGCTTCTCACTCAAGTAGATGTGCTGAATGACAGCATTGAGCCCAGTAAGTACCAGTAGTTTGTTATTTTCACATTTTACAGTCTGTTGTCAAGACCCAAGTTTATATATCTCTCATTCCTCCGCTAGGCTTCATTCAGATGGCAGTGAACTTTGAAGATTGCCGTCGTAAGTGGCTGAGGGCTGAGCAGGACCTTGGGTCGTGTAAAGAGATTCTTACCAAAACAGAGACTGAAAGGGGAGCCCTAGAGGTCAAACTGAAACATGCCCGAAACCAAGTGGATGTGGAGATCCGGCGCAGACAAAAGGCTGAAGCTGACTGTGACAAATTGGTATGTATAAGTTAGACTACAATATCTAAATGTTTGAGGTTGAATTTAATTATATTTGTACTCACAATCTTTCTCCCATTCTTGGACAGGATCGCCAAATCCAGTTAATCCGGGAGCTGCTCATCAGTGAAGGTTCTGCTAGTATTCAGCTCAGTGCAGAACAGCGCTCTGCTTTGGCTTTTCTAAACCCCAACAACCAGGCAGGATCCAATCTTAACACTAGTCGCAGGTAAAATCAGACTGATTTTCAAAAGATTTTTTTTCCTTTTTTTCTTTTACTTGAGCTGACATGATTCCTATATTCTGTCAGACTCCAGAGAATTGATGAATCCGCCTCAATCTTGTCAGAATCAGACATTAGCTACGACAAAACTAATGATTCCATGGTATGTCCTTTGCTTACATTTTGCAAATTTAAAACTAGTTGAACCTGTTCATTACACATGTATGTCTGGCAGGACTGGGATGCTTCTACAGTGAGAACAGTGAGGCTCAAGAAGAGAGAGAAACGTGTAAGTTAAAAAAACTTGTATTAGACATGTAATCAAAAGCCACTGGTTCAATGTCCACGACTCTCTTCCTGTGGACGTTACTTGTGGCTATTGTCTGGTTGAGAAATTTAAATCAGTTTTGGTAAAGAACAAACAATTGTTTTGGAGAATTTTCTGTTCAAGATGAAGTCTTTCCCCTTTCTATTATATTGTTATTTTAGCGCTCCTCCAGACAACATGTTGATGGGCCTCCATGCACCTCGAAGCGTTCTCGTTCAACTGGAAAAACCTCCGGAATGGTATGTTTTTGAATCTCAATATTGTAGTTTTGTTTGATTTACACATCAACGGTAGCCTGGTTGTACCACACCTTAGTACAAATTATATTTCATACTAAGGTCTGGATTTGCTCCATTGAGCTCCGTGAAAAAATGGGAGGGGTTAACTCCTTTTGCAGATTATAACGATTGGATCTGAGTTTACCGTGACGAGTGTGTTGTTAGCATTTAGCCTAGCCATCTCCTTTGCAGCTAGCGCCACAATCTCGACCAGCGATTACATTTGCTAAACATTCCTCTTGCTCCTGCTTCAATTTCTTGATAGAACCAGACCGGATTACTTTACTATCGCATTCTTCGCCATTGCCAAACCACAACCTGCCCGTTTGGCGCAAACTCTTGACGTCACCGGCACCGACCCACAACACCCACCTTCCGCGCTCTCTGAGTAGCCGGTCGAAATACGACCGATTGTATTCGCTAACACAGGGACCAGACCCAGATGCATTTCACATGTAGTGAAATGATGATTGAGCGGAGTGTACAGATGGCTATGGCCAGGCTACATCAACGGTAGTTGGTAGTTTAGCTATAAAGCTGTCTGTAAACCAACAACTTATCTTGACTTGTAGGGAAATGAGACTCTGGTGACAAAGACCACAGTGGTTGTTCCTGCTAATGGAGGACCAGTCGAGGCCATTTCCACTATTGAGACTGTGCCCTACTGGACCCGCAGCCGCAGAAGGACTGGTAAGGAAATATATCTGCCCTCGACACTCGATGCACTGTTCACTAGGAGTGGGTTCCCCTAAAGTGATTCTGAGATCATTTTGCAATTTTTTTTTTTTTTTTTGAGTTTATATTGAGAAATTCCAAATAACCCCAGGGTCTGTGATTTTTCTTATTTTCACAGCTGCGATGGAGTGGGATTCAGAGTCTGTCAAATCTGACGTGTTTAAGCAGCCGAGCCTACCTGAGGGAGAGATCAAAACTCACCCGAGTACTCCCCAAAACACCGGAGGAGTGAGTCTCCACAAGTTTGTCTCCAAAACTGTAAGTCTATTTGCGGGAGCAACTTGATTATACACAGAGCATGGGGAAAATCTCAGAAAATGCAATAAAACAGTCAAGGTTTACTTCATTCAAAATTCATCAAAGAGACACATATGCGCTGGATCTAAGAAGATTAAACCTGTGAGTGGGAGTAGGAAAGTTCTCTGCAAAGCTCAATAAGAACACTTCACAAAACAAGGGTCTGTGTGTGAAATTCCAAAATAATAATTTATTCATGGCACCTTTTTATAATTTATATATTTTTGCTCCTAGTCAAATGAATACCAGCATGTTTGTTCCAAGTTATAACCTGCTGTACATGTGTCTTAATACGATGCCTTTGCAGGTAATCAAACCGGAGTCGTGTGTTCCATGTGGGAAGAGGATCAAGTTTGGGAAGATTTCTCTGAAGTGTCGCGACTGCAAAGTGGTGTCTCACCCAGAGTGTCGCGAGCGCTGCCCTCTGCCTTGTATCCCTGCTCTGACAGCCACTCCAGTGAAGATCGGGGAGGTGAGGAGTCCTCTGCAGACCACCACACCTAGTGTCAATAATGGAGCTTAAATTAATCTTAATTCGATTAATTTTCCCTTTTAAAGTAACTGTAGCCAATGTTATACCATAACATGAACATTTGAGAATGAAAGAATGAAATGCCTGTTTGATTATGGCTCATTGGGCTTCTAAATGTTAAACTAATTCTTCTGTTGTAGGGGGTCTTGTCTGATTATGTTTCAGAGACGTCTCCCATGATTCCTCCTCTTGTTGTTTACTGTATCAGTGAAATCGAGCAGAGAGGACTGCATGAGGTGAGCCTTTTACTATTTAATTTTTCACACATGTTAATGGGACTCTTAAGCCTGAGGTCTTAGTGGTTGACTTTTAACGTCCTCTCTTTAGCTCACACTGGGCTGTGACCAAGACTCCACAATCTGTTCTCCTCTAAATTAAACTTGTAATTGGCTCTGTCTTCAGTGGCCAATCTGTTAAGAAATAAGTAGTACTGACGGATCTTTCAATGTCCCAGTTGGTTTGTTTGGTTTCTTCATAGTTGTTCTTGGCTTCTTAGTTTTAAATAAAAATCCACTTCCGTTTGGTAGGGTGGACCATTGACATTCTGACTGTATATTTAATGGTTGTGTAAACCCTGCACTTCAAATTAATTTTAATTGGCATGGAAATGTTATAATCGGTCAAATGTACTTATTGATAGAGCAGCCTCAGATTGCATTAGAAGGTCATTTGTCATTGATTGCTCAGTACAAGTACAGCAACGGTACAAGTACAACTTTATTGATCTCACAATGGAGAAATACATGTCACATTTGGCATAGATAGAATCACTCTGATTGTGCAAAAGACAGAAGTGTACAAACATTTTAAGGTTAAAAATATAGTTTGTGCAGGATAAATGATGTACAATAAAAAGTGGCAATAGCAGCGCTGGCTTTTTCAGTCCTAGTGCAGGTCATTAGTGACTTATTGTACAGTCTGACAGCGGTGGAGATGAAGTAAAGCGACAACCTACATAGACGCATTACAATAGAAATGGTGTCTGTTTGTCTAAAAGGAGGATCTTTTGATAGATTCAGATAAATGGCTTGAAAAGATTTTGAATTTGACTTGCCATACCAGGGCTGCTATGAACAAAGGAGTGCTTCCTTTATTTTTTCTTTCTTCCTGCAGTCATGCCCTGCTTCGGTCCTAAGTGTTTTCCTCACCGTTTCTTTCCTCCGCAGCCTGGCCTGTACCGTGTGTCAGGTGCTGACCGCACAGTGAAGGAGCTCAAGGAAAAGTTCCTCAGAAGCAAAACTCTCCCAGTTCTCAGCAAAGTGGACGACATCCATGCCATCACTGGGCTGCTCAAGGACTTCCTCCGAAACCTGAAGGAACCTCTGCTCACTTTCCACCTCAACCAGCCCTTCATGAACGCAGCCGGTGAGAGACTGTCTGTCTTAGTTAAGCAGTGCCACAATTTGCCTGAACAAGATCATTGTAGGAATAATATTTAATAATTGTTAACATAGTTGTTTTAAAGGCGCTATACCCGTTTCTACAATGTTTGAATGTTTAGCACCGCCCCCCAGCTCGCTCACAGGCTTCTCATTTCCCCTACGCTCTCATAACACGGAGCCACCTAGTTTTATTTGCGATCTGATACGTATGCTAACATTAGCATTAGCGTAACTTGTAAGCTGTGCAACAATCACTGATGAAATGGCACTAAAGCAATGCACTGCTAATACAATATATAAGTAAAAGAATACGTTTCGCGTCCGGATGTATTAATTTAAACATTAGAATATATTCTAATATTTAATTATAATTTATTATACAGCTCCTCACAGCAGCAGCACTCCATTGACTTGAATGCAATTCTTCCGATCATTTTTTCTTGATAACAGAACTCTCAAACCAATAATGACCGCAGCCCCAATGCAATCTGTTTGTAATTCAGGTGTGTAAAATACTGCCATTACTTTGCAAGTATAACAAGCTATCAGCGCCTGTCACTACATTGTGCAGTTTTTCTGCACACTTGTCTGTGTAGAGAAGCTAGCGGAGCTAGCCACGCTCAATAAACAAATACATATCAATCAATCAACACCATTAAACGTCAACCGGACAATACCGTATACAGATACATCCTTAACACGGACGATTTCAGAATTTGCTGTCAACGTTTTCATGACAAATACTGTTTTAAAGTGACAAAAAGCGATTGCGAAAAACCCGGAAGTTACCATGAAACAGCTAGCTAGCTTAGCTGTTACCTGCCTAGCACGTCCCGGTGAAACCTTTGGGAGCTAACTATTTTATTTGCAGTCATTAAATACATTTCTAATTATAAGGGTTTATTTTAGAATTATATTTGAATTTTGAAGTCGAAGCCCTGGTGTTAAGCAGCGCTGTAGAGGCTAGAGGACGCAGACTGGTCGCTGCTCGTTCTGTGAGTGGAGGAGAAAGAGCGTCCCGCTCAGACTCTACTCAGCAGTTTTCACTGCCTGAATTTCATACACAGTGGAATCAATGACCTCAAGTTTTCAATTAAATTATGTATTATGATACAACTTGTATGTAGTAAAAAGCATTTTTATGAACTACTTAGAAAAAAAATCGGGTATAGCTTCTTTAAGATTTATTCAAATGACTAAAAATAATATCATCACAAGATAATTCAAAAACTATAAAATGTCTAGTCATAACTTTGAGCCGGTTTTCAGGGACAAAATTACTGTATAATCTTTAACATTGAATTTTAAAACTGCTCATGTGACTAACTGTAGTGACAGATGTTTGTAATGGGGACGCAGAGCAAAAAATAAAGAGTTGATGTTGGTCCTTGAAACGCGAGAGATCCTGTAATGGGGAGTGAAACAGCTCCCAGCGGACACATTCACTTTGGGTTTGTGCTTTGTTTGGGTGCGAGAAGTTCACTGTAATAAAAATGGGATTTATTTGCCTCCTTTTCAGTTACTAGTTCATAGTTTGAATAAGCTTGACGTAATTTAAGATTCATACCTTAGTTCCGCCAATGTTTCTATACAAATGTTTTGTGTCCATCATAAAAATGTCATATTTTCTATGTTTTGCTCTACAGCCCTTGTATGGTTTTTGACCAGAGCGATGCTATTTTCTTTCAGAGATTTCTGATGATGACAACAGCATCGCCCTCATGTATCAAACGATTGGTGATCTGCCGCAGCCAAATCGAGACACTCTGGCTATTCTGATGCTTCATCTTCAGAAGTAAAGTTCTAATCAGTCTAATATTGAATTTTCATTTTTGTTACCAATTATTATAAACTATGACACTTTCACATCAAGCCACAAAACCAAATTCTGCACTTTTTTTTACAGACAGAATCGTTTCAGCCCTGCACTGAAGGCAACACTCCGATTTAGCATTTAATACGTTTCTATGTAAAATATTATTTCAGGTGTACAGTATTATATTGTGAATATGAATCATTATGACTTTTCCTAAAATGTATATTCAATTTGCAATTCCACTCCTTAAACTGGGAACCGGTACGCTCACCGGTTGCTAGATAAGTAGACATTTTATTGGATAGTGCGCAGACAGGTCTAGGGCAGTAATGTCGTCAACAAAAATAAAACGCAGTACGTTTTGAAAGTATTAATACACCTTTAAACCTTTTTGTTTAATATTGTAAAGATGCAAAATGTGCAAAGATTTTATTTTCATTTTTTTTACTAAAAGTTTACACATAAGACAGACCTGATTCTGTTTGAATATGTATGTTATGTTAATAATGTACATTTGTGAACAGGGTGGCTGAAAATGAAGAAACTCGCATGTGCATCAGTAACCTCGCTCGAGTATTTGGCCCGACCATCGTGGGCCACGCCGTCCCGAACCCTGAGCCCATGACCATCCTCCAGGACACCAAACGACAGCCCAAGGTCCTGTCACTATTGTTTGGTCCACTGAATACAGCAATATTAACTGTTAGCGTGTGTAATCCTCCTGCTCCGGTAGTCCTGACCAAGCCAAGCATTAACATCTGGAGATGGGTTCCCGGGCGCTGTACTACGGCAACCAATGCTCCTGATGTAAGCCTTCGTGGCATCAGGATGGGTCAAATGCAGAGGACAAATTTCCCTACGGGGACAATAAAGTACATTGTTACTTATAATTTGAAAGCTCAGAACACACTGTGTGTTAACTGCACAAATGTAGAAAGTTATTTATTTTAGAATGGTCTGCTGTAAAGAGTTTCAAATACACATGACTTTCTAATTTTTGCATCAACATTTCTGAATCCCTCATAGTTCACTCGCCCACATTCTCCGGTCCATAGTCAACGTAGCACTATTTTTTTTTTTTATATATACATATATGGATGTTCTTCCAATGATAAGCTCAAGGTTTCTATGACTCGTCTAATAAAACTGCAGTGTGACTTTTTAAATAATAATTCTTTACTACACCCTTCTTATCAGTTTCCAGCTATATTACTGACGCTACCACTAAAGCTAGATCTTGGCTTTATAATATTTCTAGAACATCATCATAAAATCCCCAACTGGTTTTGTGCCAAAAGCATTTTTATCACCATTCTGTTCGTGTTGGCACAGTGAGGTTAGCCTCTGAAATCTGATGAACGCTGGTGTTTTCTGATGTCTGTGAAGGTGGTGGAGCGCCTGCTGGCTCTGCCCGTCGACTACTGGAGCCAGTTTTTGAAGGCTGAACACGAACAGCCCAATCTCAACCACCTGATTATTGAGAATGCAAACTGCTATGCCACACCAGAGAGGGGTACGTATCCACAACGGAGGCAACACTCGCTCTGTCATAAGAGCAGGAGGGTCTATTATGAGATTTAGCTTACTTACTTTATCGTAAAATATGCATAAAGTAAGCTCTGTATACATACTTTTTCAAATATGCTCCTAGCTGTGTGGTCGTTTTATTTTCAATGATGAGCAGATCGCTTGTTTCATTTATCCATGTACTGCTACACATGTGGCTATTTGTCAAAAAATAGACTATCAAACAAAATGTAACCAAACTTAAGAACATACAAACTCAATCACTAGAATGCGTGCGTAAACCATGGGTAAGTGGTTTACGCAGTAACAAAATAAATGTCCATTCCTAAAAAAAAATGTAAGGTTCAAAACAGGTTTATTTATCAAGTTGCAGGCAAAAAACACACAAATGCTGCATCTCCCAGAACTGATAAAAAACCATAGGCCCACCTAGGTGCATGAAGGCCCGCCCTGTACTCCCTACGTGCCACTAAGCCAAACTGAAGTAAACCCAATATAATCTACAAAAATACTTACTTCAGCAAAAAAGAACTAAATGCAGAAAAATGTACAAAACCCCCAAATAAATTAAATTAATCTCTCCTACAAGCAAATAGCTCCTACACATGTCAATGATTCAAGAAATGGAAGTCTGCTTTAATCATTTTAATATGGATCTGGAATTACTAATATATATATATATAATTTTTTTTTTTTTTCACATTAATATCAAGCTAATCTTGGGGACTATAAATATTGCACTGTTTTATTTGAGAGTAGCTTTTCATAGCGGTGTCGTGTTGACAGTGAGTATGTTTGGACCCCTGACGACGCCGGACCATCAGCTCACTAAAACTCCATCCTCGAGCTCCTTGTCTCAGCGCATGAAGAACACACTCACACCAAGGTAATCTTATTTTCATCATATATGTGCGTATCTATTCTTAAATCAATGCATATAATACTAATGTGTCTAATGAAAGAATCATTTTTTTATCTTTTTGTTACAGGTTTGGGAACAAAAGCAAGTCGGCTGTCGGCTTTCCTCAAGGGAAATTCTTTTCTTCTCCTTCGTTGAATTGAACACTCAGTATTTTAACCCTTTGCACAAAAATATTCTGCTAGAAATGTACTCCATACTAGTTATTTAACCTGCTACTGTTTATTCTCTGGCACAAATTCTGTTTTTATTAATGAGTGTCAAGTTTCAATATTTTTGTCCCTTAAAAAGATTATTTGAGCAATTCGGCTCAATGGCTTGTTCTAAGATCTGACTTTGTGCGTGGTTTTGTATTGTCTGAATGTTTAATCAGCTTCAGCTCATGTGTAACTCAGAGGTTGAACTGATAGAATTTTTAAAGAAATGTTTAAGTTTTTTTTTTTTTTTTTTTTTAAATAATCCGTACTTTGTGTTGCTTTCTGAGACGTGCCGTCCCCTGATCTGTGCATCTAAGTCCTGTAGTGCAGTGAGGCTGTCAGAAATGCCAATGATCTTTTGTATTGATTGCTTTAAATCACGTTTACTTGTGTTGATTATTTGGGAGTATTTTTACAAAACTGAACTCTTCACTAAATTGACCTGTGTAAATTATAAAACATTTTATTCTGTCAGATGCTGTCTTTTATTTATACTGGTATTTTTAATGAGATTGTCTCACAGTATTTCACTTTTCAATCTTTTACTATACCATATTTTAGTTTCACTGTGAGCTTGTAGGTTTCACTATGCATGTTCCATCAGATATCACTCAGGCACAATTTGGTTTAAATATACATTTGAATTGTACTATTATCCAACCATTATGACCTTTTCTCATTGTTCTCACTTTGAGTTTAAATAACAGTATAATGGACCAGCATGGCATTAAAAACCTGTTCTGATCATTGCTTTTTATATAAGCAAAGAATGATTTACACAAGGTTTTAATTTGCATTCCTATTCATGTAACTTAAAGGAGCAGTATGTAAAAAATCTGGCCAAAAGTGGTACTGCAACCTCTCTCCCTGACTCAGGTTGCTTGATATGCAGACGAAGTCAGCTGGGACTATAATATCTGAATAGACTAGAGTTATGTCAACAACAAATCTATAACCACCTTTTTCACAAAGGCTTCGATAGAAATCCTGGTTTTGTTTTGTCATTAAAGAGGTTCTCACCCCTGCTCCTCGAGGCTTACGTCACATTTTTCTTTTCCAAATGGGCGTAGCCTGGAGGACCAAAGGGGACAGGCGGGAGGGTGAATGTTGGGTGGGTCTAAGCTGTGACACTTGACATCAGCATTGGCAGTGTCGATGGAGAGTGAACACAGCGACACCAGCTCCACAGCTTCTGTGCGGTCTTGGGAGGTGGAGGACTTCTCTCCACCGTCCTCACTGGAGGTTGAGAGAGAGGAGGCAGACAGCGGTCTTCAGCCCTATCAATTTGAGCCGCTAGCTGGCGCCACTGGAGGAGACAATGCTGCGGAGGCAGCGAAAGGCAACAGACCGCCACAGAATGGGGCCAGTTTCTGAACAGGCCCCTAATTGTTTTATTGTATTGTTTTTCATGTTATTTAAAACTCATTGAATGCCAGCCTATTTCAGAACAGGTACTCCCACAGTGCCAGCCATTTCTGATGATTTTACTGATTTTTCAAGACCCACAGAATATTGTGTACTATGACTATCTGAAATCCGACACCAGATTTTAACAGAATGGACTGTCTACTTTCCTCAGCAAAAAGAATTTTGTTTATAGCTTTTTTCGTTCCGCTGTAATCCTCCGTCGAGTAGAGGGAAGTTTTACTGAAATCACCAGAAAGTTGAGAAAAGAGAGGCACAACATGTGCACCTACTTGTTTTCAAACCATTCAGAGAGCAATGCTGCCACCTGCTGGCTCGATAAAATATGGTCTCAAGTCATCCCCATACATATTAGATACAATAGACATCTGGGAACGTGAAAATAGCGAAAAAGGCATTTGACGGATTAATGCGTGAATGGCACACGACGTTACTATTTGCTTTGACGTATTTGTGCGTCAATGGGACACAATGAGTTAAATATTTTCTTCAGATAAAATTTCCTGAAAATAATTGCAGTAGTTATTGGTCCATTATAACACCTTTTTTGGTATCAATTTGAAATCATGCTGCACTCAATATCCAAGCGGGCAACTTTTGGAAGATGTGCTGCACCCCTAACAAGAATAGTGTTTCTTGTTGCAGTGTCAGCAGTCAGGGAACGTAGTTACTACAGTGACAGCTTTGAAGTGCAAATAATCAAAGAAAAAAGTCATTTAATAAATAATACTTAACAGAATAAAAATCCTTTATCTAAAATGGATAAAATATTTGCAAAGAAAGCAAAAAGTAGAACTTGATAACGTCATTGACTGTCCATTGTCCTGTTTGTCTGATCCTTCAAAATAGACAGAAAGACATTATATATGAAGCAGGGTTGGTCTTGGCTCTCACAGTGTAGTCTCCATGCTTGAATTTCAGATAGATGACGATTTGCCTTTTTTAATCATAATTGAAGACACCAACCTGCACCCTGAAATTAAACAACAAAAATCATGAATATACAGTATGTATCTATAAAATAACTCAAGTGAATATTAGGATTATTTACCTGGCCAGCATTCCTTGGAATAAGGCTGCAGAATGTCCCAATATGCAAAGTGAGGTATTGCGGTCTTATTTTAAATACAGCTTTCAAAAAATGTGGTGTAAAATTTTTTTGTAATGAGTCTCACATGCTGCTGTGCCTACATGGAATTATACAGAATAACAAAGAATAATTCATTGATATGGCGAGTTAAATATAAATTAGAAATAGGGATAAAAACTTGTAATTACATACTTGATTTTGGCCACACTCTTGCATCCACCACCAAAGGCCTGTGAAGACAGCAAGGGAACAGGTTTTCTTCCTTAGCGTGGACATTCTGAATGTGATTGTCCACAGATGTCCACAGCCTCGTCATCACCTGAGAACGTTGATGGCGATGAGTGGAGATGGTTCATATCAATGGTTTACAACACCTTCCTTGCACCTCGTGCAAGTGCTAGTTCCTCAGTTCACCTTCTCTTGCCCAGCTCCAGAAATATTTCCGATCATTGGGACAACTACCAAAAAAAAATATATTTTTTTACATAACATATACAATTACATCACAAGACTTTGTTTAAAAGGTTAGCACAGTAGTTTAGCACTATAATCTAAGTCATCTCTTTGCCATACAACATGATCAAAGTCCCCACTTTCTTAAAATCTGATTGCAGTACAGGTGCATTGGTCACCTTATGTCTTATTGAAGAATCTGGACCTGTGCCTGCTCACAGCTTCCTGTTTGTCTGGCTTCTCATATTGTGCACAGAGTGGTTCAGGCACAGGGACCTTTTCAGAAAGCTCCTGATACAGGACAGGATTCACCACCACATTTTCAAACAGTTGAGCCATCAGCTTGACAATATAGACTGTAAAATCCTCATGAACGATATATTATTATTAACATTTTTATTAAGAGGAATAACCCCTTGAGATGAAACATCTCGTTTCCGAGGGGGTCCTCAAAAACAGATTCAAAAATAACAGTACAGCAGCAACAGTCAATTATATGCAAAACAAAATTATTACATTAAACAAACACAAAAAAAAAAAAAAAAAAACAAAACAGGACAAAAGCTCAGCACATTCACTCACACACACACTCAGCTCTCAGAGGTTACCCACTCCCCCTATAACTACAGTAAAGTACAGCACAAAATAAATACATTATAATACTAATGGAAACACAATACAATAGAAGACACATCAGAAGCAATTACAGACAGTTTTAAAATGCTGTAACACAGCGTTCTTAAACAAAGGAAAGGAGGTCAGGGAGCGAATGGTAGGTGGAAGAAGGTTCCAGTCCGTTGGGGCTTTGTAATGAAAAGCATGTTTGCCTATTTCTTTTTTAACACGGGGGGTGTGGAAGAAAAGAATTTCAGTGTTAGTGTGACGAAGACTGTAAGTGGAACTAAAAGGTGTAAGATATTGTTTTAGGTATGTGGGATAATTAAAATAATTACATTTGAAAATGAAAAACAACCAGTGAGAGTGTCGACGTGCAGGCAGTGAGGACCAGGACAGTTGGAGAAACATGTCACAGTGGTGTGTCCTGTAGGGGCAGCGCAGAGCGAACCTACACAGGCTGTTGTAGACAGTATTGAGGGGATAGAGACATGTGGCGGTTGTATTTTGATAAACAATATCGGCATAATCAAGGATGGGAAGTAATAACTGAGAAACAAGTCTTTTCCTGACAGAAACATTAAAGCAGTTGATTGAACAATATAAAGTTTTTAAAGAATAGTTTAATTTATTGACTGTCTTATGAATATGAGTTTTAAAAGAAAGGGAATCCAGCCAAAGGCCGAGGTATTTGAACTCATCCACACATTTCACAGGAGACAAATCTAAAAAGTGAAGGTTGAGCTCAGGTAAGTGTTTGTTTGTCTTCTGAAAAAGCATGGCATATGATTTGGTTGTATTTAAAATGAGTTTATTGGACAAGAGCCAGTGTTGAACTAAATCAAAATCATTTTGCAGGGAGTTGCTGATGTCAGAGACGTTAGGTTTTGAACAGTAAATAACAGTGTCATCTGCATATAACTGGATGTCACAGTTAGAACAGATGCTCGGGAGGTCGTTAATGAAAATAGAAAAAAGTAAAGGGCCCAAAGAGGAACCTTGTGGAACACCTTTGTCTATGCCTGCGAGATTTGACTGGCTACCCCCAAAGGACACACACTGTTGTCGAGAGTGAAGGTAGGAATTGAACCAAAGTAAAGCAGATCTAGATAGACCCAGATTGTGAAGTTTATCCAAAAGCAAGTAGTGATCAACCAAATCAAAAGCTTTGGTCAAATCAAGAAATAATGCGCCTGTATAAAAACTTTTGTCAAAACTTGAAAATATATCATTTGTTAATTTTAGAAGGGCAGTGGTTGTGGAGAAGTGTTTTCTGAAGCCAGATTGATTTTGGGATAAAAGTTCATTGTCAGTTAGATAGTTAGAGAGCTGGTTAAAAATATTTTTTTCAAAGACTTTGACGATACTATTGATTATTGAAATGGGTCGGTAGTTGTTGATATTCTCGGGGTCACCAGATTTATATAGTGGAATTACTTTGGCACATTTCCAGGAGAGAGGGACAGTGTTTGTAGAAAGAGAAAGGTTAAAGAGTGCAGCCAAGGGAGCTGATAAGACAGAAGAGCCTATTTTAATAAATTTACTTTCAATGCCATCTAGACCAGCCTGCTGTTGAAAGACAGTTCTCCTATAGCCCTTTCGACATCAGAGGGACTAATTTCTGCAAATGAAAAAGAACTGCTGCATGGTTGGGTGTAGTGGTCAGAAGCAGCTGAATGGAAAGGAGGATGAACGTGAGGAGATTGGGAGAAGTGCAGACTGAAAGCATTGGCAATAGCAGTGGGATCATTTGTAATTTCATTGTTAATAGTCATATTAATAGTGTTTTTATTAGATTTACCAAGTAGATTGTTCATCTTTTTCCAGAATTGACTTGGATTCCTGAAGTTGTTTGACAGGCTGTTTGAGTAATAATCTGATTTGGAGTTTCTGGTTTGAGTTGTGCATACATTTCTTAACTGTCTGTACTTCTCCCAATCCGACGCAAGCTTGGTATGGTGATAAACTCTCCATGCCCTGTCTCTCTGCTTATATAAATGAATAAGGTCACCACTGATCCATGGTAAGTGAGTGCCTTTTACTTTTATTGTGATCCAGGGAGCATGTTTATCAATGATACGCTTAAGTTCAGAGTAAAGAAAATTCCAGGCATCTTCTGCATAAGGGATTAAGTAAAATCTGTTCCAGTTTATCTGCTGTAAATCATTGATAAAAAAGTCACTATTGAAGGTTCTTGTTTGACGGATTTTAATGATTTTAGGTGGAAGACGAGGTTTTGAAATTTTCCAAATACAGTATATCATGGAGTGGTCACTAAAGCTGTCTGGGAGAATTCCAGACTGGCTGAACCTGTTGGGATGAGAGACGAGAGCCCAATCCAAGAGGGATTTTGATTTAGGAGTCACTCTTGTAGGTTCTGTAATAAGTTGGGTGAGATTTACAGAGTCAAACATATTCCTTTCAGTAAATGTGGACGAGTCAAGCCAGTTGATATTGAAGTCACCCATTAATATTAGCTCATTATTATTATTACTATTTAAAGAGGAAAGAGTGGAGAGTATATTTTTAAGTGATTCCGATTTTGGGGAATTTGGGGGTCTATAAATATTTTTTGTCCTTGTGTGGAGGGACTTCACCAGGAAGGCTATATAAAATAAAGAGGCATATATAATCCCTCAACAATTGACGCAGTATGTATATGTATTTGTGTATATATATTAACATACATACACACACATCTCTATTACAAAGCTACAGTAGATTTAGTTTATACCTTGAGCAGTTCATGTGGGAGCTGGGGTCAGACGCTGGCACCTCACACCTTTTCCTTTTTAAAGGTGTAGAGGCTGCTCTGGGACTGTCAGGAAGAGGGATTTCCATCAGGTCCCCAGTGCCACAACTGACACTTGTGTATGCACTTCGGGCTTGAATAGCTTTATAAAAGAAAAAAGACAAAATAACCATAAGTGGTGAAATGACATGATCATTTACATAACTCAAGTCTGGCCACATCAAAAAATAGACATAAAATGACTGAGCTGTTAGAACAACTATCAATTAGAGATATTACCTTTGCTTCGTCTGCTCGGCTTCACATTGGCCTGGACACTAGCATGCCGTACAATGACTGGATCAGTCTGGCAACCAATTTCTCTAGTCACTGGCTGAACACAAAATAATAAATAACATTTATAAAATGTTCACTATGGTAGAAGGGTAATGTGTTACATTTCTTTAGTGCATTTCATTGTTGTCTAATTCTGATTAGTGAATATAAGTACAGATCCCAGCACCTGAGCACACAATAACCACACAGTCCACCTGGAGTGGTCAGCCCTCTCACGCGCCACACGAGTGCAGAGCGCACACATAGTCAAAGCCTAGTGTATAGCCTCACACTAATGATAACTTTGCGTTTGCTTTATAGCTTAGTTTGTAGATGCACTCACGTTTCACGCAGCTGTTGTCCAATATAAAAGCTGACCAATATGTGCTGACTGATGCTTTAGCCACTGCCACAAACTTATAAGTAAAATCAGTAAAAATCCGTCGTATTAACGGAGTCATTGCTCTCAGCAGTGAGTCTGTTTGAAATTATTGACAGAAATGAGCGGGATAGGCTGAACCAATTTTTTACAGCAGCCACAATCATTACAATTATTATCAAATCCTAGATGGGTAAATGATAATTTTTCTCACTCACCTCAGATTGGCGCCCGAAGCAGTCCTGTTGGCGGGGCAGCAGTGTCGGTGGGCTAAGGCTCAGTCGTGGAAGAGCAAGGGTGGGGACGGACTCGCTCTTCAAACGGAGCAAACTAGCATAGCCCATTTCAACCTCCATTGAGTTGGCAAAGGCATTACGCGCAAAATGTAGTTTGCAAACTCCAGCGTGAGGAGGGAGTTTGCAGTCTTCTCCCAAACCAATTGCGCGCAGCCACTGGCGCCTAATTTCTAAGTTCTTAGGAAACAAATGCAAACCTACAGAACTATGGCACCCCACTACACTACACTTCCTCCCCATCGTAACACACAAGTACAATAAACAATATGAAATTTCACACGATATGGAACACTAAAAAGTAACACAAAGGTCATAAGCTAAAGTCAGCTAACTAATATAACAATAAAAGCAACTAAGGACGACAACTACAATATTCATCAACAACGCTACTAATGCACGGGGAGGCGTGACGTCATTTCCTGTTAACAAAGCACAGCCCGTTCACTTCCTGCCTATGCTTTCCTATGGCTTTTAGGTGGGTTTTAGTGACGTTTTTTAGTAATTAGATCAATACATTCAGCTGTGAGACTGACCCAAAAGTGTCGCTGTGCTTTCTCTCTGAGGTAGAGCTTTGACTGTGGCCACTCAGTGCGATTTATAAACTTTATAAAAACACAATGACAGCACAATCAAAGAGCACTATTGTGTCCCAAAAATGCCCAGTATCCTCACAGTTTAATTCCCGTTTGAGCATTATGTGGGAAACTCGTGTAAACCACTGCTGAACTCTAGTGAAACTCAAGCTATTTCCATGAACAGGAAGTGAAGTGAGGCTTTAGCTAAAACGCGGAAGTGGTGCGTGCATAGCATCTGAAATACAAACAGCTATGCTAATTAAAATCTACCTAAAAGCTATAACTAATCGCAAACCTGACAATCGATGAAAATACTCTGTTATTCCTTCTCCAACTCGCTACGGGGGCGTGAACGAGACTGGGCCGTTTATATACCACAGAGCGGGGGGCTGCTGACGTCAGGTCTTGCTGCTGCGGCAGTGTTGGCGCCAGATTCAAAATTTAAATGTAGTAATACAGGTCGCCTGCAGATGGCGCCTCACAGACGGTTTTAGGCAGAAAGTAGTGACAAAATTATGACCAGGATATGTAGACAACACTATTGGACACTCATTTATACTGTTTATCAGCAAAAAAAGTGGATTTGAGGGTGAGTTGTCCTTTAATGATTTGAGATTCATAACAAGACCTGTTTCAGTTCTGCGGCTACATGTTACTTTACCTCTGAGATTAGCTCGACGCAGTGAGTTTCGGCAACCTGGATAATGGACTTTCTGATTGGTAAAACGGTGGTGGGCGGGACATCAAAATGAAAGATATCTGCTGAACTACTGTTTTCAGTTAAAGAAGTATTGGAAAAGACCATGGTTTATTAATGCCTTTTAACATTAGGGCCATATCAAGAAGACTTACATATTGCTAGTTTAAGATTTTCATGTTTGTCTAAAGTGTTATCACCATCAAGATTACAAATTCAAAAAGCTGAGGTACCTGATATTCAAACCAAAGTGTCAATTACTGATTTAGGGCAGTCTTACCAGTGGGCAAAACCAAAATAACATTCTATTTGGACAAACGGCCGAGCATGACTTTTCCCTTTCCAAAACTCAAGATGGGTTTCAATTTGTACAATTAAATAAAGGAAGTCATAAGAGATGAAAAATAGTCAAAAATAAATTATAAAACGTCAAAGTTTATTAATTCAGATGACAAACAAATCTCTAAAATATCTTTGGCCACAGGACAGGAGTGTTCTTGACATAGTGCTGGTAGGCCGGGTCAGACCCCCACTTCTTGGCGGCCTGTTTCTCCAGGAGTGGCACTCCGCTCACATAGTTCAGCAGGAACCACACAAACATGGGAGAAACGACACTTAAATATTGCTTTCCATGCATCACTGACGAAGCAGAGAGCCACAGGCCAGACCACTGCAGGATTTCTCCAAAGTAGTTGGGGTGTCTGCTGTAAGCCCATAGTCCGGACTGAATGAACTTACCCTGAGGGAGAGGGACATAAATTATATGACACGGGGCTTGCACAAGGTATTAAAGCAGCGTGAGAGCTCTATAGGCACTAACGATTGAATGATTAAATCTGCCACGTAAACCAATGCTCTGGGTGAGTGTGGAACAAAAATCTAACTGGCTCTTTCTCATTACATAAAATCAATACTTTTGGAAGTGTCACAAAGCTAAAATGTATTATTTCAATATAAAGTATTCTAAACAATAAAGATAATGTCACGTTAGCCCCAGGGTTAAATATTTAAAAAAAATGATGTGGCCAAATTCAAGGCCTTAGAAGCTTAAAAAAAAAAAAGTATATTTAATTTGAGAGATTGTTGCATTAATGATTGTTGCATGCCACATTGCCTGAAGTGTTCTAGTAAAATACAGAGAGCTTTAATTAAATATGGATATTACCTTTGATTGTGGCAGTAAATCTTCTCTAAATGGCATTAAAAAAGGTCTTAAATTTGACTTAACCGAACATGGGGGTACCTGTAAAATTATACTACAGACACTGGAGATCAAGATTATTCTAACATTTTTCAGTGAATGTCACATGCTATTTCATAGTCTAGTTTTGAAACTCATTTTATGATAGATATATTTTAAAGCTCTAATTGGAATTTAAAACAGATTATTTTCTATAATATGTTCATGTGTATTGGTGCGCAATGATCTAAAATCAAGGCTTGAGAAAGAAGAAATTGTGTTTCTAAACAGTACATAGTTTGAACAAGACACATGACTGACTGTGTTATCCGGGTCACTTTTGAATCTCCATTTCTGCTGGTCGGCGATGGCCTGCACCGTGAAGCCCAGGCCCCAGACGCTCCAGCCGGCATAGTCCCTCCATCCAAGAGGCTGGTCTCTCTTCTCACTGTTCAGCATGAGGGTGGGCAGCAGCGTGGTGAAGATCCACAGAGCTGTGTCAGAACAAAAGTAAATCAATATTATACATCTCACAATGGTGACATTTACGTTTACATCATCTCACATTTAGCATCTATAGGATCACTCAGGGTGTGCAAAAAGACAGGGAATGTGCAAACATGTAAAAAAAAAAAGAAAAGATATAGTGTCTTTTGTGCAATACAATTATTTTATGTACAATTAAGAATGTGAGTATAGCAGTCCTAGTGCAGGTCATTGAGTGACTTATTGTACAGTCTGACAGCGGTGGGGATGAAGGCCCATGCTCCTTCTTCCACTGAAAGAGCTACTCAGCGATTCACGCAACTATCACATAACCTTTATTATTTAAAGGTACTTCAAAGAAGCGCTGAGCAATTCATTAAATTAAATTGATTAATCAGCTTTTCGAAAATTGAGCAAGTGAAAAATGTCAAAATCATAAACATTCCACAGCCTCTCTGCTGAGTCGCCACAGTCGCTCACCAACAGGCCGTGCACAAAGAACAGCATGTTTGCAGAAAAGGCACTGATCTGCTTTTATGAGCAATGTCAGCGTCTGTACAATACTTTTATGATTGGTTTTGGAATGGAAAATGAAACTGGATGAAACTCTATAATCAAAATGCCCATAGGTGGCAATGAAATCAAAATGTTTCCATATCGCAGAGCAACACTACCTGGCAATATGCAACTCTAACCTTTAAATATACAAGAGAAAAGGTACAGTGTGAGGTTGGAGTATGTTTCTGTTTACTGCAGCAGTGTGTCTTAAAGTTACTACCATTGAAAGGAGCTCAACACTGCAATTACAGTCTTGACACATTCATAAAGGAGCGACATGGCAGCGGTGGTATCAATTATTCCAAGTTGGTCAAATGCTCAATTAGTTTCTTGACCAAATATTGTTTTAATTAATTCTTCATATTTGATCCCAATGAACAGACCAGCTTATATACAGCCTCTGAAAAACTAACAACAGTGAAAAGAAGAGATAATACAAATTCTCACTCAAGTAAAACAGATGTCAACAAAACATTGTAAATACTAAATTCTTTGCTTCTCCTTGTGATCCGTGCCACTGTTTTCCATGTTATCCATGATAATGAGACGTGGATTAAGGCAGCGCGCCACCCTCTATGATACATGCTGTGTTATTGAAGGCAAATGCAAATGGCCTCCACAGGATTAACAAGGCGGAACTATCTCCTTGAAGTACCTTGAACAGTCCAGTACACAAAGAAGGTCCCTGGGCTGTCTCTGACATTGTTGAATCTGCGATCATGGCCGTCCTTCAAGATTCGCAGGAAAAGAAAAGTCCCCAGTCTGAAAGAGAGTTAACACGCGCTCATATTAACCACTGAATCATTACACATTAACCAGGCAGGTTTAGCTTTTAGATTTATTAGCTGGCTCTCCTTGTGACCTTGTCAGCGACTCGCCATAACTTCCACAACTCAAACACAACGCTGTTAGCTGCTATGAGAAACGAGGTGAGGTCATGGTTTAGTGGCGAGGATTAATAGTGAAGGTTTTCCTAATAAAAGTCACAGTATAATTATACAGATTACATAATAGGTTAAATCTGTAACAATGTAGAACGGCTTTAAATGTATTAGAAAAAAAACACTAGCTATAACCTACTGTGTTGTAAATTCTTAATACCCGTCAAAAGGTGCATTTTGCCTTTGTGGACTTGCCTTACCACACCTCCTTTAACACTATAACGAGTTTAAGTAAATGAAAGTGAATAAATAATTTCCCTTTTTCCATAAATCATGCAATGTTTTTAAGAAGACCAACAACATGCAATACATAGGAAGTATTTCACAAATGTTTCATCAAAGCTTATTAGGCAACTTCATTTATAAGGATTTTTGCGCATTGGAACCAACCTCACAAGTCGTTCTCACAATTTTTAGTCCAAATCTATTGATAAAACAGTTGTAATACGGCTCTACAAGGCTATTAATCTTATCACCTTTGCAACAAAACATGCTTCTTCATCTTTGAATAGAGACCAAAAATACTAAAGAGAATTTAATGTATCTGTTTGATATTAAAGTCCAGCTTCACATAATGAGGAATACTCAAAGCTGAGTGTTTTCTACTACTTTTTGTATGGTCAAAGAAGTCACTGGAATAATACAAGATAAGATGTGTGCATTTCAGTGAACATTACCCACTCTTATCATGAGGTTTGGGTGCTTCAGGTGTTTATAGTGAGATAACATCATTACCTGAGCCCCCACGCAGTCACAAGCCCGGTCTGCACATTCTGACGGACGTGCCCGGCTCCTCCCCACATGCGACTCAGGTGGGCCAGGAGGATAAATGTCCCAGACCCTGGCAACAAAACAGGAACTTGTGTAAGATTTAAGGCACTTCCAGTTCCCAGACACAGTGATGGGCCTGTAACCTGCCAGAGAGAAAGGCGTGTTCAATAAATCGTTTACCCAGGATGCTTATAGACGAATGGTTCCAAAGTTCAAGGGTACATGTCTGTGAGTGCGGAAGACTGTGGCATGTGGAGAGTTTAAGAAGATTTGGTGACGGTAGAAGGAATTACAAACAAGTCTCCAGGTATGACAATTTTTATTATGCCTTTTTCAATTATCCTTTGTTAGAGAAACTCCGTTTTGTGATAGAGTTTGGTTTGGTATGCCGAGTACAAGTATTACAGTATGTCATCTTGCATATTGTAATTGCATTGTTGCAAATATGTTTCTTTTTATACTTTGGATGCTTTAATGTTTATTGTATCACTTCTGGGTGTTGAGATACGCGTTGCATCAATTGTTTTGACTTGTGTACGTTACAAACTGGTGCAAAAAAAAACCCAGATTCTATTTGAATGACTTCTGTGGCTTTAGTCGTGTCCATCTTGGCCTAAAGGGGGCGCACTTCAGTCTGTCATTTTAGATACCATGTGTTTTGTAACCGAGTGATGAGTGATTAGCTAGAATTAAGACAAAGGACTCCCTTATTCTCACCTAACCGGTTTATCTACAGATTTCTGTCTTGCTTTTAGTTTTCCATGCATTTCATTAATTTTAGGGAGCAGAAGTTATGGGAAAGTATAATAATATTTGAAACCTGCTAAATGACAGCGTGCATTACAAACAGCATAGATTGATGATAAATACACACCGCTCGTGACATTTCACTCAGTTTATGCTCATTTAATCCCGGGAACAGTACATTACCTGCCAGGTCGTAGAACTTCTCCGTTTTGCACGCCGCGGCCAGAGCCCAGCCCGCCCACTGGATGCCCACATCTGTCAGGGCGCATTTGATCAACACGCTGCCCATGACGAGGCTCTGAAGCGCGGACAGCAGCTCTGGAGTCAGATAATGTGGCATAAACACGGCACAGAAACAAGGCAGGCAAAGTTCAACCCGGACTAATACAGAAGGCGGGGCTGCTGAGGGCAAAGCATGATGGGAGATGTGGTTCAGTGGATTAGTGTTTGTTTGTATGGTTTGTAGTTTGCGACCACGGTAGTTATTATAACTGTGTATTATATCCCTAGGATTACCTTTAGAATTAGGTAGAAAAACATAAATACAAAATAATGCTTTTTTGTGTGCAATATGCACCTGCAACCAATTATTATATAGTTTTATCTTCAGCCTGTAGTTTAGTGAAGTGGGGGGAAACAGTCCAAAGCTCATTAGTGTCTTGAGTGGAAATATATATGTTTCATTATTTTATTGAATATATTATGTGAATAGTGTTCCAACATAATAACATGAATTGAATGTTCAAATTTACAACCACAAGAAACAGCAATAGTTTATTAACTAATATAACCTTATCTGTTTACAGTTTTTTCATCCCTTGGAGCTTAAAATAAAATGGCAGAAAGTCACAGTCCAAAAGGCAGCTCCAACGTCTTTGCAAGAAAGGTCCAGAGGCAACTGAGCAGAGGAAAAGAAAAGGTATACGCTCACCTGTTGGACAATGGTTTCCAATCATTAAAATGGTCTGATTCATTACAGGTTCTTCAAAAGCTGGGAAAGGCAGTGGAAACCAAAGACGATGAATTTGAGGATTATCTTCAGAGATTTTGTGACCAGCAGGTAAAGTCACCATCATTAGTCTTCAATTTTTGTTGTTGTATCAATGTATTTAGTTTGTTATTCCTATATATTACTGTCTACTTATATACTTTTAAATTTTGGATGTATAACAGTGGCAGGAATTCAGACAACTGATGTACCCACTGCTGTGAGGCATCAACAGACATGTGCACTATTCCCCTTTTAACTCTTTTCTTTTCATAGTTTAATCACTAATAATGTGATAGAGTATTGTGATAGAGAAGATTAATTTAAGCTGAAAATGTGTGTGCTCTTTTGCAGACGGATGGGAACCGCATTCACAAAGACTTGAGAACCTACCTTAATGCTGTCAGAGGTATACAAAAAACAATGTCTATGTAGTCTTATCCTAGTTTTATTGACATCCCTATAATATAATTGTTCCTTCAGACATGCGTGAAGCTTCAAGACGTCTTTCTCAGTCTCTGTTTGACGTTTATGAAAATGATTGGGTCGGGGAGGAGGACCTAGGAGCCATTGTCGAGGTCAGAAAGAACTAAACTTGTACAACTTTGTATGAAAAGGAATAACATCAGATAAATGGAATGAATATTGGGAGTGTGATTGTAAATATGACTATGAATAGATTATTTTAACTGTTGGTCGTTAATTTGGCATCCAATGTACTGTCATGGATCAACTAGGGATAATCAACATATTTTTTGTTGGGCAATTAATATAATATAACCATCACATTCCCGTAATTGTGAAAGATCAATATTGAGATCCATCCCTCTTATCTCCAGTCAAATCCAACTTTCTGGGATGAAGTTTGTACACCAAACACACTCATAGAATACAGTCAAAACAATTTCTACAAAGTGATAACTTTCTGCCTGGACTGCTTTGCTTCATTATAGATCACTAATATAAATCTCATTATCAGTGAAAAATCCCTGAGTTGTGAAAGGGAATTGTCAAAACCCGCAGACACTTGCTTTACCCACTTTAACATTAACCAAAGAAAAGGTAGAAAAAGTTTGATAACGATATCAGTGTGCAGAGATTGTTCCCACTCATCATCAGAGTAAGTCATCAGAGGCCAAAACTACAGCATTACATAAAATCAAGCCATTTGTTTGTACTCCATAGGGTCCTAAAAAAAAATTCATTTTGCATTTGAATTTGAAAAGGGTCTAAAATGCGGATGATGGCTATGTGCAGCCATACATTTGAGGAAAAAAAATACTATCCCTTTCTATTTCCAGGGGACTAAACTTTGTCTTAACTGCTCTTTACCTTGCTTTCTTTACATGATGTAGTGTATTCATGTGTGTCCATTTATCCAGGGGGAGGACCTGTTGTGGAATGACTTTGAGGTAAAACTATTGGACCAGTCCATTCGCACCATGGAGTCTTATGTGAGCCAATTCCCAGACGTCAGGGTAAGAAAATGAAAGTAAGCGCTCAGTTAGAGAAGGGGCCCTTAATAAGCATGACGATAACACGCCTTTTCTTCTGCAGGAGAAAATTGCCAAAAGGGGCAGAAAACTTGTGGACTACGACTCGTCGAGGCACCATCTAGAAGGCCTGCAGAACGCAAAGAAGAAAGATGACGTGAAAATCAGCAAGGTTAAGCACTCAAGAGACTTTTTTAAAGAAACATGGCCTAATCCAGAGGAATAGTCACAACAGCACAAAAGCAGATTAACATTCATTTAATCAGTTTTATTTTCAGTATGTTGCTTAGCTGTTCTTATCACTAGTTTAGCTAAAAATACATATAATTTGTTCTAACAGGAAACGTCTTGTGAAAGTAATAATATTGTGAACATTAAACCACAATATGCTGTTTTTATCTAATTAGAACATATTTTATATTTTGAAATCTTGGACTAAAGACTCCTGTGAATCACTATTTGACAGTGTGAGCTGAGTGAGGGGGGTTCTCTTTTTTCACTGATCTAAAGATGTGAAAAGTAACTGTTTTAAAATCTAAAAACAATGGATTTTATAACATTATTATTAACGTTTATTATTTTGTGTAGTTAGAAACACCGGCTTTAAAATACAGTTAATACGGGTAAGGGTTTATCATAAGAATAGACCCTCAAAAGGTTATGTCACAGAGGAAATGGGCCTTTCTGAGTGGAGTTTGCATGTTCTCCCTGTGACTGCGGGTGCTCCAGTTTCCCCTACCACTAAAAACATGCACAATAAAGTAAATCCTATAGCTCTGGTGACCTGACCAAGCCGAGCATCAACATTTGGAGATGGATTCCCGGGCACTGTGGTACGGCGACCACTGCTCCTGACAGACGCCCTATAGAGGCATTTGCAGGGTGGGTCAAATGCAGAGGACAAAGTTACCTACGGGGATGAATAAAGTGCATATTTTACATCGTTACTACATGGGACAACAAAAAACAAACCCCCGGTGGGTCCCAAAATGTGTGATACATATTGATTAAACTTTACTTCTGGACCACTGTTTCAATCCAATGACTATTCCCAATTGTATGTTATCGGCTGACTTTGCTTTAGCTGCTGCAGACGAAACAGAAACCAACATTAGAGCAGGGATAGAGAAATACATTGTTACATTTATAATCACAGCTCATGATGGAACAGGTGGAAATCCAAGGCACAAACTGGACCCTTCACTCTTTGCTTTAACGGCCGTTGATCTGGCGGTTTATTGAGGTTTTGTTCAGAGTTAAAAATTCTTTTGCTAATCACAGTGTTATTGAGATTAAGAGATCCTTCATTCGTCCCACAGTGGGGAAATTTCACGGTTGCAACAACAGTTACAGAACAGTAGGAATGAGCACACAGCACAAGGAAAATAACACAGCACAGGACAAGACAAATGAACACAGCCGATACTAAACTCCCTACTGAATAAAATAACATATTCAATTCAACTCAAAACACCCTTTTTTAATTCCTGAGGGGCAATTAAAAAACATTGAGAGTTACAATGTTACAGAATAAATTAAAAAGCCAAAATACAAAACAAAACAGACATTCATACTTAAAGGCATATTAAAATTGGGGCAGCCTTTAGAGAAAAGTAAAATATCTAGCTTTAGCATAATAAGGAAGCAGTCTATAATCTGTAATAAAAAGCACAAAATGAAGCACAACATCTCTGACTTTAGCATAATAAAGAATGTAAAATTGGAGGCACAATAGAAGCAGTGTTGGTAATTTATCTGTGATGTCTTGTCCGCCGCAGGCAGAAGAGGAGATGAATGCTGCTAAAGTTGTGTATGAAGGCATCAACAACGAGCTGAAAGAGGAGCTGCCTGTGCTTTATGAGAAGTAATTATGTTTGGTCTTATAGGGAAGTAAAGACCAAGCTTTTGTATCGTAACTAACATCATACTTTCTTTCTGGGTTTGAAGTCGTATTGGGTGCTACGTGGCAGTCTTCTTAGCGGTTTCCAACTTACGAGACACATTCTACAAAGAAGTCAGCTCGGTGTGTTTGCAGGGAGTTAATCAATGTCCATTTATTTCTTTAACTTTGTTTGTAATTGAACTCTTGGGCTTTTAGCTAAATCAAGATCTCCACAGTGTGATAAGTGAGCTGCAGGCCCAACATCCAGACAAGCAGTTCTCTGTGAAGGGGATTCAGAGGTTAGTGCTGCTGCCATGGTACTTAAAGGGCTATCTTTGTATGAGCGTGTACAATTTTCTCTTATTATATGATATTTACTAATGTATAATGTGTGTGAGGATTCAGAGGTCAGAAAATAGCTTTAATTTAGAATAGAATAGACATTTTGAAACATAATGTTGTCAGGTACACATAAATTACAATTAGGAGATCATTTATTCGTGCTACAGTGTGGAAATCTCAGAACTGGTGGTTGCATCACCAGTCACAGAACAATAAGAATGAGGAGCACTCAGCACAAGATAAATGAATAATAACTCTATAGTGAAATAACATTAAATAAAATAACATCTCTGACTCTAGCATAAAAAGAAGCAGTATAAAGGAAAGAAGTCTAAAATCTCCAACTTTAGCATTATAAGGAGCAAGAATAAAATACTGTGTTTTCTAGTGCAAATAATATGTAGTTGTATGTATACATCTGTACAATAAATTCAGCATCTACACAGTCAGACATTTGTAAGTCATAGATGAATAACAACAGAGACAACATTGATTCTGTGATGCAGTTAAATGATGAGACTAAAGGTTTGATCGCTTTGGGATAGACGCTGTTTTGAGTGGCGCTTGTCTAATCTTGTGGTGCACGTTTGCTACAATCTATCCTCACTCATTATTCATGCAATGGTGTTTTTCGAAAGATTTTAACTCCAGATGATAAAAGTTATATTAAAAAATGTTTTGTAACTCATTTTGAAATTTAGAAACACATATGAAATACAACTATAAATTGAAAGACAGTCAATCTGTTGCAAAGTCCTTTCAGACCAATATTGTGACAAAAAGTGAACAAAAATAATTATCGTCTCATTAAATTCGAAACTTAGCATATTGCAAAAGTAGAGAAGCACTCGTAGAGCACAGACCGCTACCAAGAGGTGCAGTCCCATTCCTGAATCCAGATGATGATCCATATCACCTCCTAAGAATTATTTGTTCGTTTTATTTATTTATTTGCTCCATGTCCAATTTATGCTTTACAATAATCTACACATAACTTGAGTTGTGTGATGTTACTAGTTATTGTTACAAAGCTATTAGTACAACATTTTTACTACATTACCCCCTGGTGGTGCTGAAATTCATCTGCATACACAATGTTCTCTGTCTAAAGTTCATAATTAATCATAATACAATTAATTATTTATATACAGTATTGTAGTATATGATTATAAACACTACTCACCTCTGTTACAGGTACGGCTCTTTGAGGAGACGGACTCTGATGTCTCCCAGAGCGTGGAAAGCCAGTTTCTCTGACTTCCACAGAAACTATAATCCCAAACAGGGGTCCAGGTTCAGTTTCAAGTCTCCAGAAAAACCCAAACATGGAACTCTGTCTCGAGAGAACAGCTCCACCTCTGTCTCCCCTCCGCCCCCCATCCCAGTATACCCACACCCGAAGCCTGCCAACCTGAACACAAGTGGTGAGCACCCAGTTTAACATTATCCTCCTTTTGAGAAGAGGAAAAACCATTTACTTTTTAAATGATAGTCAAAAGTAACAAAAGTATTCCATTACTGGTAATTCATTTTGTAATCTATTCATATTGAGCCGAGTTGTCTTAAAGGAGGAAAAGATGTCCAACAAATCTGTAAACGGTTTATCATTCAGATACAATATATCAAGGTCATGTCTCCACCAGTTTGATGTTATAGCTTTGCCTGCAATATTTTAAAGTATGGCATTTTTTAAGGTTTGTTTTTTCTCAAATATCAAGAGACTCTATATATCACCTGCTTGTTTCCCTCTAGATAGGTTTAGTGCGCCTCTGTGAAAGATTCCAGCTAAAACAATAACAACTCACTCTTTCCACCTCTACTGTGCCCACTGTCCGCAGGAAGCCAAGAAGTGGTGGACAATTCACAATCGCAAGAGGCAGCAACAACATCTGCAGCGAAGACTTCAGAAGCGAGCAGCTCTGCAACGGAAAACCCAGAAGCAAAAGAAGAGGAGCTGTCTGAAGATAAAGAACACGAGGAGGAAAAGGTACAAACATGTGCTTTAAGGATTTGTTTGAGGAAAAAAAAAAAGGTATAGACACTTGTCAACACTTTATGAGTAACCTATTGCAGTTCAAACCATTATGTCATCTATCTGCCCTAAATGACTTGAACTGCATACAATTCTGTATTCTGCATTATTCAAATTTTGCATAAATGATATAGAGAAACTGGTTATGGAAAAGTAAATCAAGCTTTGATTGATTTAAGGTTATAGCAGCTGTAATTACCATATCAGTTGCCCTAAAGACCTTCATATTAAGCCTCAGACATGCTGTGGACTTAACACCGAAAGATAGCCCTAATATTCCTTTTGAAATTCATGTGTCCGTTGTGTCTTCTTCCTCCTCCAGGACAAGGCTGCGGCCAGCGATAGCAGCTCTGAAGTGGAGCAGTCGTGTGATTCGGTCAGTCTGGAGCTGCAGCTGTCGGACCAGAGCCCTCTGCACATCATGGAGGAGGAGGAGGGCAGCGGGTCCAAGGACACCCCCAAAACCAACGCCCTGGAGAATGGAGAGCTCCCAGCAAGAGTCACCCCTCTCAAGGTGAGTCTGGTCATCACATGTTCACATCTTTCAGTGGTCTTCAAACCGGTCCTCAGTGGTTCCATGTGCTCCTGCTCGTTGGGAATGAAAACCACACTGGCCCTTTCAGGACTGGTCTGAAGACATATTACTTTTTTCTTGCAGACCTAAAAACTACGACGACAACATCAGTAGCAATTGATCTAATATCTAAAACGAGTGAAAACTTCTAAATGCATGCAAAGGTGATGTTTAGTCCAACTTATTCCTTTTATTGACCTGTTGCATCAGCAGAGAGTGCCACACGTTATAGGAAATGGGCAGCATGTCTCCAGGATCTTGTTCTTTCCTTCCTGCCCCAAAGCAGCTGAGCAGGCTGATGCTGCGTTCAGACCAAACGCGTTTTCTGCGGCAAAATCGCGTCTGACGCGCGTCTTGGGACGCTTGTGACAAATTGTGGCAGACGCTGTCACAGAGCATCTTGGAGGCGCGTCACACGCGTCCAGGACATTAGAGGGCAGCGTTCTGGAGGCGCGTCAAGGAAGAGCCTGCTCTGTTGTCAACACAACTCGGAGAGGGAAGGACACGGGAGCCACGATTAAGGTAAAAAGTGTAAAATACGCTTAAATTAGGACATAAAAGTTAATTCTAATAACATTTGAGGCGAGAAATACCCCCCTTTATTGTTATATCGGAGGTCTGCTTGGTGATCAAATAGAACATTGTCGGACTTTTCTCCAGTGCAGAGAGCGGGGGTCGGGCAGTGCTCAAGCCGAGAAAGAGCGTCTCAACGCGGGGACACATCAGTGGAGCTCTCACAAGCTTCATTCTGAGAATCCGAGGCTTTTGTTACGGACTTTCTCTGTTATAACAATTGTATTGGCAGTAATCATTCGTTTTTACAAAGCCATATTGTATGTAAACAATGCACACGTATGCGATAATGATATATGATTGATTTATTTGCTCTGGCCCTCGTTTGTGCATCACTCACATAAATGTAATAACGTTTTTTTCTGATGAAAAAGGAATTTCCATGGATCTATAATAATAAGCACATCCATGGATCTGTATTATAACGAACATCAGTAAAAAGCAGTTGAACACAGGAGAGTCCTAGAACTACTCTTTTTGAAGTCTTGAAAAGCAACAGACTGTTACTGATCAGATTAGAGTTGAATGTATTCAATTAGAACTTTAAGTACTGCTGACAAATATGTAACTGTGTAAATAATACCGTATACATGACTCTTTACACTTCAGACACAAAAAAACTAAATAATAACACCAACAAGTTTTATTTTTTATTTCCAGGCTCTCTATGAAGGTGTCAGAGGCAGACGCCCAGGACTCTGCTGTAGCTCCTGCTGCTGCTGCTCCTGCTACCGCTGCTCCTGCTGTTGCTCCTCCTGCTGCTCCTCGTCTTCAGAGATGCAGATCCCACTGTTCTAACTATTCATGACTGATGAATAAATAAAACATGAAAATATGTTTGTTGTAGTTCATATTGTTAATCCGCAATGAAGCAGGAGGTGTGGAGGTGAATCTGCAGTGAAGCAGGAGGTGATGGAGGTGAAGCTGGAGAAACGATGCCGTGTGATTTTGTTGCTGTCAGAGAAAGTCTGAGTTCCATTTCACCAAAAGTCTCTGAAAAAGAACACAAACATCATGTTAAAACATGGACACCTCAAAATAAAATACAGAAATCCTTCCTGTATGTAATATTAGAGGTACACAGCAGGAGAAACAGACACTGAGGAGTAACAGAAGAATAATATATTGGAAATATTCAAAACTTAGGAGTGTGGCTAACCACTTTAAACCTTTTGGAAGTGAGACTGTCATCTGCAAATGTCCTTTATTAATGACAAAAGAAACATCTGTATAATGTGCTCTTATTTCATCATTATATTTATCAGACTATTGTATGAAAAGTGCTTCATAATAAGCCACATACAGTATACAGTAAATGTTAATAATTATACAGTATTCCCAGTCTTAGTATGGGATTATAAATTATATACACAATCTATTTTATATGAATACAGATACTTCGTGTTACTTGGCATACTACATGTTAGAATACTACAGCTGCTGTCTCCATGGACTGTTTCCTCTGTGTAGCTTTAATGTGTAATCAGTGGGTTTGTTTCTCCCTAAAGATGACATTACAGATTTTGCGCAGGGAAGTATTAACGATTGTGAAAAGTTTAAATAACCTACCAGAGACACCAACCTCCTCACTAGCCCTCCTCTATGTCACGGTGGTTATAGTCTGCAGGGCTCATGGGCTAACAGCACAGCTTGTCCTCATAGCTGTTGTGTTGTCGTCCCCCTCGGTCCTGCCGTGAAATGAGTTACCACGTCACTGTTGGAGGAGGCTCCTGATTGGTAGACGCTCGCGTCTTCTCCCGAAAAGTTCAAGACGTTCGAAATCTCAAAACGCGCCGCGGCAAACGCGCGAAACGCTCGAAGACGCGCTGCTTGGGAGGCGCGTGACGCGCCGCGTGATCACTTGACGCTCCTAGACGCGCGTCCCCCATGTTATGTCAATGTAAACCCGACGTTTTGGACGCTCAAGACGCGTTTGGTCTGAACGCACTTATAGTTGGGATTAGGAGCAGATTGACCGGAAAATTGATCTTGTTCAGTCAGAGGGTCTTCCGCAATCAGTATGCATAGAGTAGTTTAAGAAGTGGCTGCAGTGCAAATGAGGACCTTCAAAGTCGTATTTCTTTTGTCTGAGTAACCCCTTGTTTTACGTGCAGACATTCAGATCTGGGAAGGACATGATGTGTTATTATGATCTACACAGAAACACGTTTTAATCTAATTCTTTGCCTTTATTATTGTTTCATCACCAGGATGTTGCAGACCAGTCAGACTCAAAAAGCACAACAGTGTGACATCGGTCTGTATCGGTTTCCTTATCAGTCACTTTTGTTCACATGTGACAAAGCCTTTGCTGACTCTTTGCTGTCGTTAGGTTTCACCGTAGAAGATGATGGAGACTGATGCCAGCTGCAGACCAACGAAATCGTAATGTGGATTCTGCAGACAGGCTATCAAAGATTATTTTTATATATATGCATTCCTAAAACTATTTTATATGTTAATACAATCATGCAATCCTGTTGGAAAATTCAAACATTTTCTACTGTTTAATTTATTACATTTAAATTAATTATCTGTGCTATGTTATATTGTCATGAATGTCTTTAGCTGATAAGAGAAAAGTAAACAATGTGTCTGTAATCTAATCAACAGAATTACGCACAAGATGATGTCCGACACTTGATTTTTTTCCCTTGACAAAATAATCAATAAAACGATATCCTGCATTTGTGTGTACTTTTACTTGATTAAAAAATCTATCTTATATCTAGTATTTGAAGAAACTGCGGCATTTTCACAGAACTATACGTGCAACAGGCCCAGACCTCGTGACTCAGAGACAATCTTTGCTGAGACACGCGGAGGGAAAGGGCGGTGCGGAAATTCACAGCGCACCAAAGGCAAAAAGCCAAATAACTTTTCATTTAGTTTCTCACGAGTCTGCCTCAAGTTGCCCTGCGTCTTTCACACAGTTAAACACCGCCACCAACGCCTTCTCCCACCGCAAAAGTCCTCATTGACGAGAATATTCTGCAGTAAGTTTGGAAAAGCTCTCCGGACAAAAGTGCGCTCAGGTAAGTGATCGTAATCTGGTCCAACAGCTGCGATGCGCTCTCTGGAATTATTCAACCTTCTCCGAGACAAACCTTTCCACACTGTTGTTGTTTTACCTTTTATCTTGATGTTAAACAAAATGAAAAACATATGGAGCAAGTTGTCATCTCCTCAAAGTTATACAGCTACGCAAACAAACGCCAATTTCCTGAAACAAAACGTGATCCATCTGTAAACAATGGTGACAAAGGAGATGGATCATTTTCCAGAGCGACACCTTCAGGACTTTTGTGTTCAAATTATACAACCTTCTTTTAAACTCTTTCTTTATCCATAGGTGAAGCCAACATCAGCAGCAATGAATGGTGAGAAGAACCCTTTGTTAATATAGAAATTTGACTTGGATTTCCCAGTCACAGTTTGGCAATCCTAGACCTAGTTTAGACTGGTTTATTAGGTCCACCCGAGGAACTAGTTGGGTGGATCATAAGAATTTGTATGTGGTCTGAAAGTTGCGTACCCTAGCTTTAATCATGAGTTAGTTGGACTTGGATTGAAATGTTGCATAGAAGCAAAAATAAGGAAGGAATAATCACCAATGCTTAAAACGTGATGTCAAAAATGTGAGTAATCTGACAAGGCAGAACTTTCTTGTCCTGAAATCCGTTTTTGGCTTCACTAATTTTTAATTTTGTGAAATCGCAATAATCAGATTACAGTGTTGTGTTCTTTGCACCAGAGTAATTAATCCCACGTTTGTATTTCAAGTTACAGAAATGACCAATTCATCAATAGCAGCAGCGACGCCACGTGCTGTGACAGAAGGTAAATTATTATTATTATGAGTATTGTAATGTAATGTTAGTGAGGCAATGAATCTGATCATATTCTGTCCCGTGAGGTTTATTCCAGTTCATATTTTTGTCTTTCTTTGTGCCCCAAAAGGAATTACGAAACCTTCAGGAGTTGCGACGACATACTCTGAAGCCAACACAACGATTAACGACGGTATTTTTTTGTCTACCTGCTACAAGCCCATTTACCAATTAGAACAAATGTATTGATTTGTTTCTTTTTATTTGCAGTGATCACAACAGCGCTCCCAGCAAGTACAGACGGCACAATTGTCGCAGGTAAATTTCATGTTATTTGCATGAATTTGGACATCTTTCACAAGTGTCAGTTCTCTGTAGCTTTAAATTTATTATTCAAAAAAAAGGCTGAAATATTGCAACCCTTCTGTGGTTACCGCTTCACTATGAGACTATGTTTGGCTCATATACATGCATTGTTGGCCCCCAAACAAATTGATGACATATGCCCCAATCTCCCAATCTTGCTGCTCTTTGTAAACTGCCCTGTTGTTTAAACTTGAGTTGTGCGACTGCTAAACGAGACGCCCATAGAAGTGGACTTAGCACATAATCCTGCCCTCAATTTTAGATATTTTCCCCTTTTTATTGTATTTAGACATGGTAACCAAATACTTTTTGATTTATTTACCCTTTGAACCCAATTTCACTAGCAGCAATTTTTCCCCCCACTGCTTCTTTGTTTGAAACACTGGACATGTTTTGCACTGCTCTTTTCCCCTTGCAGTGGTCATTTTTGTGATCTTGCTGACCGTAGCAGTTGTGGGCTTCCTGCTTTATCGATATCTGTGCCATAACAAAGGAGACTACAGGACGACTGGAGAGCTGGCCCCAGGCGAAGATGCAGAAGAAACTTCCCAAATTCACAAAGGGACCGAGAAAAAGGAGTATTTCATATGAACACGTGGGCGTTTGGTTTTTTATTTTATTTTATTTTATGGAAGGATGCCACTTTTTACATGTTCTTAAAGGCGCTATACCCGTTTCTGCGATGTTTGAATGTTTAGCACCGCCCCCCAACTCGCTCAATGGCTTCTCATTTCCCCTACGCTCTCATAACACGGAGCCATCTAGTTTTATTTGCGATCTGATACATATGCTAACATTAGCATTTGCACAACTTCTTGTAAGCTGCGCAACAATCACTGATGAAATGGCACTAAAGCAACGCACTGCTAACACAATATATAAGTAAAAGAATACCGCTAGTTTTGCGTCCTAATGTATTAATTTAAAACCTTAGAATATATTCTAATATTTAATTATAATTTGTTATAGAGCTACTCAAAGCAGCAGCAGCAGCAATTCTTCCGATCATTTTTCTTGATAACAGAACTCTCAAACCAATAATGACCGAAGCCCCAATGCAATCTCTGTTTGTAATTCAGGTGTGTAAAATACTGCCATTACTCTGAAAGTACAAAACGCTGTCAGCACCTGTCACTACACACTCGTCTGTGTAGAGAAGCTAGCGGAGCTAGCGGAGCTAGCCACGCTCAATAAACAACTACATATCTATAAATCAACACCATTAAACGTCGATCGGACAATACAGTACACATATACATCCTTAACACACATGCACGGATGATTTCAGAATTTGCTGTTAACGTTTTCATGACAAAAATACTGTTTTAAAGTGACAAAAAGCGATTGCGAAAAACCCGGAAGTTACCATGAAACAACTAGCTAGCTTAGCTGTTACCTGCCTAGCACGTCCCGGTGAAACTTTTGGGAGCTAACTATTTTATTTGCAGTCATTAAATACATTTCGAATTACAAGGGTTGTCTAATATTTGTTCAAATTTTTTTATTCAATAATTTTTTTCATCATTTTTTATTTTAGAATTATATTCGAATTTTGAAGTCCAGCGCTGTAGAGGCTAGAGGACGCAGGCTGTTCGCTGCTCGTTCTGTGAGCGGAGGAGAACGAGCGGCCCGCTCAGACTCTACTCAGCACTTTTCACTGCTTGTAATTCTTACACAGCTGAATCAATGACCTCGAGTTTTCAATTAAATGATGTATTATGATACAACTTGTATGTAGTAAAAATCATTTTTATGAACTACTTAGAAAAAAAATCGGGTATAGCTTCTTTAAGGACTTGGTACTTGAAAGTCCAGAGTGATGGCATGTTTAAATGGAGCACAACAGGTGGTTTGGCTTGTTCTACAAAATTGGAAATGCCGTAAAAGGTTAAAAGAAGTATTTGCTCCATTTACAATTTTAGTTACTGTATCAATGAAGATTTGAGCATTTTAGTTGTTTTTATATCTTTGTTACAAAAAATATTTTTGTCTGATTTTGATTTGACTAAAGTTGGTCATTTTCGCTATTTATAATGCATGTAGGAGCCAGTAAACCTTTGAAGAACTTCAACATGTGTCCATTATTATGAAATCCAATAATATACTATTATGTCTGATAAGTACTTTTGAAAACATTGGTCTGAGATGGCCCTCTTCTGTTATACTTGGGTACTTATTTCAAACTGAAGTCCTGGTTTAGAGCTTGTGAAGACTGGTTAGACTAGTCCAAAACAAAGTGTTAACACCCATTTGAAGCAGCCGTTATCCGTCAAATGACTACATTTAGGGCTGATAGCGAGATACTTCATAGTTTACAATATGCATTTTAAATCCTACCTATGTCCTTAAATATGACAATGTTTCCTTATGTCTGGAGGCAAAATAATTACATAATGCATGATGGTACTTTATTCTACTTTAGTCCTAAATTTAAGTAAAATAAGTATTTGCTATAAACTATAGTCTCAATCCTGATTGGGGGTTAGTTATGGGACACTTTATAGCACTAAATGCTTGTTGCTTTGCTCGTAAACTACAATTATTGACTTCTGCGAGTTGTTAAATATCTGGCTGAAATATAAAATGACTAAACATGAAGAAAGACTGCCATTATACTTTAAATGTTATCTTTGATGCTTACGACTAACTAATTTGCCATTACCCTTTGGTTTTGATGTGGTGAAGCTTCAGGTGTTTATAAATGTCAGATTAAATGCTAAAGTGAACTAAAGCAGAAGTTTGTAATAAAACCAAAAACAAGACAGACTGGTGTGCACCTGTAGTATGAGTTCAAATGAGTTTTAAGATGTTTAATTATATCAAAATGTATATGGACAGCTGGAAATGGGGCTCTACAGGTCACTACAACAACATGGTCCTATACTATTAAAATAACAGCAATGAAAATACAACATGTCTAATTTTTCAAAATAACCTTTATTCTAAACCAATCCATTTTAAATTTTAAGTTTAGTATAAAAAGTTAAGTGCACCTACTCTTTTCCATCAAAACTCAAGTGACACTCTCCTCCTTTGTAATCTTAAAAGATAAAATGAGTACCAAAGAACATTACATCACTTTAGTACATGTTTTTTTTCATTTTTTTTTTACAAAAATGTTGTAAAAAGAATCCCTGAACTATAAATGTTCATTCTCCTTCAAAAGTTTCCATTTGCTGTGGTTGGCATCTAATGGTCTGCTGTAATTTACAGTACTTTATATTGCTAAGACAAATGCACTATCATGCAGCAATACAAGTTTAAATGTGATTAAATTAATGTTTTTAAAAGCAGTGGCCAGATCTTGAATGTTTTTTTTCTCAATGTCAAGTATTAGTAAAGTTTTAGAATAATAAACATGACTTACGACTGGCACCAGGTGCAAAAAAAGAACTTAGCCATTGAGCTTGATTTGAGAAGTTCAGAACTCTTTACGATTTGGTCCTAAATATTTGATTGATTCCAAAATTGCAAACTTGTGCAAAGTAAGAAATAAAAAAATACAAACTTTAGAGTTAAAAAATAAAAATAAACATATTAAAACAATCACTAGGTAAACCTGAAGATCAACTCCTGTACATCCATTTAGAGTAAGATTTCACTGGCCACAGCTGTTAAAACTTAATGTCATGTCAGATACCCAGTTACATTAATTAAATCAATAAAATCTAAATGTATTCACAGAAAATAACTTGACAATTGACATTCCTACTTCTGGCACATATGATTACCTAAATGACACATTATGGAAACTTGTTGCTTTAAGGTTTAGCAGCACAAAAACAGTCGCCCTGTGAAATAAGAAAAGATTCAGTGCACGTTACGATACTAAAAAGCACAGCATTATTTTGAAGGCTCAAAATACAAGTACAACATATAAATGTAATGAAAGAATAGATAACTAGTCACCCCTCCAGGTGTGTGCAGTGCATGTTAATATTCAACATTAAAGTGAGTTAACACTGGTTTCGTGAGGATAAATCGATTGTACAATTGTGTTTATAGATAAAGCTTCACGTAAAGCTCTTTCATGCCCTGCTTTAGTAATGTTTTGTTCCTAAAAACTACTTCTACTGAAACTTATCATGGCACAACTTTTGATATCGGCCAATGGCATCAACAAAGACATAAGAATGAGTCCGTCTGATACGTTAATCAAAGTCACGGTCCCGGTGACCGGATGATGGACACAGATCCACCATAAGGGACAGAAATGTAGTTTCCATGGATACAGTTCCACTTACGGCATTTAACTCTAGCAGTGTGCTGACGCAACTTTTTAAAAAGGAATTTCATCAGAATTATCGTCAGTGTGATTCATATATTTCAGATAAAAAAAACTCAAACTCAAATTTGCATTCTATTATAATTCTTATTTTATCCGTTACGTCCAAGTAATTTTACACCATGTATAAATCCAATGTTTGTAGCAATATCTTTGGCACAAATGAATTTCACCAACTACACTAAGATTATGGAAAGTGAGACAAAAGTGCAACAATGTAAAGTTACCCAACATTAAATACCAGCTAATTACAAAAAACATAATATAAATAAATATGTTTAAACTACATTAAATTTGCATTGTATGCAAACAAGAAAATAAAAATCTGGGTATCCGACGATCAAATAGAAGACAAAAAGCAATAATGTTAGACCAACCACCTCGAGATATTCAACAAACTAGTAAGATTTAGCGATGTCTTCTAAAGCTAATTTGCTTAGATTAGGGCTGTCCCCGGTGCTCTTTGGCACTTGAATACATTAATTTAAATTGCCCATCAAGGTACAGTAGACCACTATGGATATTGCAGATTTTTTTCATTTATGTTTGTTCATTGAAATGGAACTTGATAACAACATTTTTTTTATTGTAATTAGGGACTTGTTGTACAAACATCATCATAGACACTTCAGTTTAAAGTAGAGGTGTCCAAACCTTTTTCAGAGGGCAACATGACTGGTGGTCAGTCCAGTGAATCAAGTGGTAAAATGACTAACATTTGTAAAACGACTGCCTTAGATCACTACAACTAATTCAGCAGAAGCCAGACCAACAACATTGGTCAGAGCCACATTTGGTCCCCGGACCATAGTTTGGACACCCCCAATTTAAAGGATAACACAGATTTGAAGGTTCTATCAATACTTCCCATTAGTACTTACACTTACCACTTCACAGCTAGGATTGAACTAAAACTAAAATTAGAATTATTACAGTCATTTTATAAGAGTGTATGTTTTCATTTTGAAGATGCATTTTGACTTTATCATAAAAGCAGCTAAGTACTACACATGTAATGCTATTGGAAATACAAACATTTTATCACAGAATAATGCAGGAGTTGGTTAACTTCACACTGGTTTCTGCAGGCCTTATTTTGCCTGTTATCTGTAGTGAAGTGGAGTACTGTACCTTTTACATGGGCTTATAGTACATTCCTTTATGTGAACTCAGTGTTGTGGCATGAACAAGCAGCCTTAACCATAACAGATACAGGAAGAACTGGGGCGTTGGGACATGAGCGGAGCTGCTGTTACCAGATGGTATATCCTCCACTGGATCCACCCAAGAAGAAGTTACTCTTGCGCTGCCCCATGACCACGTTTGCCCCCTGCATCGCAGCCAGCTGTGCTGCATTGGGGGGGTGTCCAGGAGGGGGAGGCTAAAGGAACAAAACACAAACTTAGACTTTGGTTTATGAAGTCAAAAGTAAAAGGTAAATGGATGTTGCATACAGGGATAGTAGAGCTGGCACCAGCACCAAAGCGAGCTCCTGCATCATAGCCGCCCTCCACCATAACAGTGGATCCATGGGGATACATGGCTCCTATGGGGTAATATGCCATAGGCACATTCTGCCCCACATGGCCCATGGACATGGGCTGCTGCAGTGGCATGAACATCTGAGCTCCAGCATACGGGGAGGACATGGCCTGTCCAGGCACCTGAGGGGGAAGCACATACCTGGGCTGGTATATCTGCGAAACAATGTAAAGGGCAGTGGTTAAACCCCCATTATTTATGTCACAGTAATAAAAGTATATGATATATTTACGTCTGAATATGCAGGTGGAGCATCTGTGTAAGGAGGGGCCTGAGGAGACATTTGCATAGCCGGAGGGTAAGCAGGAGCAGAGCTCTGCTGAGGGTACACAGTCTGCTGTGGATATGAACCTGTGAAGGGAAAGTATCATGAGGACATAATGTCTCCAAACATATTCAAGAGGTTAAGAGTAATTCTAATGACTAAAATGGCATTTAAACTGATTAAATGTTATTATCTATTGTCACATCAATATCCAGGCCAAATGGGTTCCACTTATACATTATTGTAACTTGTGTGCCATAACGTATGGCACAAAGAGAAAACTGTGGCATTCCGCAATTGTCACGTAATATGACTTTATAAAATCAAATATTACGTGTAATTTCATCAAGAGCCCATTCTAGCGCATGTAAAACAGATATAGCTTAAGCTTCAGCTGACGGTGTTTTGACCAAACAGCTAACGTGAACTAAGCTACATGCGGACAGTGGTTAAAATGGGCCTTGTGTGATGTCCTATAAAGACAATGAACGTGTTAATATACTACTCTCAGTGAACAGGGAAGATGCAGTCGACCAGTACAATCTCAGTATGTGTTCGGACTGATTTCACGTGATTTCGCCACGGCGTTAGTCCGTGTACGGTTGTGTGGCCCTGTGTTCACAAATAAGAGCGTATCCTGCACCAAAACAACAAAACACGGCGTCGCCTGCGTGACCGCGGCTCAAACACGGATCTCATGCTCAAATACCTTTGTTGTTCATCGTGTCTTGGTGATTCAGTGGGAGATCTGCTTGAAAATGGGATTCTGCGTATTTCGTGCGGCCTCGAGCGGTTTCGATGCTTTATATCGCGCACTTCCTTGTTTTCGTGTTTTTGTCAAAGCGGTGACGTAACTGTACGGAACCTGCGCGCGCCCCCTACAGCGGACATGGCGCAGCGCATGCAAAAGAGTAAAACAAGGTGAAAATCCTGCTAAATGGGGTTCGGACTTTAGTCAGTGGAATGGTGCAAGTGAAGTGTAATATGAGCAAACAAACACAGAAGAAAATATATTTAAAAACGCCCGGGTATTATAAAGCATAATTTGGCGTCTCGATTATGAAGCGGACACGTATGCATTTGTCATTTAATTTAACGTCTTAATTTTATCCCCTGTTATAGTTAAATAATTGTTTGATTTATGGTTGTTGATTCTTGTTTAATAATGATCGTACTGGGGTTTCTAATGTGATAACTAGTGATCCCTGATCATAACCCTGCACCTGAATAATAATGCTGCAAGTATTTTTTCTATGTCACATGAATGAATACATAAAATGACACTGAATGTTAATAAGCTCCAGAACTTGGCTGTAGCTCTATCACAGTCTGAACAAAGGACCGCACATTTAACCTATTAGTAGAGCCAGCCACGCTGCGCGCACTGTGCAGCCTGCTCTTTGTGCTGCTGTCTCTTTAAGGGAACCATGGCACCTCTCAAGTCGAGGCAGACATTTTTCAATGCAAGATTTTTTCTTGCATAAATTATGCTCATGACGTAGTGCAAAAGGCCAATTTCGAGGCAAATTTGCCCAACTTTTCCGCTCAAATGGGACATTATGCACCATCTTTAGGATTTTGCGCGCTCAGAAGAGTTTTAGAAAGGACGTCGTGATTAAATATTTAGACAGAGGAGCTGCTAACGTTGCAAACCTCCTTATCAATGCAAATAGCTCTTTTGTGTGCAGTCACAGCGCCTGTCTGGGAGCTGAGGTGAATTTTTAATTATGTGTGACTGAAACAAACTGTGACAAGGACCTGTCCTAAAGCGGCCGATGACAAGAGGCGAGCGGCTAGAAGGCGGTAAGTTACATTATACACCAGTCTATTCTGGGCTGCAGGACGCGTACAGCTCTGAAATGGAGGAATCAGTTTGGGTTAATATGCAATGTTCGTAATTAGCATAATTTATATATTTATGTTAAGAAGAAGGAAATTCATAATATTGGCGCTCTTTGCACTGGTCTGCACGTTTGCAGGCGCTTGTACGCGATGTTTCACGCGTGTGTCCAAAAGTGGCCGACGCGGCGAGACTTTTATTGGGCATGCAGGATGGGGGTGGGGAGCAACTGCTCAAGTTTTGACACATCCTTCGTCTAAAGGGGCACTGCAGCAGAAAGATTCATGTACACACAGTTTGTTCATTTAGAGACAGCGAGTTCACTTCACTGAGCTCTTGATCACATTTGTCTGTTGTCGTAGGCCTTATGTGCCTGAATACGCCAGTATATTATAATTAGCAAAGACAAAGGTTGACAAGGTGCATGGAGAGTTGTAGTTCATATTTTGTATTGTTTATAACACCGTTCTAAACAATCCTGTCATTTTATTGAATGGCAGCCGGCAGTATTATTATCACTAGTACGGAGGTAGGTGTTATGCATCACTGCTTGCGGGCGTTGTTGTGTCAGTGGGCAAAGCACTTCACTCATATGGATGTGAATAAGTGAGAGCCTCACTGTTATAAGCTTCCTACACGTGTGAAGAGCTGGTATTACTGTATTATTACGTCTCACCCAAGGAGCATTGAAAATGACAAGGCATAACAATATGTATGCTGTTTAATGTGTGTTCACACTTGATTCACATGTTAACCAAACAAAATGATCGTCATGTATGATACACACACATTTCTTTTGTCTTTGGCACAGAATGGAAATCACTACGTGATAAGTGAGAACCATGACCTCCCAGGACCAACCTGCTAAAGATGTGTCACTCACTGTCAATGAGCAAGTAAGTGTCTCGTGCCACATACAATAAAATGTAGAGCTGCATAAGACATAGAAGTGTATGCAGAGAAGAGTCTGATTCTGGGCTACTTTAGTTTGATTGAAACCCTGCTACCAGGTTCTGTAGTCTTATAGTTCAAATTTTTCTCATGAGAAACCACGTTTTTATATTGATACAATAATTACTAGTTTTGACTTGCAACATTTGTGTCCTTGGGCAAGACACTTAACCCCACTTTGCCCAAAGCCCCCACTGAAAGATCAAGGCTATGCTCACACTCAGAGAGCAGCCGTCCTCCTGTGGACTCACCACCTGCAGAGGGTCAGTGAGGGGCTGGTGCTATGAGACTTGGGTGGCATCTCTGACTGTCACCCCCCTGACCCAGAAATGGATTAAAGGGTAGAAAATGGATGGATGGATGGATGGACTTGCAACATGAGATTGCAGCGCCAAAGCCAAAAGGTTGCAGATCCATATGAATGTTCTCAAGCTGTGTACTGTAAACCATACACATACTTTTCCCACACTATTCAAACACCTTATATATATATATATATAAGTGACAATACAAAGGGCATAAATAGCCAGTTCAAGGGTCTTGATTTTGTGATCGCTGACTCCTCCCCCTTACCTTTCATCCCAAATCACAAACCTTTAATGCCTTTGAACAATGCTCTGGCCTCATGCTGCAACATCCTGAAGTTAATGTGCCCATTAGGTGTGTACATTTTAATTACTTTCTAACTTTATGCCCACAACGATTGTATCACTGACTTTGGTCTGTGAAAGGTGCTATATAAGTGCCTGTAAAATCTGATTCCTTTCCACACATTCTTTGGAAACATGTTCATTCATATGCCCTGTCAAACAAAGTTCCCCAAAAGCCAAGCTAAGACAAAAAGTGAAGCTCTAAAACAAGAACATGCATTCTTATCAGGGGTTCTCTCTTTAATAAGCAGAAATCCTTAGAGTTTTAAAAGTTTTGTTTTTCTAAAAACTTCAGCTACTCTCCTGTCGCATACAAATTTAGCTTCTCCGCCAACTCTTGGGGCCTACGCTCTGTTCACGTTGCCTCTGTCATGTTTGCTCTGTATCTTTCATTTCGACTTATAATATCTCAAAATCAGGTCACACGCTCCTGATTTGCTTTTTGCTTGTTACCGGCTGCTGCGCTTAGTTGGGACATTTCATTACATTTATCTTATAGCAATGCTCTTCTCTGGTGCACACAGATGAACACATTGCTTGAGTGATCCATGTGATATAGCTTCATTCCTGTTAGGGCTGGGCACAAAAGGGTCCTTGTTTTTTTAAAGCATGAACATAGTTGTCAGTCACTTTTTGTTTGTTTTAATAACAAAAACATGAGACAGACATTAGGCCTGTCGCAAATGTTGGTGACTGATATAATGTACTTCAGAGACTACTGAATTATTTTTATTGTCTTTATCAAGAGAGTCATGGGCTGAAACAATACTTATTACTATTAAGTAATAAGTACTATTAAGTATTGAATTACAAAAAAAATGGCAACCATTTTCAAACTTTCACTCTAGACTAACCCTAAAATATAATATTGATTTGTCCATTTCCTGGAGTTGAAATATTATTTATATTATAGTAATAAGCCTAAGATTGTTATGTTTACAGCATGATGGTGGAAAGGCATTAGCTGCAACAAATACAAAGCCGAATTATGCTGTAACTAGCTGTTGATTTCTTAATTTGGCTCTTCTCAAATCTCATTGAATTACCAAATAAAAAAACAATCAGAACCAGTTATAATGTGACTACAATCAATCTTTAGCTTCAAAATATTCTGTTCTTTCTTTCATTTATTGAAGATTTTCCCTCGCTGGTCTGGGCATACAATTTCACTCATAAAAAGCCTATTCCACTAATCACTGGGAATTTGAAATAACTTGATGTTGATGAATTGCACAGCCCTAACTCATGCATCCATCATGTAGTTTTTTTGTTTTATTGAATCATTTTGTCCTAACATGTGCTTGGCTTTTCTGTTCTCCTTAGCCATTCACTGTCTGACTGCAGAAGTGTTTTTTCGTCTATTTAAACCCTGCACTTTGACATTCCCTGCCAAAGACCCCAGGTACAGTGTGCGCAGTCCTTACTCTCCTGCATTGTCTGTGTGCTTATCCATGTCTTTCAGAGATGCCTGATGGCTGCTCTTTGCTTAAACCTTCCACTATAACAAGATATATTTTATTTGCATTTCACCGTTCTTGGACGTGCAAAGTTTGCATATCCAAGAACAAAGTCTGATAAAAGATGTAACTTTTTGGATGGGGGCTACGGAGAAGCTGGTGATGCCATACGGGACATGATACTAAATCTAGGAAGGAAACCCTGCTCTCTGTGAGAACTTTGGCTTTTCACAACAAACATACATAAGTGTGGAACAGATGGATGCGTCTCATGCCGTATAGTGAAACATCACCAGAAACGGCAGAAATAACACTTTTGATTGTGGTGAACCGTGGTCAGACAAGCTATTGCATTGTGTATAGAGAGATAAATAGATAGATAGATACTTTATTGATCCCCTAAAAGTAACTAACAATAGTATTAAAATGCAACATCACTTCAGGTCACAGCAGCAGAGGTGGTGTAGCCCCTGGGTGAAGCAGGACAGGTCACAGCAGCAGAGGTGGTGTAGCCTCTGGGTGAAGCAGGACAGGTCACAGCAGCAGTTACAATATTTGCACAACAGACAATTTATTCTTAAATATTGTTTTTTCTGTTTCATTTGCAGAGATAATCTCTTCCTCATCACAGATTGTTGTATCAGATGCTATTTAGACAGTTTCATGTAAAATGGAGGTTTTAAAGACATTCCAAATGATGGCTGCTCTGTTTCTGGAAAACATACCACAATTTTTTTTAAAAGTCTAACCATGTTGTCTTCCATGCAAAAAGTGCATTTTGTGTTTAAAAAAAATCAGAGATTCATATTTCAGGTTTTTTACATGTTCACTTCAACCTGTACCTCCAAAGTGAGTGGTTAACACTATTCACAATTGATAGGCATCAAATCTGGAGCCTTAATCTCATAGAATTTGACTTTTTATATTCTCATCATTCCTAATACATTGTTTTAAAAGAACATACAAATTCAAATGTATAACAGAAGCTAAGCAGGTTATAGCCTTGTTATTTCTGTGATGAGAGACCTCTGGGGACAGAGGTGGCACAGTTGGGTGGCTATAAAATGGCAAACTGTCTTTGTGTCACTTAACCTACATTAGCTACTAGTATGTGTGTGTATGAGTATGTTGGAGGGCACAGTTGCCCTGTTAGTCTGCCCCAGGGCAGCTGTGGCTACATTAGTAGTCTACTACTACTCTGAACACATGTGAAGAAAAACTCTGTTTAAGATTGAAGCATTATTATAATAAAATGGGGATTATGTTCATCTGTGTGATTGCTCAGGTCATTGTGATGTCCGGCCATGAGACCATCCGAGTGCTTGAGGTAGAAGTGGACACGCCACAGGATGTAAAAGGAGAACTTAAGAGCGAAAATGGAGAGAAATCTGACTGCCACACGCCTCTGGACCAGAACACAGGGGCAGTGGGTGAGTTATTGATAATGAATAAATAGTTATAGATCACTTTAGAGGAGAGCAAAACAGTGTTATCTTTTATTATAGTAAATTATACTGCTCAAAATTATCACCAAATCAGTGTAAACAGCTTGAATATAGCCAATAAAGATTCCTTGTGAATAGAGGGGATATATGTGAAAATGTGTATCACAATAATGCATGTTGTGTTTTGCTTTTGTAGTTTTGGGTGAGCAGCTCCCAGCTCCAACCGTTCAAACCTTGGCACAGTCCGTTCCCATCAGTGTGGCCCTGCCTCAAGCCCAGACAACAGTTCCCATTACTGTACAAAGCTGTCCACAGGTAAATGGAATAATGATCCACATAATAGTAATACATACTGTATTTCTTATGCACGCTGCAGCAGAGAGGAGGCGAGGGAAGCAGAGTGAAAGAGGAAATCTGAGAGTTGAATGTGAGTTAGCTTTGGAGCAAGCAACAGTAGGTCAGTGAACAGCTTTGGACAGACGCATGTTAGAATGGGCCGAGACACAGGACTCAGTCCCCTCAGTTGTAGAGGGCTGGCAACAGCTCAGGACTAACTAGGCTCAGGGAGGCAGGTCTGTTGCTTTTGTTGTGAGTGCTGTGTTGAGCTGCCGTCTGGGCGGATTGTCTGATTACTGTTGGGTTTGGACAATTCCCCATTCACTGCAAAGGCCAAATTAGAGATTAAAGTAAACGGTTAAGGGCAGCAAATCAAATACAGACAACAATGGCAAAATGTGCACAGACAAACTAACATAAAGTGTTTCTCTCTTCAAGCTGCTGACACAGGAGAGCCTGGCCTCCCTGATGACTGGTATGATGGCTCAGGCGGGGACGCTGGGCCAGCCCCTGCTCATCCCTGTGAACATGGCAGGATCTCTGGGTGCACAGAGCAGCCTTGCAGTTCTCACTCTGCCCACCTCCAACGTGGCCTCGCTGCCCGGCCTCACTGCTGCTACTACAGCCGGGAGTCTGCTCAAGCTGCCCTTTGCCGGCCTCCAAGGTACCACCACTGTACACATGCCAGCATGAGTGTGTTATCATGTTTACTACTGACTGATTGTGGATGTAAACCTCAGTCTCCAAATGACACCTTGATATGTTCTGGAATGAAGTAATTATAAAAGTGTATGTATGTATTTATAACCTTGTTTGTTGTATGTTTATTTATCTATCTTTTCTCTACTTTTTTCTTGTCATTCCATTTGCCCGGTGTTTAGCTGCTGCTGTGCTGAACTCGGTGCAGCCTCAGGTTCAGGCCGGTGCTCAGACTGTTTTCTCGTCTGCACTTCAGCCTCTCCCAGTCAGCACAGTTCAGTCCACTCCAGTCTCCACAGCAACGGCCACAACACCCGTGTCTGCCGTGTCCCAGTCCATCCCAGTGGCCGCTCTTCAAACCGCCGGCCTCTCCATCAACCCGGCCATCGTAAGAACATCCTGAAATTTTATCTGTGACGATTATGGTGACAACAACTTTTTCATGTTTTTACAATAAAATAAGAAAATCTAAACTTTATGTTTGCATGTTGTTTAACCAGTTTTGAGTTTTTATGTATGTTTCTTATGCATTGTATTTTCTGTGTGTCAGATAAACGCAGCCACTCTCGGAGCACAGACTCAGCTCCTCGGGTCCATCGGCTCCACTCCCATCTTCACCAACGCCATGTCCAACATGACCGGAATCACCACCCAGATCATCACCAATGCACAAGGACAGGTCAGTGTATGTGTACATTATGTACAATTCAAAACCTCTTCACAAGACAACAAAAATGATCCATGAAAAATACACATTAATGTCCTTCGTTATAGAAAGTAGAAAAACCCTGTTTTCCTGTATACTTTTGAAGCATTTGCATGTTACTGTAATATGCAGGAAACACACAGGTGCTTTTATAAATGTAACTATTTTCTGGGAGATATTTATTAAGGTGTCCAAATGTAAACACCTGTGTGCAAAAAACTGCATTGTATTTATCCTATTTCCACTGTTCAGTCTCTCAGTAAAGCATTGGTGAACTGGATTTTGTGGTGAATACATATTCTGGATTTTTTTGCTGAATTATTTTGATTTATGAAACTCACAGACCTTTTGAAATCCCAACATTGATCAAAAACAATTTACCGATGTTTTATTTAAAATTACCTTTTGTTTCCCAGGTGATAGGAACCGTGCCGTTGTTGTTGAACCCGTCTCTGACTGGAGCCCCCTCCCTCCCGCTGCAGGGAATCCAGGGCCTCCAGGGGCTGCAGGGAATCCAGGGCCTCCAGGGGCTGCAGGGGATCCAGGGGCTGCAGGGGCTGCAGGGGCTGCAGGTGCAAACGGTTGCCCCTCAGATCCTGTTCAATAATCAGGGGCAGATCATCGCAACTGTGGGGAACGGAGCCACTGCAGTTGCTCCGTCAGCGTGTGTGCAGCCGAAGACCACCGCGGCTTCACTTCTGTCCAAGTCCAATGCACAGGTGAACAACATGTCACACCAAGACCAGTGTATGGATGAAAATGCCAAACAGTCAGCACATTCAGATATTTCATACTCCAACATACTATGACACACAAAAACCTAAACCATCCATGGCTTTAAATGAATGTAATTAATGGAATAATGGAACTGGTGAACTTTCTGTTTTCTCTCTTTATTTTTTTGTTTTTGCTAGCTGTTGCACATGCTTCCAGGAGCTTGAAAACATGATAAAAAACTACCCTTTTGATGATTCTTGAGTAAAGAGGCACAACAAAGTTCTGTTTTTGGCCCAGAGTGTAACTTTCAGCACAGCTTAAGTGATAATCAGCACAATGGATTCAAAGTATCTTTTTCATCTAAAAAGACTGTAATAATCCAGCCACTAAAACAGAATAATACTGTCTAAATCTGAGATAAGACAAATCCACAGGGTCTTACTGTTATATTTCATGAATGAAGATAAAATGTCTCTCAAGGTTATAGTTTGGTAATATTGTTGTTGCACTGCAGCCATTTGTCATTCGTGTACATTGTACATCCTGAAAACATCCACTCGTTTCACTGATGTATTTTTAATATGACGTGGCTCTGCAGGCCTCCATTACTGCTGTCAGTCAGTCTGCGGTCGTCATCGCTCCCTCTCCTTCTGTTCTGAAGTCTGCCTCCACACTGTCCTCCGCTGGGCCCATCAGCTGCGGAGACGTGGCCAAAGTAGGACAACTCATCAACAGTATGTATACTCTGTGCTACTGCCTGTGTCCAGCTCTATTTTAAGATAAATATTTATAGTGCTGTTCTTTACCCAATGCAGAGCCCCAGCCTGCAGTCAGCAGTGAGGAGGGCATCAACCTGGAAGAAATTAGAGAATTTGCCAAGAATTTCAAGATCCGCCGCTTGTCCTTAGGTCTCACTCAGACTCAGGTGGGACAGGCTTTGACCGCGACTGAAGGCCCAGCATACAGCCAATCTGCGATCTGCAGGTGGGTTCATGAATGTGGTATTATTATTATTATTATTATTTAGGGGTGGGAACCTAAGGGTACCTTACGATACAATACGATACACGATACAAAGCTCACGATAACGATAATATCACGATAACGATATTACGATAACGATTTTATCACGATATGACGATTATTGATATATTGGTCAGAAATATACAATATGCCAATTTATGGCATAAATAAAAGACAAAATAAGCTTTATTTCATGATAAATAGAATAGAGATGCGTAATGTAGCCATATATTAAGTATTGATACCAATTCAAAAAAAATAAAATAAAAAAAAATCTTTTTTTTTTTTTTTTTTTTTTTTTAAATTGATATTGATACTTGGCAAATGCATATCGATAATCGAATCGCGAGAGAAGTATTGCGGAGAAAGTATTGCGATATATCAAAAAATCGATATTTCGTCACACCCCTATTATTATTATTATTATTATTATACAAATGTACCAATTCTAGCTCAACCGTTTTCAACAAGTGGAAAACGTCTCGATTACTGTAAAGAAAAGTGTCCAGTGTTGAGCACTGTGATCTTGCACTGTTTCATCCAGTGTGACAAATATGATCTGCTTCAATTGTGGTGGTTTTTCCCATGATGACACAGGGAAAAGGGCAGAGGAATGTCAATAATCAGTGAGCTGGAGGTATCTTGGTTATGGTTTTGATGCTACTGATCCAATCACATAATTAACAGCTTGTTTCATCATCTGTTTCAGAAAGAAGACTACCGGTATACTTTTATACCATCTGTAACCAATCTGTGGTTATTTTAGTAGAGCAGTAGGCCAATTATTTGTCTTTTTTTTATTTTTAGAAAATATCTTTAGAGAGAAAGATTACCGCACACCGTCTTACTTACATATTAAAAGTAATTTATTAGAAGTGCGACGTTTCGGCGTTTTGCCTTCATCAAGCAAACAGAAAATATCTTTAAAATGATGTTCAACATGACATGATGGTAGATGTTAACCTCTTACCATCAATTAATCATTCATAATAACTGAAAATAATTTTGTCCCACGTTGGCCCTGATTTAAACAGTACTTTTGTATCAGTTGTGGTCAGTTTAGTTTTGTGCTATCCTCGGGTCAAATTGACAAACCACAGTGATTTAAAAATGCCCTAAATCATCTTTTTTTCACACTAAATTTTGATGATTTTTCCCAACTTGACCACCCCTGGGTCATTTAGACTCTTTTAGACCCTAAAGGGTATTTTTCTTTTATTTTGACCCGAGGAGAGCACAAGGGTTTAGAGGAACTATGGGGAGACTAGACTAATGGGGTCTTACCTCAGTTTCCTGCCAATGGAAGACACTGTACTCATAATAAAACCTTGGGCAATCCTAAAATGTTCAAATGTGTTATTCCCACAGATTTGAGAAGCTGGACATCACCCCTAAAAGCGCTCAGAAACTCAAACCAGTTTTGGAGAAGTGGCTGGCTGAGGCCGAGCACTGGAACCAGAAAGGACAGCAGAATTTAATGGAGTTTGTTGGCGGCGAACCTTCAAAAAAGCGGAAAAGGCGAACGAGTTTCACTCCACAGGCAATTGAAATCCTGAACTCCTACTTTGAGAAAAACGCCCTCCCAACTGGTCAAGAAATCACTGAAATTGCTCGTGAACTCAACTACGATAGAGAAGTGGTGCGTGTGTGGTTTTGCAACAGACGACAGACCTTGAAAAACACAAGTAAAATAAACGTCTTCCAGTCGCAACAGTGACCTTGCGCTTTGACACTATGAGTTTTTATCTTATTGGTTCATACATTTCAATTATACCATTGTAATTGTATTTAATAACTAAAAAACAACTAATCTTTTTGTGGTGTCTCAAACACAGTGGTTGTGAAACTGTGTCTCGGGATCTTATCAGTATATTTCAAGTAGATCCCCAATTGATTTAGAAGTTATACATATAATATGCTGAATTATTCACATTTGATTAATTTCATGTCTGTTATCATTGTAGATGTATACTTTACATGCCTAAACTTGCGTTATGTTTTAAAAGATTTCAACTGTACAGAATATCTTTGCAAATGCAGAGACCCCATGGGAAAGGTTGGATACCCCTGCTCTGCAGCCAATAAAACCCATGGGTAACAGAATAGGAAATTAAGGAAATAATACTGTACAGGCACTGCTTTGTTGTCAGATCAAGAAAAACTGCATGATCACGTTATAAGCAGTAGCATTAATAATAATAGCACATGCTATTAAAGCACATCTTTACAGCTTTTACATTTTGAATCTATTTAAACATTTTACACACATTTTCATTCATTTAGAATATGATATTTTATAAGAACGCAACAGTACGTATTTACAACAGCTCTCATATGTGTCACTATACTGTCATTGTTTTTGAATCTACTTAAGTTACAGAGACACTTTTTGGACAATCAATTGCTCAAGTATGCAACTTACTGTTGGAATAACATCAAACTATGTATGCACATTCAGGTTGAAGGGAAAAGCACTTTTGCTCTCACATGTTAAGTAGAAATTCTTGATTTCTTCATTTAAGAAATGATATATTGTCTTATTGTGTTTGGCATTCTTATTTATCCTTTAATGTCCTTGTTTTATGAAACTTTTAATATTTGAAATTGTGTTTGTAAGTTATATTAACATTTCAGCTCCAGTCCTTGTTTATGTAATGCTCAGTGCCATATTTTTTTGTGATTCTCGGAATTGTCATGTTTAAGCCAATGGATTTTTGATACTGACAAAAAACTATTGCTTTTGTTGTTGTGGCCATATGTTACTTTGATCTGTGCATGTGCAGTATGGAAGTATCCTTTGAAAGGACAATATAAAGGCATTTTTCACTCATTAACTCTCCATTTAAGATGAAAAAGTTTTTTAAATGCTTTGCAACAATCTGTAACATTACTACAGTTGCCATTGTCATGTCAGATCTTTTATACAAAAATATAAATAGTGTACATTAAATATACTAATATAAATCAATAATATGCCTACTTGATGATGTGTGAAGCCTAATTATTTAACATTGATTTTGATTCATCGTGAGGGACCACCAACATGGGATAAAGTAGAGAGGTCCGGTCTTGTTAAATGTGATGAGGATGATTTGTCACGTAGAGTACTTGGGAAATCCATAGATAATCCATAGATAACTAAATAACTCTGGGGAAAATAAATCTTTTCAATGATCATAACCATAGACTGTATATATTAAGATCATTACTCATCAGAAGACGACTGTCACAACATTATATTCGTGAAAGTCATTATCAACATGCAGTGCAGCCATTCCCCCACTCCCACACTAGATGGCAGTAGAGCTCCTGTACAACTTACGGAAACCAGAAGGAGTCAGACATGGAAGCTGTAGTGTTGTTTCTGTGATAAACAATCAAAAGCGTAAACATATGTGTCATTTTTACGTTATATGTTTACCTTTGTGTTAGAACCAGTGTTTTATGAGCAGACCTAGACGTACAGCCGTGCAAACAAACACGGGTATGTCTGCAAGTGATGCTACCTTTCATCCAAGGCTAGGTTAGCGGCTAGTGTGGCTAACCGGATACGCACTGTTAGCTTGTTTTTATTTAGTGCTGTAGCGAACAACACCGACATGATGCCGTGAAACCTGCATTTGAAGAAGCAGACTTTCATTCGTTGAACGGTAGTCATTGCATTTTAACTAATAATTCAGCTGTAAATGTTGATCGATGTTATTTTACTATTGAAGTCCATGTGGAGCTACTTCCTTCATCCACATGTTATAAAAGGGCTCAATTTTTCAACTATATCCTCATACTGTGGTTGTTTTCATACCACATTAAACGGGTTAGTTTTCTTGACCTATAACTCAAAAGTGAATTATTTTTGGTGCATTGTGTAGATTTGATGTTGGAGTTCTGGAGTAGTAGCTTTGGGAAGTTTGTTTTCATGGCTGATTGTTAAGAACAATGAGAGAACTCACCACATCACCGCAGATTAAACCTGTACCTTTGCCTAGAGGTCTCACATGCTGGTTCTCAGTGTGGTATAGTTGCAAACATTGTCAACATTTCAGTCTAAATAATGGACGTAAATGGTGACGTAGAATGGTACACTATCCAACAGTCCACACTAAATCCACTAATTAGTGTGTCAAGATGATTTTGTTTCATTGATACATGTGTGTCTTAGGTCTTAGGAGCATCAAATCCAATTTTGGAGTTGTGTACAAATCAGATCTAATGAGACGTGTCACAGATACACATTTAAAACATAAATGCTATATCACTTGCAATAAATACCTTGGGCAATATTTACGCCACTGATATAACATGTTACTGAATAAACGGATTGGAACAAGGACGTTTTCATATTCACAGAACACGTATTATATTTCCTAAATAACATGTTGGATTGTCCTTAAAGTTTACATCTCGGCCATCCGTGAGGTCACTGTTTATATAATATCCAAGGTACTTCCCTGATTTCTGACAGTTTAAACATTACCGCGTAGTGATAATTCAAAGAATTAAGCATCTCTTATCTTATCTCCATTGCTCATGTTTGCTGCTGTAACGTTGTATTTTCATGCCGTTGTTTGTAGGAGCAGTGTGTGGCGTTGTTGGACCAGGTTAAGTGCTCAGCTCCTTGTGGATCTTCTCTGGAGTCATGGCGTGGGCCCTGAAGCTACCCCTCACAGATGAGGTCATTGAGTCCGGGCTGGTGCAGGACTTTGATGCCAGCCTCTCGGGAATCGGCCAAGAGCTGGGAGCCGGGGCATATAGCATGAGGTAGAATGATATTATTTTAGTTATATTTTATTATTTCAAACCCTCACACTGGGTTCCACTGGGTTTTAGTTGATTAACTAATTTGGCTGAAAATAAGTTACTTTACCTATTCAGATTTTATAGGTATTATTTTAGGAGTATGAAAGAAAACAGAAAAAGTATTCAATCATGTCTTATTTAGGTCTGAAAACAGTTTTTAAGCTCTACAGAAATCTCATATCATATATGAGAGTGTTGGTTCGGAGTTCAGTCTTGAGGTTGGTAAATGTCCTCTGTTGAAAAGAGGAGCTGTACAGTGTAGTGACCATGGCATTCCAAGCTCTGCATGTTAGTCTTGACCTTGATAATCTGGCTTTACAGCAGTAGATAGTGCGCCATCTGTGTTTGTGGTCGCTCTACTCAGTGATTCATTACATTCAAGCAAACTCCTGAATGAAACTTTTATTTGATTGATATGCACAGTGTGTACTAATACACACTATAATTACTGTATAAACGTTTACAGGACTCAGACTCTGTTTTCCTATATTTGCTGTCTAAGGAATTTATCAGTAACTTAAACTTTTCTTTTGTCTTCAGCGATGTCCTGGCTCTCCCCATTTTCAAGCAGGAAGAGTCTAATCTCCCTTCGGACTCTGAGAAGATTCTTCCTTTCCAGTATGTCCTGTGTGCAGCTACCTCCCCAGCAGTGAAACTGCACGATGAGACGCTCACCTACCTCAACCAAGGTCTGTGCCAGAAACACACAACCATCTTCATCATATTGTCTTTTCTGAACAACATCTGCTTCTGTAGGCCAGTCTTATGAAATTCGAATGCTTGACAATCGGAAAATTGGTGAACTACCTGAAATCACTGGTAAGATGGTGAAGGTATGTAAACATTTTTGTATTTGAAAGTCTTCGGGACACTCAATGACTTTTACATATTTAAATCATGTATAATTTCAGAGCATTATTCGTGTGGTGTTTCACGACCGGCGGCTCCAGTACACGGAGCATCAGCAGCTGGAGGGCTGGCGCTGGAACAGACCTGGAGACAGAATACTTGACCTTGGTAAACACTTAACACAAACATATTATATTAAATAAGGCATATAACACTAGTTGTTTTGGTGAAAACTGTTTTACAGATATTCCCTTGTCAGTTGGAATAATTGATCCAAGATCCAACCCAACTCAGCTAAACACTGTTGAGTTCCTGTGGGACCCGTCAAAAAGAACCTCAGTTTTTATCCAGGTAAAAGAGTCTCTCCCTAATGTTTGCAATCGGAATTGTATCACTCACAGAATATTATTACTTGTATTTATTCATCTGTTATAGGTTCATTGCATCAGCACTGAATTTACAATGCGTAAACACGGCGGAGAGAAGGGTGTTCCTTTTCGGATTCAAATAGACACTTTTAAAGAGAATGAAAGCAGTGAATACACGGAGCATCTTCACTCAGCCTCCTGCCAAATCAAAGTCTTTAAGGTGAATTGAAGACAAATATAATGACACAGAAGGGTGGAGTTCAAGCTCTGACATGACTTGTTTTAGCCCAAAGGTGCAGACAGAAAGCAGAAGACGGACAGAGAGAAGATGGAGAAGAGAGCGCCCCAAGAAAAGGAAAAGTACCAACCCTCCTACGAAACCACGATACTAACAGAGGTCAGACCGGTTTCTCACCAAATAACTCCTACCACCAGATGACGAACTGTTTACTTGTTATACTTTTAGTCTGCTGAAAAGTCACAATTATTTAGCTGATTGTGATATAAAACATACTATTTAATGATGTGACGTTTTCATGGAGCTTGTACAGATGTGTTTTTTGTGGTCTATTAGCGACAATTATTAAGGAAAAGCTGAAGACTACATTTGTGATCTCTTATTAAAAGCAGTGTTTGTGTTCGCAGTGCTCTCCTTGGCCTGAAGTGACGTATGTGGATAACTCTCCGTCTCCTGGCTTTAACAGCTCACACAACAGCTTCACTATATCGGAAGGGTAAGAGAAATAATAAAGTAAACAAAGTACCAATCAGTTTTTTTTCCTCCAAAATACTAATCTTTTAAACGTCTCTTTTTAAATCACCTTAGAAATGGATCTCCCAGCCACCAGCCTGAACCTGTCGTCCCGATAGCTGATGTAAGAAAAAGGCACAAATGATCTTAAAACACAAGGTTTTAAGATTATTTTAATATCCAAATGGAAAACTATACTATCTGTAAATGCGTCATTAGTTAGAGAAGTCATGATGTCAAGTTGGTTTCACAAAACAGAATCCAGTTATATTAGTGCCTTTAATTAGGGTTAGTGGCACAGGTCAGACTTTTCTTCATGAATAGAAATGCTTTATATCCTACCTCCTTGTTGCTTTTACAACATGCATCGCGGCAAAACTAATTTAGCTCTACATCAACAATGATTGGGAACAGCCTCTTTCATCCAATTTTTGTTGTTTTTTATAAACAATGGTCATGTTCAATAAGGATTGCTGTGAGAGAAATCACTACAACTGTCAAACTGTTGTCTTAAAGGTATATAGGAGGATTTTCTTCTTCCGGGTGGATCATCGAGACTATTGGTCCTCCCAATTGTCAATCATTCAACCATCAAGTTCTGTTTAAAAAGTGGAGAGGGCGGTTCGTTCCTAAAATTTTGAAAAATCCTCATATACCTTTAATCTACCCTGTGTTTTAGCATTTAATAATTTATTTTGAAATGTTGATTTGATTTGGATCATCACTAATTAACACATTATATATTTACAGTGTTTATTATTATTATACATGCGCTTGCCTTGTAGAATTTGTTACCCACGACAACGCCGCAGGACGCTCAGCAATGGCTCCTCCGAAATCGCTTCTCACCTTTCAGCCGGTTGTTCACAAACTTCTCAGGTACAGAGTCTTCTGCTGAAAGTGGAATGATAAAATGACAAAGGGAAAAAGTCAAAGTGTTTTTTTGTTCGGTACAGGAGCAGACTTGTTGAAGCTGACGAGGGAAGATGTTATTCAGATATGTGGTCCGGCCGATGGCATCAGACTCTTCAATGCTTTAAAGGGGAGGTACGAAACAATAACCTGTTTTAAGTATTTACAAAATGTTACATGCATTGATTTTTGGACCATACTTTTTAAAAGCTTTTTCACAAGGCAGATTGATAGGGCAATTTAATGATTATTTTACCAAACCATTACGGTACTTTACATTTTACATTTAGAAAGAATATACCTATTGTATTGCTAATATTCTGTGACACAAACGCCTAAAAAAAACCTAGAAACATGTATTTATTTTTTATTTTTATTCATGATGCACAGACTCCAAACCAGTGCTTCTCAAACATATTTTGATGAGCCCGCCTCCACATGATGAAACTATTCCACTATGAATTTGAAAACATGATAAAATGCTGTTTCTGTGTCTTAAAACGAAACCAAAGAAAACAACATATTTCATAAACGCCGCTCTAAGCTAAACTGCTCTTTTGTTTTAATATTGATGTATTGTGTTTTTCCAAGCAAGAGCTCTGGTGTGTGCCGTCTTCTCTGTCTGGTGCACACTAGGGTAGTCTTGCACAGTTTTTCCAATGTGGTTTTACTGCAAATGGCAAATAAATGAATCTGAATCTGAACCGACATACAAGGACATCGTAATACAATACAATACAATACAATACAATACAATTTATTCTTGTATAGCCCTAGGTCACAACAGAAGTCATCTCAGAGGACTTAACAAAACCATTGAAATCACCAACACAGGTCAGAGAATCAACAGTTAAAACACATGAAGAATACAGTATAAAGCACACACAGAAGAAAATGTCCATACATGTTGTAGAATGCTAAAGTGTCCTGATCATCACCAATCCTTTCTGTTGGACACTAACTGTCCAACAAGACCCTCCTGCATCGACAAGGAAAAACTCTTAAAAAACCCAGTGGGAAAAAGTGAGAAACCTTGGAGGAGAACTAGGGAAACCCACAGGGAGGGAGACCCATATGAGAAAGGGATCCGCTCCTCCGGACGGACAGACTAATGATCCAGGACCTAAGCTAGCTACAGAACGTGGACCAGTGGACGCTGAACGTGGACAGGTCCGGTGCAGGACTGAAGCACTCCCAGGCGGTAATGAACTTGTTTGTATAAATTGTTGCAGAGTGGTGCGTCCCAGACTAACCATCTACGTCTGTCAGGAGTCACAAGAGCCTCAGTCAAAACATGAGAATGGAGAGGGGTCTGCTTTTTTTGGTCAGTCTTTTTAGTTATTTGTATTTTATTATTTGTATGAATCATATCTTCTAAAGCCTGACACACGCCTGATGTGAGGATGTTTTAACTGGGACTACTATTCCACTTAAACATCCTTGTAGAGCAATCTTATCTCCGGAACATTAAGTTTTTCAATTCTCTTGATATATAACACTTTATATTGTAATTGAAGAAGGCAATAATTGAAATCAAGATTATGCGTCACATTTATTGCACTGTCTCCTCCTAACTAGGCCAGTTTTTATTTATTTTTATATATATATATTTTATAATTAAAAAAAATCTTTTTTTATTCATTTTCTTGTTGTTATTTTCTTGTTTATTTAATGGAATCTTATTTCCCTTTGCCCTGTGTCCTTGTTATGTTAATTTGAATGATCACATTTTGACCAATCAAACTCCAAAGGCAAAAACTCAAAAATAAAGAATAAATAACTAGGCCAGAAGTGGACCAGGATTATAAGTATAAACCAGGAGTGCGTCAGGATTGAATTAGACCCAAAGTGCCTCTTCCTCATTCATTCATGGCCTAGTTTAATTCATTCATGTATCTTTCAAATCTCTGCATAATCTGATCCTTGTTTAATTATTGTCCTTAATTGCTCTGACTCTAGTCTATCACGCCATTTACCTGGAGGAGCTCACGGCGATAGAACTGACGGAGAAAATTGCGCAGCTCTTCAACATCTCACCAAGACAAATAAATCAGATTTTCAAACAGGGTCCGACCGGTATCCACGTGATGGTCAGTGACGAGGTGAGAGCTGCGCCGGACACGTTTGAATATTATTATAACGTCTTAGAACTTTTGTAACGTTTTGATGCCGTGCGGCTGCTTTTATTTTATTCACAGATGATTCAGAACTTCCAGGATGAAGTCTGTTTTGTTCTGGACACAATGAAAGGTATTTATAATGAGAATAATAATAATAATAATGATCTGTGTACACTGAAGGTCATTCATATTCATATTTTGATGCATTGCTGTTATTTTCATTTTTCTAATTAGAGCTAGTTTTGGATTGAAAGTATGTATTGGCTCTCTAAACGTTCCTTTTTTTATTTCCCTGATGTGGGACAAATATAGGTTCTCTGGTCTTAATAGTATGGAAACTTCTTCAACCAAATGAAATACTAATTGGCTTTAGTCCTTACAATCATGCAGCCTCTGATGTCTCACTATAAATTTTTAGGTGGAGGACGACAACGCAAATTTAAATACAACAAAATATTTAACTTCAATTTAATTTATTTAGGTATAGCCCGGCCTAAATCATAACAGCAGTCATCTTGGGGTAATTTCCAAAGTTGTCTTTTCGCCAACTGCAGATCAGAGAATCAAACACATGAAACCATAGTGATAAACGCATCAGAGCCATTTTTTTGTTGAACTATAAGCTCACTGTATGAAATTTTCCCTTACCCGTTTTCTTATTTGTTAAGCAGCTAATACCTATTTTTGAGGGGGAAAAATATAGACTTTCTTTTATTCTGATGGAGTTTTGATATGGTTTCTCCGATTGTAACATTTCTTAATACAAGCTTGTTTATTTGTCAGACCAATACTAGGTTGCAATGACCTTGCTCTAAATTTCTACTCGGTCTAAAAAAAGTCTAAAATACAGAAAACGGGATGAGCTTCCTTGCTACATGTCAATATGAATAAGTATTTGCAACATTATTCTAAGATTCTTCACTTTCCAATCTCACTTTGTTTGCAGACGAAACTAGTGACGGCTACCACATCATCCTGAAGTGATGCAGGAGAAAAGTTGAGAAGTCTTTTTAAAGACTTTGTGGCCTCCTCCAGACCTCCACAGGACTAAAGCTGGTTGCAGGATTAGGGAAAGCCACCGAAGAACTTCTCCAAGAGGCTGCAGCCATGTCTCTGCTCCTCTCCTGTGTTCAGCCCCATATGAGAGACACTGTTACGGCCTTGGAAAGGACTTTTGCCTGTTTTGCCCCTAATGTGTCGTGATTCTTGGCTGCTGTTTATCTTATTTTTTACCATGTACTTTTAGAAATGCACAAGAAGGAGTTAACTTGACTTGAACTCAGAGTTTGAGAAGTCCTGCTTTATTTACTTGTAAGGCCTAGACCTGGGCGTGTGTCACTTGCTCGGCTGAATTTTACACAGTTTAGTTTTTAAATGTGATCGCTTATGTTTTAAAATGAATCAGAGGCTCCTTCTGTTTTGCAAAACTTTACAAGGATTGGTGCCTGCGGTCGGAATGTTAGGTACAAGAGCACAAACACAGAATACAAATTTGTAAAGCTGAGGTTCCCAATTTTCAAACATAACAGAAGGAAACGAATCTTAAAAATGTCTAAATTGTTGTTGCTCTCACAAACCCTTGGCATGTCACTGTTGAACACGCTCCTACACTTTTAGATTTGAAGTAGAGACAATAGTCTATGCACAGCTCATCTGCGTTCTTCCCATTGTCAAATAGTGACTCGCATGGGATCTAACTTCATTTTTGTTTGGTTCATGTTTATGTGTTTACTGTACACTTTTTGAGGTGAAGGCTGAATTTATTTATTTATGAGGGGAAAAAATTGGGTTCCTCAGCTTTAAGTGTCCATTCTGATCTATTCTGTAAAATAGGCCTGAGCTTCATTCACTGATTTATGGCAAATAAACTATTTCGATGTACAGAAACATTAATTTATTCCACAGAAAATCACAATGTCATTTCGCTCTGAATTCAAGGCATTTTAACAAAGATATTTTGCTATTGTCAGAATGGCAAAGTGGTTCTCAAAGACTAAATCCTGCTCCTTAATTGTTGCCCTCTGTCTGTTTAATCATGAGTTTTTAAGTGGTTTTTGCTCTAACACGGTTCAATGACTTTATTGTAATGTGCAAATCTCAGAAAAGTGTATGTGTGGTTTGAAACCGTCTGTGGTAGCGACACATGGTCTTCACCAGCAGCTCCTGTGTCCCTGTGCTTTCCTCATGACTGTGTTACAATATTGTTCTAGCAAATGCATTCATTTATATAAAGAACAGACCCAAAAACAAAGTGTCTAATGTAAATGTTTGTTTCACTTTCATAGTTTTACATCTTTGAAACTCTCCAATTTATAATAATGGTAATGATTTATATTAATTTACACAAGGTCATTTGAGCCAACAAACATATTTGATAATATGCCTAAAATATCTAATATTGTCCTTGATGAAAATGCTTTACTAAAAAGGGAAGTTTAACTTTTTAACAATTAACAATTACAACAACATTTAACTTTCTGTAAAACATAAGCGTCTCAAGCGAGCTGGAAAGGTTTTATTTTGCAGGTCACCTCTAAAGCTAAATATGAATTAAAGATGGGGGTCCAAACTAATAGAAACGGTCTTATAAATGTTAAATGAAGACAAATCAGATCACACCATCAGAGTTCCTTTATTCATTGCACAGTGGAGAAATGTCAGTGTTACATCACTCGTTACAGAACAGCAGGAATGAGGAGCACTCAACACAGGACTCTTAAAAAATAGAATCAAATCTCCATCTTTAGCCTAGTAAAAAAAAGTGTAAAAGATAGAAACCTGTGCACTCTACTGCAAAGTATATATAATATAATAATAATACTCTACTGCAAAGTATATATAATATAATAATAATACTCTAGTGCAAAGAAATATATACTCTGTGCACTAGTATAAACTACTCTGTAATACACAAGAATATTTAAGTAATAAGTCTTTATCTCTGGGTTGAAATATTCACAGTGATGAAACTACTGCACATGTTAGCAGCAGAGGCTCTGGGCCAGAACATGCTGTCGGTAACAAAATAGAGCTTGATTCTGGGCTGGTCCTCTTTCTCTTTTTTTAATAAAAAAAACAAAAAACAGGGCATACATTAAATGTTTGTTGTCATCTGTAATTGTAAAGGGAATGTAGTGTGTTAGAAAGCTTGTTCTAAAGGTGTGGCAGAGGGAAAGTATATTGTTTTGAGAGATAACTGGTTAGATTGCTTTCATTAGGCTACACAGTTGACCTAATGCTCAAAGCTCTTAGATGATTTAATGTTTTTTTTAAACTATTTATCTAACCAAAATATGAATAATGTCTTGAGAATGAGACCACAGTTCCCAGCATGCCGCAGTGCACCCCATGGCCATGACGTCACAGGACTATATAAAGGTCTGCAAGGGAGAAAAAAACCTTCCTCCATTGTTACATTGTACTCACCGGGGCCGGGACGAACCGGGGGAGAAGGCGTCTGCGCTTTAAAAACCCTGCAACGAATCTGACACCAAACTAAGCCGACGAAAGCAGCCAGAAGCCCGCGGCAGGAGCGACCCACACCCGGCCCGGACACGCACACACACACGCACGGGATATAAGCGAACACAGATGTCAGCGGAAATTCTCCTTTTTCCCCCAAATCTAGACTTGCACCAAGGAAGAATCCGCAAACGCCGGGCTGTCTGTGCGTAATCATTCAAACCCAATGTTGGATACGGAACGGCGCGTCGCAGGACTATCCCCATAACCTGTCTGCGCTTTAATAAAACAGGAATGCATCGTTTATATCAGCCCTGCAGGTCTTACGAGCTGTCAGCAGAACTACAATAGAACAATGACCTCAAAGCTTTGGTGACTTTTTAAACGCCTTTTTCTTTTTCTTTTTGCATTTGCACAATCAAGAGACGCTCCACTGGCTGCTGTCTGGTCTGGTTGCTCAGGTCACAGTAAAAGTATTTTTTTCTTTTTGGCACGCACAAAACTGCTCCTGGGGCGTCGCAAAGATTCATGCTCACCCTCACTCGCCTTGGCCAACAGAGACGACCTTCTGCGCTTGAGCTGGAACAAGGGTCCCGTTTCCTTCTGCAGGTAAGAAAGAGGGGTCGAGTTGCGTTGCCATTGTGTATCACTCTGTGCCTTTTGTATGAGTGACTAGAAACTATGTATTGGTGTCTGTGAAAGGCCAGGGGTGATCGATTTACCTGACAGATCACCTCCTCCCCCCACCTCGCAATAGCACTCACTCAAAAATGTGTCCAAAGCAGCAGACAATTTCCCTGTAAAACACTCAAGTCTCAATGACACCAGACCTGTGTGTACTGATCTTCACCTAAGATTCAGCATGGTATGTGTGGGTTATAAACATGTCATTACAGCTAGTACTACTTTACAGCCTGCACAAACTAGGTCAGTACCACAAACCTTCCTTTTAAGGCAAATTCAAGTGTAAATGAAGGAGGCCTGACTAAAAAAGGCCACTCATTGCATTTGAATAGAAGATCAACTATAACCCCATGGACAGTTAAATGTGCCAAGTAGCCAAAATAAATGCATTGTTTTCTCTTTTTTCAGATAATTGGTTTTATTTGCATTCATTCAAGGCTTGACAACTAATGACAATGACAATTCAGAACAAAAATGATACTACTACAAAAATGTCCTCTGCAACCAATAAAAATCGTACAGGCATAGATCTTAAAAGGGTAAAACAAAAAGGATGGACAAGAAGACACAAATGCATTTCTTTAACTGCATTTAATGTGGATGTCTCACATTACAGCTTTGTAAACATTATAGTAATAACCGGCTATTGACAAGAATAGTATACAATGGAATACAGTAGAATGACAAGTATTTCTACACATTGCTACTCATGATGAAGTACAATAGTTTAAGAATGTCGCATAAGGAGAATTAATGTGATACAGTGCAACACAGCTATAGGTGTATGGGGCTGCTCCTTTGTGGCAAGAGTGATAATGAGAATTTTTTGGTTCGGATGTAAAACCACAATTATTTCAAACATATATAAATTCTCATACTCAAAATTACATATATGTTTTGTGTCTACATTCAGCAACAATATTCTTTACTCGGCAGGTAGAACAAGCAGCTCCAGTTCCAGTCGTGTGCATGCTTTGAGCAATCATTGAAATCACTTTTGTATATGTTACACTCATTAAAAATCAGGATTATACATGTGTTAATTTGCACAGCCAGCCCGAACACAATATCCTCATGGGACTAGTCTTGTTTGCCCTGTAAGAACCCCTGTGGCATATACACGGTTGCAAATTACAGACTCAAAATGAAAGCTACATACTTATTAATGCGTATCAATGACAGCAATATTTATCTGCATATATTTATTATAGGTGTTGCACAGCTGGTGGTCTCTATGATGCAGTGAGACTATAAGAGCTGATCTATATTTACAGTACAGTACATATATATATTTCCCATGCTACTTCGTCGAGCAGTGGAAACATTTTTTCAAGGCTGTTCACGGCTTACAACACTGCTGAGTTACCATAGTGACGTTGTGAGACTCCATGATTGTGAGCCTGATGAAGCCTGAATACTGATGGTTACAAAGAGACACCACAGTATGTTTTACATTGTTTTGAATCGTGCTCTGTCTCAGGTCGTAGCCACATTAGTGCTGTCGTAAGTTATTAACATGCACAATGGGGTTGTATGCAAATCATTGTCTAAACCGGCCTGTTGTCTATGTCCTTGAGTAAATGAATGATCAATTTGAAAAGGAATGAGTCCAGTAAAAAGCCTATAAAAATGGTTTTGTTCCACAGTAAGAGGCAGAGTCTATTAGGGCTGCAGCTATTAAATATTTTAGTAACCGAATAACTTGTGAATATTATGGAAGGGTTAAACAACCCTGAGCAGTGTGGTTGGTTTAAAGACACAGAACATAGAGTTAAACAAACAGTAATAAATATTAATGTTGGCAGTTCGTGCTGGGATTCTCACTGACCACGGTTTAACTTTGATAAATGAATGATCTATTATTTACTCTGGACACAACATCCTCTGATACATATTAGATACATTTTAGACAAAAGCAAAGTTTAAAGAAAAAAGGAGTTTGTGCATGAAATAAAATGTTAATGTCAGTATGAGTCAGAAACAGCTCTGTGTAAAACAAGTGCTGCTCAGTGCTGTAGTTTCACATTTATTAAAGTCATTTGGCTTCATCAAGCTTTTTATCTCATAATTAAATTAAATTTGATATATGGTTCCAGCCTTACACTCTATTATAAATTAGTTATGGCTGGAAATAATGATTATTTTGATAATCAATCAATTAGCTGATGAATGATCCCATTTATTAGTTTAATGTGTTGTTTAGATCTCAAAACTTTAGTTTTAGAGATTTTACCAAAAGAAGCTAAAGTAACGTAGCTTGAGAAAATGTTTACAAAGACAAAATGAAACAAAATTTGTTGTTTGATTCTAAATACATGTATTTGAATAAATGTTTTGCCAAAGGTTCGGTTTGTTCATTCATTTTTTTTTTTAGAATGGGGCATTGCACAATAACTGTAGGGTGCAGGGTTTCATCTGTAGTCCCTGGTAGGCTAATAATTACTTCCTCTTTTGCAAATCAGGTACACTGACTTTGTTCAACTGTGTAAATAATACATGTAAACATGGTGTGTGTATGTTTGTGTGTGTGTGTATACTTGCACAGGTGTGTGTGTGTTTTGTCAGTCTGTTTTTGACATGGATTGTGCTGTCCACCTGCAGACAGAGCGTTTCCATGGAGACAGGAGCTTCCCTCGGCCTGAAAAGACGATATGAAGAGGTGGACCAGGGCTCTCCGTTCTCGCTCACGCCAAAAGACTCTGACGATGACATCTCCTGCAGCGACAGTGCTGACAGCTGCGACAGCCTCAACCCGCCGTCCAGCTCATTCACACGTAAGAGATGAAATGATAGAAAAAACAATTGTTTGTAATTGTACCAAGAGCTAGTCCCCCTGTCTCTCTTTAGTCAGGTGACCACTTGCTCGCACAGCAGCAGGATAATTCTGATAAACCAAGTGCCAAATGTGCAATAATATTAAACAATGATATGCATTATTTGGGAAACATTGTATGAAAAGTATGAAAAGCACTTTTTAAAGTCCTAAACCGTCCTATCTTTTTCCTCTCAGCCACATCCATTCTCAGACGGCACAGACCCTCTCCGGGGGGCAAGCGTGTGCGTTTCGACGTGGTGACGGTGTATTACTTCCCGCGGAGGCAGGGCTTCACCAGCGTGCCCAGTCAGGGGGGCAGCTCTCTGGGTATGGCGCGTCACCACAGCTCCATCCGACACTACACTTTGGGAGAGTTCGCATGTGAGCAGGAGTCCAGCCACAAACACACGCTCCGCCAACACCTGCGCCAGGAGAAACTCAACGCACGCAAGATGAAGGTACCTCACTGCAGTTTCCTTCTCCTTTTTTTATTTTTATTTATCAATGATGCATCACATAAGACTATGGGTCTATCTTAATACTGTTGTTTGGTCAGGAATGGTCCATTATGTGTTTTGATGTTTTCTTTAGATATTCTTCCTATTTAAAAAATAAAGGCATGAAATGACCTTTTTATTTATTTATTAAAGATAAAAAATAAAACCTTGCACTTTTACACATTGAAAACCTCAATAAAATTTGAAAAATAAAAATAGCATGATCCTCATTGTTTTCCTATATTCGCAGCTGACGCGTGACGGCACGGTGGAGTGTGCTCAGGCCGAGCTCCTCACGCTGGACGATGTTTCAGACGAGGACCTGGATGTGGACGGACTGGAGGTGGATGACTGCTTCTTCCTGCAGCCGCTGCCCACGAAGCGGAGACGGGCTCTGCTCCGCGCCTCGGGCATCAACCGCATCGACGCTCGCGAGAAGGGAGAGCTGCGCGCCATCCGCCTGTCCAGGGAGGAGTGCGGCTGTGACTGTCGCCTCTACTGTGACCCCCGACACTGTGGATGCAGCCAGGCAGGGATCAAGTGCCAGGTAACTACTAGGGACTACGCAAAAATCATATATAGAGTTATAATGAAGAGGCTTTGAGATATCCAGGCATGAAATGTACAAAGAGGATCAAAGAGAACAGCTGTAGAAAGTTTGTAAGTGGATTAACAGTGCTGAGGACACCCATAGTATTTAAAAATGTTTGTCTTTGTAAACAACTTTTAAACAGCTTTGTAAACAGCTTTTAAGCTTGCTAACTTAAATAGGCTCCACGTGCAGCACTCTCTGTCTAATTCTTGCATGGCATCGTCCTAGCAACCAAAAAGTCAATTAACCAGAGCCGATCTTACAGACAGAAGGCACCTGATTGGTCAGTTGTTTTGGGTCATATCTGGTTAGGACTGGAGTGAGGGGTCGCACATCAATACCTTCAGATCGGGTGCGTAAGAGGAGAAGCCTGTAGAGCCTAATGTAATAGAGAGAAGGATTCCCGCGCACCGTCTTACTTGCAAATTAAAAATAATTTAGTTGAAGTGCGACGTTTTGGCGTTAAGCCTTCATCAAGCAATCTGGTGATGAAATATAATAATATAAACACTATTGCGATATTAAATAGATTTTTTTTTACCCGTATTATAAAATGTTTAAAGTTCATTATGTCTTTGTTTTTGTTTAATGCCTAGAAGATTCTTCTAATAAGACTGGTGGTGACATTTCAATAGTAGCAGGGGTAGTTTTGTAAATATAGTCCAAGAATGCTACATATCACATATATGTGTTATCCCTGGTCTAAATGCATGTAAGTCTACCACCGAAACATGTCAGGTATTTAAGCAGTACTAGGTTCTTTTGTCTCATTAGAAGAACCCTCTAAGTCTTTCCCTTTTTCCTTAAAGATCAAACAGCTCTAATGATTGACCTCCATGTCTTCCTCAGGTGGACCGCTTGTCGTTCCCATGCGGCTGCTCCAGAGACGGCTGTGGGAACATGGCCGGTCGCATCGAGTTCAACCCACTTCGCGTCCGAACGCACTACCTGCACACAATCATGAAGCTGGACTCGGAGCGAAGGAAAATACACTTGCACCACGGGGCAGACGATCGCTTCTCCCGACATTCCCTCTCCACTCTCCACCCGTACTCTCCCGACCAGTGCTCCTCCCTTTCGAGTCCAGACGAGGAAGACTTGCAACAAATAGAGATCGAGGAAGCCGTGGAGATGCAAGATGTTTTTGACGAACGCGATATCCTGGAGCGAGAGAACGAAACGGCCGTGCTGCATTTGCAAAGCGCCGAAGAGCAGGAGCGGATCAAGAGGGAGGAGCTGGAAGGTGCTATAGCGCAGGAGTTGAACCGACAGGCCGAGGTGGACGAGGTGTTATTGCAAGGGCCTTTCCCTGCAGGCGCCACCGTCCTGTGCATCGCGGAAAATCAAGAAGAAACGCACTACGAAAAGGAAAATTTACTGTATTACCAGCTTAGCCCCATTGACGCGGGTGCATTCGAGACTCTACCCCAAGATGAGGAGGAGGAGGAGGAGGAAGAGGAGTGTGCAGCTGCGAAGCAAAATTTGGGGGTTGTGGAGTGTGTTCAAATTGAGCAAGCAAAGACAGAAGAGGTCGCTTCCTGCCGCGATAACATCAGCACAAAACAGGATACTGAAAAGCGTAGATGCAGTGAAAATAAAAGAGCGCCCCAGCATAGCCCTCCCATAAACCAGTGCCAAGACCATACACGCTTGGACCAAGAAGTTTACTAGCGTATGTTTGCACAATAGCGTAACCTATTATGAATTAATATCACATTTTCAACATTCGTTACCGCGGTCATCCTGAAAAACTGTCAGTGGAATATATTACACGGACAAAAAAACGTCAGCATTGTTTCTTATTTTGCTTGTGTTGGAGAATGCAGCCTTATTATTCAAGAAAAAGAGATTCATTTATACAGAAAAAAGCAAAAAAAATCATGTCTTGTTGCTGACAAAAGCCTAAGAAAATAACTAATGTGGGCCGCCGTCGTGGAACCAAATCAAGTGAAAGTATCCGCTGAACATAGACCTTATAATCCTGGAAATACTTGTTTTTCGTGTACTGTATTTGAATTATGTAAGACTGAGAAATGTGTTCTTTTATTTATGTGTGCACATGGAGAAGACTAGACTGGTGTGGCTCTACTGCGATGAAATAGGGCTGCAGGATATTCAAAAAGTAAAATATTGCGGTAGTTTTGCCTTTATTTTATTGAAACTACTAGAACTCCCTGAGCTGTCTTATTGACTGCTCCTATTCAAAGCAACGGAAATGGAAGATATTCCCTGCAAAAAAATGTTTAGTTTAGTTTTATCATAAGTAAGTAATTTATCAAGTTTATACCTTTATTTGCTTTTAATACATGCAAAAACTGGTGAATATATCTTAACAGTTTTTATTTTTATTTTATTGAAAAGCTAAACACTTGCTGTGGAACTAGAGTGTTAGTTTCCATAGCAACACACTGTTTACACTGTTTAGGTGGAAGATGACTGCTCAGAACTACTCACTTTTCAAAAATAAAATATCATTAAAAAAGTACATATTTAAAGTACATTTGGAGACAGAAAAAGTCACAAAGTTGGGAAGACCACAAATGCACATACTCAAACTATCTAAAGCTGTCAAATTGACTGCTCGGGGAGTTCTAGTGCTTATTATACGGGCCATTCCACATGAAACGACAACTGACCAAAAGTGTAACTCTGTCAGTATAAATTAACAGATGGAAATATTTCAAATACGCTTTCAAAATGTAGTGCCACGTTATACCCACAGAGACAGTTACGCCATAGGACCACTGTGGCAAGTTTATGGATCCAGTACCTCATTCAAAATGGGAATCTCCCGTGGCCTTTTACTTACTGACATCTGAACATGCAACAATAAGGACGGAACATGAACGCTGCCTAGTGATGATGTAAATATGTTCATCGATCAACCTTATATTCCTCCATCTCAAAAGTCAAACGAGATGCTAAACCAGGACCAAAACAAGAAACGACTCAAAAAGCAGTCGTAGAACACAGCACGCCCCCAGGAGGTAAAGTTCCATTCCATAATAAAAAAATATTCCGAGGTTTTCTGAACATTTAGTAAAAGTCCGCCCTTAGAAAGAGTGATGAGGTAATTGGCAAAAAGTACTAAAACTACTCTTGCTGTTATTAGACATTTGTGGTCATCTCCTTATGTATTTATCTTATTGCTGTAACGTAAGGTGATATTATGAAAAAAAAAACAAAAAAAAACACACAATATTGACTAATGTCATTGGTGTAAATCTCTGTCAAAAGGAAGATCTTAAAGACATGTTTATCGACTGGTCATCTGTATGTTGCAGCCCTATACTGAATGCAGTCCAACCAGGAGGCAGTGGACTGGCTCTTCTGTCCATGCAGTGGTCTGTCTCTAACTTGATATAGTCAGATGGTTGCCTATGATATTATTAATAACAGTAATGCGTCTTTTGTGAATTAGATACTGTTACATTACATCCAGCGTTGTTACATGGATAGAAAATGCTCTTTCCCAATCGTCAGTGCTTTCTCCCCCACTAATTGTGCTGCAAGAAAGACTATAGTCATGCACAAAAAAACCTACAGAAAGATGCATTCAAATGTGCTGTTCATTTGACTGAATCTGAAACTGTCCATGAAGTAATCAATTTGTATATGAATATTTAGCCGGAATGCATGTGTTGGGTGATTTTTAATGATTATTATGGCTGAGAGAAGAGAGAGTGCTTTTAGAATTTGTACATGTACTGTATTAGCAATGGGAGTCGGTCATTGGAAAGTGTGCAGCGCCGTTTGCTAGTTTTGCCACCAACCTTTTTATTTTTTTATTATTATACACTATTCCAAAATATTAAAATGTTTCCAAAGTCATCTTCAAAATGTAATCCCCCTCTATACATTGGGGGAATAATGCCACAATAAGGTTTTCATAGTATCCAGAACATGTCCCTATTATCCCCCTGTATAATCGCCAGAGATCCCTTTGATTACATTCACATAACTCTAATTAGAAATAGCATTAATAGCCTCTATATAGCGTAAAATATTTAATATATTTAAGAATTTATCTGGGATGGAAACAAGTGTGTTTTTCTTGAAATCAAGTAAAGCAATTATAATCAGACTGCGTGAACAATTAACTCACATATTTTTCCTCCATGCTCAGTCTTTGCTGAGAAGTTTGTGTCCAAGTGATTTATTTGCAAAGAAAAATTTAGCATGTTTTTCATATACTGTCTCAGAGCAGGAGCTAAAACAGTCTCCTACCGTAAGTCTGGCACTTTATCCCTGGTTAAGAGTGTGAGTGCACGCAGCCAAAATGAAAGTTCTAGGGTTCGTACAGTGAGAAATGCCAACATCAGGGCAAACCTGGAGGAAATCTGAAATTACATCACACACATTTTATCTGATAGGTTTACTGAATTAGAAGTATTCATTTTTTATGGAGGAGCAGTTTGTCTTTTGTCAAATACCAATGCATTGCTATGGCATAGTTTCTGCTCAAAATGCCATTAATATCCCATAGCCCTGGATTTGGTCAAGTTTGTTTGAGTCTGCTTTAGTTTTGGTAACGTGTATTTTTCCTATGGTGGCAGTACTAGCAGAAGGTGTTGTATTCTTCTCAGATGGTGCTTTGTGACTGATGGTAGAGGTGACGTTTAGAGGCGCAATAGTTGTTGCACTGCAAATCATTTATAATTGTGATGAATGGAGTGTGCTGTCTTTGCAATCTGGTAGTATTATTTTAATTTGATTTGTTTGTGTCTCTCGCTGCATAAGTGTGCCGACTCTGCCTACACAATCTAGTCCTCTGTGGAAGGGGCTGTGCAGGAGCCACATTTTAATAATGATAGTATTATTATTGTTTTTTTCCCTGTGAAGTGAAATTAGCACTCATCTAATGTTGATAATAGTAATAATTCCTCATTTCAAAGTGCCCTACTCTGTATTGAAATAGTGCCTCTTTCCGCAGAGGACATGCAGCTGTGTAGAAGACGTCTGTCATTTTTTTATTTGCCTTTTATTATTATTGTCTTAATATTAACCTGCTTGAAATTGCACCAAAGCAGTGGCTACAAACCTAATTAAACGAATCAACCATCCATTACGCAGCTTGTGGAAAAGCGCTTTTGTAATTATAAACAGCAGATGTATTGTGCACTGTAAAAAAAAACACCAGTTACAATGATTCAATAGTATAATTTTAGATATTATGTGTTTAGTTACTATTTATTTTAAGTATTTTTTTATATCTAGAAAAAATGCCATACACTTAAAATGCAGTTTAAAATATGGTAGAGATATGAAATTCGAGTCGTTTTAACTGATTTTTTGCAGTGCATGGAGAAAACCAATGTGGCCTGTTGTAATTCTAATGCAGAAAACGTATGGTGTTATTGGCTGCTGCGAAGCGTTTGTCTTAAGGCTCTTTCATGTTTAGGTTTGTGGCCTCTGCGTAAATTAACTTCACTTTTGTGATTGTGTGAATGGGTGAGTGACAGTGTGTTAAGGCTGTGAGGGCTGTTCTCATACTAACTGTTGCCTAAAGTTTTTATACCGACATTAAAACCATTAAAACACATCAAACTATGTTAATTTTTTATTTCAAAGAATCACATGCTGCTGCTGCTGTAGTGTGCGGACACGGAGATGTTCTCATAATACGGTTCTAACCTTATTTTAAGGCGAGCACGGTGTACTGGAGTTTTAATGCATTGTGATGTGATTTTTGTCATTATAAGGATAAATGTTACACAGTGGAACGTTCTACAGTAAAGAAAGACAGCCTAAAGTCAGACACTACTTCTATAACTTCTATCAAAACTATATTTAATTTGGTTCTGATTGATCGGATCTCTCACAATGATTTTTGACCAAATTAGTTCAGAAAGTAAAAGTATTACTAGTGGGTACTGTCATTTAAAAAAAAAGAAAAACTAAACATGTTCCTTGATATTAATATTCAGTTTGACATTTTAGTTACACAGTGCACTTTTACCAACCCTATGACAATATTTTTTTCTATGCACTTTTGAACAATATACACAATGGAAAAGACTAGATGCACTAGATTTAGATGAACATAAGTGTTCAGGAAAAGCCACTACAGTACTTGAAGTACTTTTTTCAAGTTCTTTGTACCCTGCGGCCTACATAGCATCAGGCCCTTTGTACCTTTTGCCTCCAGGATTATAAAATGTTTTATTTTTTGCATTAATCTTGTTACATTATTTTTACCACATCACGTTTGGTATGGGGATGTATGGGTTTAGCTCTATTAGCTGTTAGGTACTTTCTTTTATGTAGTTCATGTACAGGTATATATATACATGCTGGATAGTCCAACAAGTACGGTACACCGTCATGGCCGCAAGGCAGTAATATTCTGCTCCTTTTAGCTTGTATTACATTTTCTTAGTTTGTAATAACTCACTGCAGTCCTAAACTATCCCTGTGACCTCCTGGCAACGCTCAACCTTCGGTCATGGGACGAGGAACTGCAGAAAAAATAAACATGAAAATTAATGATTCTTCTCTTCAACCTTTGCACAGGGGAAAAACTAATACGCAGTAAGGCATCACTGCCAGACTAATTATTCACATGGAAAAAAACATTCTGCAAGATGACTTTTAATAATTCAAATAAATGGCACAAGTACAACATCTTTCTGTGACCTCAGTGCAATCTCAATATTTGCCTAAAAGTTACG